CCACAAATTGCACACACCTCGGATGATGAATGTGCAGTACTGATAATTTATCTTTTTTTTACTACAACATGACATTGGGGGTTGAGGATGTCTGTCCGAATTTCATGTGCAAACGAAGCAGGGAAAATCTAGACGTATTGAAAACAAATGCATCAACCTTCACTACAATAATTGTTCCGTTTGATATTGTTACTGCTCTTATTGGTGACTTTTATCAGCATTTATAGCCAGCCATGCAAAATAATTTGAAAATGCATTATGGCTTATCGTAGTTTTTCTATTTTTATTGTTTAAGAAAATTAATGAGACATTTTACAAATGACATATAAAACAAGACCCATAATTCGGAACAAAATAAATGAGTTACATGTTATCATTAGCTATAGTCTATTTGCTGTTGGATAAAGGCCTCAACATGCAGTCACCATCCATCAAAACCCCTGTGATGCCACAATCCATCTCAATTTTCACACATTAACTGATGAACTGATCTTTCATTCCATCAATGTGTTAATCACCCTCTTGAGCATGTGCTCTCCTTCACAGGCCCAAGTATTTATATATCTGTTATATTTTGCTATTGTCTAGCGACTCGAGCACTGCGCCATACGCCCAGCAAACCAACATTTGTTTCCTGGCCATGAATAACAGCGTCGGCAAGAGATACAGTGAGGGAAAAAAGTATTTGATCCCCTGCTGCTTTTGTACGTTTGCCCACTGACAAAGAATTGATCAGTCTATAATTTTAATGGTAGGTTTATTTGAACAGTGAGAGACAGAATAACAACAACAAAATCCAGAAAAAACGCATGTTAAAAATGTTATAAATTGATTTGCATTTTAATGAGGGAAATAAGTATTTGACACCCTCTCAATCAGAAAGATTTCTGGCTCCCAGGTGTCTTTTATACAGGTAACGAGCTGACGCCACCCATTAGCCCAGCCACACTGACCAGTTTGTCGGAGTATCGTTAAACTTGTTGTCATATAAAGCTTGCTCGCAAACCCCATGACCAATGCATTTGATGCGGAAGCCTGCATCTGTCGATGCATTGACAGAGTGCTGTCGAATTCTACATTTAATTTGCGAGCAAGCTTTATATGACAAAGTACCACCGATCAAGAGAGAGATTGTATTTGGATACATTTTGTCCAATTTCTGTATCTCCGGCTGATTAAAAGTTAGGTGGTTTGAATGAATGACCCTAAATATGTTTTTTCATCATCTTGAATTGGTAATTTAGAAATTATGCATTATGATAAAACGAGCTTTTTGCCATTTTTTGTGACAGCCTATAGCCCACAATGTATAATTGATTCTGCTTTAAAAATCCCGATGGGGTGTTTAATTTAAGACGTTGAAATCAACAGCAGCTGGCTGTCTTTGATTATCCTCAGCTTTAATTGTAATTCATGTACGTAGATTGCCTATCTGCAGAGTTTTACATTTAAACTTGTCATGTTAATCTCCAAAGATTGTAGATCATGGAGAAACTCAATTCTCCGGTCTAGAGCCCACTTATTGATGTGTCAACACAAACCACTGACTGTATATGTATGGGAAGGGCTGCTACTCCCTCGTGTTTTATCATTGCTTATTACCTTGGATGAACATGTCAGTGGTTCCGAGGCAAGATAACAACATGCTCTAGAAATGTCTAAAATTAAAATAAAGTGAATTTGTTTCTGTTTATTTTCAGCGAAAAACATCACTTTATTTTGTTTAGTTTTTCTATAAACGTAGGTGAATTGCCTTTTTCCAGGCATTGTCTGTCTTTATGAAAATAATCCTTGGTATTTTTTTCATGACGTACCTGAAAGCCAAAATAAAGGTAGACCAACCAGATCTAAACGACAATTATAACATCAACATTTTGAGCTCATGTTCTCACTCAAAGACTTACTAAAACCCCTTTCACAATACATAATCACGCATGAAAACCATCAGCCAACTCTTTTATCTAAATTAAATTAACCACATTTTTATAAGATACGTAGGTTTCACAGAGCATGGACTTTCACCGAAAGTTCCCCTTCATGCGAGGCATAAGCACATGAGATGTAATTTTACTCCACCATTCCGAATGTAGCATTGTTATTTATGCATTAAAATGTATTAACATGCTGATCAAATTACCTGAAATTGTGCCCATTTTTCTAAGATCTTGGAAGCTCAGCAGAGTCGAGTGTGGTTAATAATTATTGGATGGGTGGGTGACCCGTATTGTGGCCTTGTTTGAGGGGGGAGGAGGCATCCAAACACTCTGAGGGGGGTAAGGGGGGGGTGATGCATGACACAGCCAATGTTTATTTAAACAAATATTAAATGTTAATTATAATGAGACACAATACGATCTGTACAGCTTGAGCCTTAAGGGTAAAACTGTTTCTTCTCAAATAAAAACAGGGCTCTTCCTTCCAAAATTAGAAAACGTAGAAAAGCTCTTTGGTCAGCAGTTCTCCTGTTGTGTTTGTTTCACCTGATGATGGTTGCTTGTGTTGCGATCGAAACGTTGTGATCTATTAATTTTCTAACTGAAAGAACCAAAGAGTATGGATTCCTGCAGTCACGAAAGCTTCAAATCAAAGTATATATACTATATATATTCAGAGCCCGGCTCTAAAGCGGTGACTATGGTATTCTGCAACAATTTAAATTATTCAAAGCACAGCAGTGATTAAACCCTTTTTATTTTGTGAGCACGTGAGTGTTTTATATGAGTGTGTTATATATACACGTGTTTTTAATACTCCCAATGGTTTACAGAGAGATAGGAATGGGATTAAGGAAGATTAGAAATTCATGAACCACTGCAGGATCCTCATCGGAGTTATGTTAAGCTAAGGAGAAATTAATATTTTTAATATTTGCATAAAAAAGTAGGTGATCAGAATTACCTTCAGGACAGTGTGCTTAGCTTATATAAAAAGACACATACCAAGCAACTGATATCGTGTGCCAACCAAAATGAGATTTTTTATTTTACCCAATAAGAAATGGCCGTTATTATTTTTATTCAGTTTCTGCGTTGTTAAAGTCGAAGTTTTCCCACACAGCTCTGAAGTCTGTGGGTTTAATTTAATACGCTTTGCTCTTTGCTTAATCCTCTTTCCTTGCAGCTGTCTGGACTTTGCAGAGCTCTTCAAAACAACATCGTGTGCCTATGTAGGGCTACAAGGAGACTGAGAAAGAGGGCATCTTCTTAGTGCCAGGGAGTTGACATAAGTCGCTGGGATTATCATTTTTGCCCATTTTGTCAAATATTTCCAAAACGACAAAATAAACAGCAGTAGCAAGAGCATTTTCCTAAACATTCAGTTCTGTTTTCCAGATGCATATACAAGCTACCGGAATGTGAATATAACGTATGCATGCAATTTATTTTGAAATAAAGAGCGAGTCAACCGTTTACTATGGATTAGGTTTTACTTTTCTTAATAGTTAAGACTCTGGTTCCGAGCATTATCTGGGATGGGGCTTCAAAGCAGTGATGGTGGAATACAAATCTGAGGTCAAGAAAATAGAAGCCGCTTGATTAAAATATAATTTGTGGCCAGGACACTTCTGAAAAAGTTCAGTGGGCCTTACCTGGTAAAATAAAAATCGTTGAGCAGTTTTAACAGTTGCTTAAGGACGTAACCGGGAATTAAGCTCCTCCTCATGCCTATTCAAGCTGGAATTCACTTACACGTTTTAAATTTCCTCTAAATAATAAGGTAAAGGGGCAACTCTGCAATGTCTTGCTTGAACCACCACTAGCAAATTAACCTCCACTGCTGGGAGCTCCAGAGAGCCCCCTCTAGAGGGGTATTTGGCCTAATCTTCCTAACTAGCTAGACATCTTCGAAGAAGTATGAACCCCCCACACTTTACTCCATCACACACGACCTGCCGATTGACCAATTTGCTGTGCATCCATGTATACTGCTGAGTGGACAGCGAGTATTTTAAAAGCTTGCCCATTGCTTGAACTGCTGTGCCAGGAGTTGATACCGACAACCTCTGGATTGCAAGTGCAGTGTGCTCACCATTACATCGTGGGCAACGTTAATTTCTGTACAATTTAACTACAAAATACGCATGTGTGTTCCCTTTTTCTTCGTTTTACAATGTTTTACGAGTCAAAATATAGTTATTTTATGTTCAATTTAGTCCATGAACAAGCCTCAGTTATTGTTTATGCTTCATTAAACGATAGTTACACTGACCATATGCATGGGGTGTTGGTACATCGAATACATTCCAATATCAAATAAATTTTAAATGTTCGTTAAACAAATGCTTGATAAGTGTATGTTTACTCTGCAGTTTATATCTTATAGGAGAAATTATTCTTAAGTTTAACATGGAAATTAAGTCAACATTGTAAGTGTACATCCATTTAAAGTTTGAACAATAATAGTTGGAACAACTAAATTCATATTATTGTAATGTATTGTCAACATTGAAATATTAAATAATAAAAATATGTATGTTTGAATAGGTCCGAGAGTAGGCAGACACATTTCATTCATAGCATTATCATTGATGTGGATACTATGTGTTATATGCCATGGTAGTTAAAAATGACGCATGTTTAATTATGGATAAAGTGGGCATCAGACGAAAACCTAAACAGGATAAAATTGAAGAGCTGGGGGTAGCCCTGTCTCAACTATTATTTCTATTTGAAATGCACTTGTTCTGCTCCGATTTTTATTCGATTTTGTTTATTCTGTATTCAGACTATTGCTTTTTCTTGTCATGTTGATGAACCAGCCAGCACACTCTTGCAAGTGAGACTATCCTGGTCTCTTATGCTCAATAGAAATGAAACATGCAACCATTTTAAGTACACGTGCCTTACAACAGTAAACGTATCCGCAATAACCAAAGCAATTTTATACAAATCTGCTGAGCTGTGAAGATGTTCAATTTAATCATGAGAGAATTCATTGTTTTGTTTCATATTCCTCTGACGTGCTGTCGGTAACCTATGGCATTGTCTTGTGCTCCCCAGCTGAGTGTGGTGGGAAGATACAAGGAGCCACATCAGGAAGGATTCTTTCACCAGGCTACCCTGCCCCATATGGACACAACCTCCAATGCACATGGGAAATACACGCCAACGCAGGCTATACAATCAGGTCAGACTGATTTTACAAAATCAATTTTAATCTGGAACAAGGCCAACCTTTCTTTGTTCTGTTGGGAAAGTTATGCAGCCACCACTTTGCAATTATACAGCTTCCCCCCCCACGTTGGCTTTGCTTTTATCTTTTTTTTCCTACTGGCTCACGCTTGTTCACTTAAAGGCAGAGGAGATCCTTGCCGCTGCTTTTGTTTATCTGAATCAGCAACAGAGAAGGCCATCTTATGAACAGTGCTTGAATGGAAATTGATTCGCTGTCTAGAAATTCCGTGGAGACAGATGTATGCTGTATAATGCACATCTGCATTTAAATAAAACATGATCTATAAATAAAATCAGTGCTCAGATGCCAAACAACTTGTTAATGACAGGAGGAAAAAAAAATCAATATGTTTTACATGTATGTCTTTGAACAAGAAAACCACATGCCACCCGATATCAAGGCTATAAATGTATAAGCACAAGAGCCATCATTTGTGTCATCACAACCTCACTCGTGGCAGACAAAGTAAACCTTGAGTCATACTCAAATGGTGTAGACTTTCAGACAAAGATCCCCCCCAATTAACAAATACGGACTGTTGGAGCAAGTGCTGTGTGCGAACACAAATTAAGGCTGCCACAGCCTTGACAACATGCTATAACTAGCAGCACACCCATCCGCTTTTGTCTTCTTAGTGCCAATCTTTAAACAGCACACTGGGCCATTATGTATGACTGAGTTGACTTAGAGGCCCATAACTCGATGAAATAGTACTGTCACTGAAGCTATTTCATGGATAGGAATTGAACGTAAGAAACCAGGTTTGCAGTGTTTTGCACTAACCAATGCACGACTACTGCAATGACAAAGATCCACCGATTGTGCATCAATATACTGTTTGGGCAAGTGCTGTTTGCAAGTAGCACCTATGAAGGCCGGCACGGAATACGAGGGGGTGGGTGGATAAAACCACGCCTGGCCTACACACACTCGGAATACGATTTTATTCATGTCCAGAAAGTTAATAATAATAATAACCAAGATAATAAATACGAATAAATGACTAACAGACATTGATATGACATATCACTAATTTGGTAGTGCTTTATTATTTAATGTCTTCCATTGCATTTGGTTAAAACATAAATAAGTGATGGAGCGGTGGTGCTGCTGTTAGCATATTTCCTATTAACTGAGCGACCTGAGTTTGGGTTCGGTCCCGACCCTGACGCCTGCTGTATTATTGGAGTTAGCGGTGTCTCTCCCCCCGTAGTCGCGTGTTTTTTTCCCCCTTCACATTTAAAAAACTTGCAATTAGACTCTTTGGCTGCCAGAAATGTCCACGTGGTGAAGCCACTCCGTTCAGCTATTATTTGCGGCTGAGGTCGCTTCCTGAAAACAGCTGCATAGCTGAGTGGTAAAATAATAAAATAAATTCCCACCCACGGCTAACATCAGTGGCGAGTGATATTTGAACCAGTCCTGGGGGGGGGGGGGGGGTGGCCCTTCACCCATTTGCACTGACCAGTATGGTCAAGCAATACTCAAGACCAACGTGGCATGAGGTGACCTTCATCCAGCAGTGCATAGACAAAGAGCTGTACATTCGTTTTACATGATGTGTGTCTATATGTACAAACATCGCGTGTGTGTGTGTGTAACCATTTTGCCATTTCCAGATTTAAGGGCATTTTTTTATCTTAAGTATTCTGGAGATTTGCCATGCATTTTCTGATTTCCATAGGGGTAGAACATCACGTTGGATTATGCCCCAGCTATCCAAAAAACACATCTGCCATGGTTTTCCCGGGAGAGTACATGTGCTATTAATGGTGATAGTGTCAGGGACTACGTGTATGTGTCCACTGCTTAATGAACTGCGTTTAACCCAGTGTATTAATGAAGAACCACACACAGCCCACAGTACTCAAGCACTCCATGGCAGTCCTCTGAAGATGACCATTTAAAAATATTCAATTCGCTGCAGGGTGCCAACAAAACCATTTGCATCTTAACTGCATCCATTGACTCGTGTTGTCATCGTGACAGCCAGTGCGAGACAGACAGAGGAACCTGGAGAAAAGTCAATTCGCTGAGCATGCAAAGCATTGTTAACATCCAGCTTTGATGGTTAATTGCTGTAGTATGTGTTTCTCTTCAATTATCATCATCGTCAACGTAATAATGTATTTATACCGCACCTCCCATGCAGTACATGTTGAGATGTCTGAAAAAAATGTGCATTTGAGATGATAACACAATAAGGAAGTGATTGGAGATAAAAAAAAACTATGTTCAAAAAACGAAACAGTATTGATAACATACACAACAAATAAATCAATCGATATTTTTTTACGTGACAATATCACCCTAAATAAAGTACGCATCAGTGCATATCACAACATAACTGAAACGGAGTATGGAACAACAATGAAAATTATCAACATTTGAAAACCTAATATGTGCTTTAGGGTGCTCCATTTTTGTCCACTAATTTGAACTGGTCAGGAATCATTGTGTGTCTGTATGTATGTGTCAGTGTGTGTGTTGCAGCTTAACGTGTGTACTTAGGGTGATATGTCAACTTCCCCAGAATGGAAATAATGGTTTCTTTGTGTGGTGTTGACCACACAGCACCACCTTGCGTTGCTAATCACACTCGTGCTAAACATTTCTCTCGAGCATCCACAAGTAATATAATAAAACACAATTAGTTGTGTCTGTGTGTCGGTGCAGTATATATACGGCATTTGAATGTGTGTTTGCCTATGGATGATTTAATCCATTTACCGAATGTCCTGGAAAATGTTAAAGTTTTCCCGGGACATTAAAAGTGCCCACCCACTCTTTTTCATTTGTGGATTAAATACCACTCAAGACAATACAATTACATGTAGTTATCCCTCCTTCTTTATACTGGCAAATAGTCTTCTTCCCATGCTATGTCCTGATTTATATATATAAAACTCAAAGAGGTGGCAACACAAACTCCGAAATATTGCACTGGCAACACAAACTCCAAAATATTGCACAGGCCGTGTTATGGTCATGACAGCGAAATTATCAATCGGCCACGCTGCTCTGAGGTGTGCAAGGCACTCGAAGCCTCCTTCGTCTTTTGTACAAAGAAGCTGCTGTCGATGAGTAATGGGTGGCGGCTATCGATGAGTAATGGGTGGCGGCTGTCGTGCGCTCTGCGTGTGCCCTGCGCGTGCTCTGCCTGTGCTCTGCGTGTGCCCTGCGCGTGCTCTGCACTCTGCACGTGCCCTGTGTGTGCTCTGCGCGTGCTCTGCGTGTGCCCTGCGCGTGCTCTGCCTGTGCACTGCACGTGCCCTGCACTCTGCACGTGCTCTGCGCGTGCCCTGTGTGTGCCCTGCGCGTGCTCTGCGCGTGCGTGTCTGGTTGTGTGGCGGACCCCACGGGTGCAGCCTCCACTTTGTGGTGTTCGACACGGAGGCGGCACACGACCTGCTCAAGGTGTGGGACGGGCCCTCCGTGCCCTCCCAGGCCGGGGTGCTGCTCAAGGAGCTCAGTGGCTCCGTGCTGCCCGATGACATCCACAGCTCCCAGAGCTCCCTCTCCCTGCACTTCCAGTCCGACTTCTTCATCAGCAAGACCGGCTTCGCCATACAGTTCTCATGTGAGTCTCCTCATCCAGCACTCACTCAATCACTCGCTCACTGGCAGTCAGTGATCTCCGTATTGCTCTTCTTGTGCTACTAGCATAGTTACTGTCCCCGTGAAATTCACTCACTGATCCCTCCACCCATGCTGCATATCATCCGTGGTGTGTTGAACTCCCGCATCGCTCGACTTTGGAATTACTTCTCATTGTCCCTTTTCTGAAGTTCGTTCAACTATGGTCAATTAAAAAAAAACTCTCGTCTATTATACATTTTGTTACACATTCTTAACAACCCAGTCTCACTTTGCCACTTCAACTGTTTAATTTCAAACCAGTGCAATGAACCATTAAAATATAAAATACAAAAAAAATGAACAACCAGCTTTCCTATCCAAATTCAATCTCCAATTGATTGTATAATTTTAGATTCTCATAGTAAATATTTACACCGTAGTTTATTCGGCAATTTTCATGTGCAGCTGAAAAAGAGTCATATGAGCTCATTGTAGAGGTTTTAATACGAGAAATGCATTTCACATCAATTTGATGATGCTATCGTACTGGCCAAAAGCACATTGGATTTCTACATCGGAATAAGGGTTCCTTATTTTTTATCAGTCTTGTTTTTCTTTGTTTGCTTATTCCGCTCTTGACAATGTGTGCCAATCGATGAACAAAAGAGTACAGCTTAATACTATTTGGTGTTTCTGGGCACAACTTTTAACCAGATCAGATACAATAAAAAAACATTCCAGAAGCAACTTAACCAGTGTCCTGTTATCTAACTCAATTGTACAACAAAGCCCCCTGTCAGCTTGGAAAGTGATTTATAGTGCTCATATTTGAACTTCATGATGTCTGAGCTAATCTCTCATAGTAAGTGTGTAAAGATACACAAGCAAGCCCGATACATGATGTGGGCTTGCCACATTGGTGCATTTAAGATGCATCTCATGACTCTTATATAACATTTCCTCAACAGATCCCACTGTTGAATGTACACTTGTATAATCCCAACGTGGGAATATTTACAGAGTAGTGGGAAGCCCATTGAGATCGAGTGGTGCTACATTACATTAAGGCTCGCGGGTATCACCTTAACCCCCACCCCCACCCCCCACACACACACTAACTTCCGCAAGCTCGCATTGCCCCCCTGCACACACCGCTCCCCAGTGACACACAACTGTCCAGTGTATGAATTTTGAATTGGACTCACATCACGCACTGGGTTATTGTTTTTTTTTTTTATCACAACAAAACGCGAGCCCAATACAACAACGCCAAAAAGGTTCTAATGACAGGGTACCGAAACTCCGCGCCTAGCTGTCCTGGCGCAATGGGACCAGGCGAAAGGGAAATGGCGCGCTCGCTTATTGTTAATAATCATGATAATGATCATCGCCGGGGACAATAAGCCAATTAATTTGGGCAAAGGTCTACTTAGATATTTTTTTGGGGGAATATCGACCTCACTGGCATAAACTACATATAATAAGCTTTTAAATGTGCCACCTCATTGCAACCTTTACAAACAGTTTGCCTTTAGAGGCTAATCCCCATTTTCCTGATGACGACCGCTTGTGTTGCGATCGAAACGTCGTGGCTTTTGTTTGTGTTTTTTTTATTTTCATTGTTTCAGGCCACAGTCTACATTACACACTGCCAGTACGCTCACTCCGATCAAAGAACCAGGCTACAGTATTATTATTTGTATTATTATTATTACATGTATTCACTTTATTTTTTTATTTTTCTATCTACGTGACTTCTACCGAAATAACCAAAGAATATAATTGGTGGAACTTTTAAGGAGTTCTACAGACAAGCAGATATAATGCATTCAGTTTAGCTGTATATATATGACAGATTAGCATTTGCATCCCTGTTTCATCAGCCGATTGTACTTTATGTATGGCCTATCTCAAATGCCGAGTGATGAAGATTGGAGATTACTCTGCATTATTAGTGCAATGGATGTCTTTGTTCATACCACTGAATAATCACATATCAGTGCACCACACGCATAGGTCACATCACGTGTAAAGAATGTAAGCTTTGATTAACCATCTGCTAGGAATGCAGGAGGACAATAACGTAACAATTTAAAGCTTGACACGAGCGCATTCTGTACACTTATCAATTTGGACCGGAGCTCAAATTTAATCCGATGACATTTAACTTCCTGGGAAAATCATGCCTTTTGCAATACAACACAGTGTGCAGTTTGTATTCCTTCCGTCTGTATTTAATGCCCATTTTATTTATTCACGAACACTCTTATTATACCATCACAATACGCGAGGACCCTGCAGATCCATTTCTTGCTAATCCATGAAGAGGAATTAAATTGAAGCTTAAAGTAGCAAGGTAGTCATTTATACCTCTGAATCCAGCAATCATAGTACTTAATGCAACTTGTTTTGTTTTATTTATCTTAAAAGATTCGCCATGTACAACTTCATCTCAGCTTTATTCCCAACAAATTCTGCTTCCCATCCAAAAAAGGTTGAAGTCACCCTGCAGGGCCCGTTCGATAGTCCAATCGAGATGGCATCCAAGGTTCATACCCAGATATTATTAGCACCCCCTGCTTCATTACAATCGCCATCCCACCTGACATCACGTTGGTGGATTCAGTGCCGCTAGGGATAAAGGGGTGATGGATTAGTTGAGTACAGTTATGGGGGGTGTGGGGGTATGTGTGTATGTTGAATTTATTTCGCACCGTATGTAGCCAACCATGCTCATCGGATGCGTGGGGGGGAAGGGCAACAAACTAAACACAAAATGCAGTTATAATGAAATGAGTTCAAAATCTAGATGTAAAAGTGCATGGCTCCAGTGGCTTAATAATATCGGAAAGGAAGAGCGTTCCAGACGGCCACAAAAGCGCATCTGAAAGCGTGCGATGCAGTGAGCGTCTCTGTTCGATGGCCGGCCAAAATCCGCTGCGAGGATGACCGGGGTGGTGGGGGGGAGGGTGTTGTTTAACCACACTTTACCACCCTGGCTCGGTGCAGGTCAGTGAAGGGAGCACGCGTTTGTCTCGCCTATTGCTGAGTGCCTGACTGGTACGGGTGCCCCTATCTCCTGTCCAGTATTGCTGCTCACGACTTCAGGATGCCCGGGCTTCGTCGCCGCGTCAAGGCAGCGCTCTGTCGAAGACAGAAGCGCAGCTTAACTGGCAATTTTGCCAGTTAAGCTGCAGCTTTCAGAGTGCGACGTAACGCCGCTTAGTTTAACTCTGCTGAACCTCTAATTGATAAGAACGATGAATACATTGTCAATAACGGCAATTTAGCAGTGCCTTTGTGCTGCGATACGTCTCCATGCTTGCCTCGGAAGTGTTTGACAAGAAGATAATCATTTGCCTTGCTGTAACGCAGCCGCTGTGGCCAGAGCTTGCCGTGATCCCGGCGTGCCGACAAATTCCACGCGGAGTGGAACGGGCAGAGAACCTGGCAACATCATCACCTTCCAGTGCCAGCCTGGGTACCAGCTGCAGGGTGAAGCCACCATTGTATGTATGCACGGGGAAAATCACTACTACTGGCAGCCCGACCCACCCACCTGCATAGGTAAGGTCTCCTGTCGCTCACACACCACCACACCAATAAGGTCAAGTCAAAAACAAGTGCATTCAAAGGCATCGACCGTTTGTGGAAATTTCACATTGATATGGTAGGGGAAAGACTGTCCACTGTTGACCTCACAAAGTGCTTCCCATGTTACTGGCTCCTGGGGGAGGATGGCATGTGTCATCATCCAACCAGGGTTTGAACTCCCAACCTTCCAATCACCAGCCACTCGCTGTGGCACTGAATCTAACGCAATGACGTTAGCATTGTGTTAGATTCTATCCATTAGAAATAACAATAACAATGTTATTTAGCAAAATGTGAATGTATTTGGAATCTGTGCGCACAAGTGAAACACTGTTTATGTTGTTTTTTGTTTGTTTCAGCTAGCTGTTAAGAGTGCGGATCACATACAGCATAGTCTGTACATGTATATGTATTATTTATTAATGCAGCGGCCGGGCAGTTGCAACAGTGGTTAGGGTGCACAGCTTGCAATTAGGAGGGTGTGAGTTCCCAGTCGGGGGTTGACGCAGCCCTTGATCTCTTCAGGGTCGATTAAACAAGCACCACTGTGTGGGAAGTCTTACAGATACTCTCACTGCCGCTATAGGAATGTGGAATTTCTACTATTAGCCCCGGGCTGAAAATAGGAGGTCGGTGTTCAAGCTAACACCTGTCCTATTTTTCCAGGATAGTCAATCTTTGAAGTAGTTGTACTATGATATATATGTATGTCTTTCTGGGACATTACAAGTTATGGCTATTGTCAGTTGTATAGTTCTCCCCTCTTCCTGTATTGTGAAATATATTTTTTCTCACGAGATATATCCTTCGAGATATATCCTTCTCGGAGACACTGGGACAACATCACGTGTCCCTCTCACCTCCTCTTTGGCCCTCGTTACTACCTCATCCGGTCACGTGTCTTCAGACGACCATGTCCTCACCCGACCTCTCTCTCGCTGTCACCCGAACTATGCCCCCTAGGGGCCCTTCTGTTCCGTACTCATCCCGGTGCTAGAGAGAGACTCCACACCTTCAGTACCGCCCTTCTCTCGGAACTGTGCGCTACACCAGAGAGACACTATACACGCCACTACACATTAAAATAACGCTGTAATTGTAAAAAAAAAATCGTTCAATATTAATGTAAACCCATGTATGTAGTTAACATGCAAGTATCTACATGCCCCATGTTGCTTTTTCAGACATTCATTTTATAATTGGTAATTTATATAGGACTTTTGCCTGCAGAGGTTTGCAACTTTTATGAGCGGCCACTAAGTGGCGGAAAAAAGGACAAAACAGTGCTCGCATTTTAAATCATTAACGGTGCCACCTTTCTCAAGGGGAGAACGTAACAGTTGTGTCTGGGAATTTCCTGCCAACAATACACCTCAACGTTGTTCTCCAGTGGACAAGACTAAACGCTCAGAGTTGCACTGGCTTATTTAAACCCTTTCAAAGTGTTTGAGCAGACTGCTGTGCCTGACAAAATAATGCTGCTTTTGTGAAACATAGCAGCGAGTGTGTAGTCAGTTTGTTATTTTGTTTGTTTATTTTTTTTACATTTAAGAAAAAGACATAAAATCAGCTCATGTGCAATGTAAGTGCGTGGTGGATTATGAAATTGCAAAATCATCATCGCTAGCAACGGCTTCGGAAGGCCTACATCCAGCAGTGGATTGATCATGGCTGATGATGATTCATGGAAACAGTGGCAGTGTTTCAAACAGTTGTTAGGAAAAGACAAGTGGATGAACTTGCTGTGTGACACACGGATATAAAATACTCTTTCAACAATGAAATTGTGTTCTGAAATAATTGATATAAATAAACATAAGACACGAGGCAAAACGCTACTATAGGAACAAGGAACAAGTTCATTACCAAGAGAGCATTACGGTTTATGGTACATTAAGCGATTACGCTGGTGGGGTTTTTAAACATTGGGAAAATATTATTTGTACACGATTGAGTTCAGAGGTTAAATGTGCAGAAAAAAGCTCGTGAAAATTTCACACCACTCCCCCAGACTACATGGACAATTAGTTATTTAACCATACACATTCTAATGAAAAATGGGATTACAGAAAGAAATCCAGAGAGACTGACATGTCCTCAATTAATTTATAACAACTCTGACTTTGGATGTTGGCAGGGTTTACGCTTAAGAAGGTGACTATTTATCGACATTCGTTTTAGGTGACCATTGGGAATTAAGTCAACAACTGTTTTAATGATGACCTTGAACTCTGTTCTACTTTGCACTCACTCCCTGTCCCATTGATGTGACTGCACATTCTCAGAGATGTCTTGGAATCGATCATTCAGGATGATGTCAAATGTCAATTACAATGTATGGACTCGTCGAAAGCATATTCAGATTTATATTTTCTTGAGGATTTGTTGTTTGACTTTCTTTAGTAAATTATGTAGCTGTAGCATATACATAATTAATTGAATTGCCTTATTTAGACTTTATGGATGCAGGACATATATTTATCATTTGTATTTGCTTTCTTGTAATTTAATATTAATAACCTTGTAACGCATTTGGTATTTTGGCCTGGCTAAAATAAATCTTTCATATGATGCAATTAAATTACTTTATACACTGTAATGTGAAAGAGGGAAGGAGATACACACAAAAGCAACCTTTGTTGTGGTTTCATCTTTTTTTTTAAGCACCATGTATGTTATTAAATACCCACAGAAACGTGTTCAGGAACAATCCCGGATATTGGATGCAAACATCTCACACGTTCACATCGACTAATTTGCACTTGGTTGTATTTATGTGTGCATGTGTATTATATTTCGCTTATATTTTATTTCACAGCACCATGCGGGGGAAACCTTACAGAGCCTACTGGTTTCATTCTCTCTCCTAATTACCCTGAGCCGTACCCTCCTGGGAAGGAATGCGATTGGCAAGTTACCGTCACGGCAGACAATGTTATTTCTCTGACCTTTATCAGGTATGGCTTCTGCAATGCGCTTCTCTGCACTATTGTGGCATTAAAGGTCATCACACGGAAGCATAACTGCTAAGCAGTGCTAGTAATGTTACTTGTTAATGAGCACACTCTGTAAACGAGTCTCTGGTCTTTATAGCCCTTACAGTTCCTAATCAGTGAATGGGGTCATCCTTAAAGGTCATGGTAATTTAATTGCATGCTGCATATGGAGTTTAGTTGGACGTTCCGACGAAGTTCATGTACGTTGGTGGACATGATTTGTGGTGGAGCATAACAAGGTGAAATGGCTAATTGTTAAATTCCTCGCGTGCAAAGCAGCTTGACATTATGTTACTGCATGACATATCCATCGACGCAATATTCAGACACATTTTGTTTGATGCAATGCTTTAGTTCAGGAATCTCAGAAATAACCTTCACGTTTATTTTCGTGGTGTATGTGTGCATTCCGCAATGCTGTCTCAAATTGAGTGCGTTTCATGTTTCATTATTTATTACGTCATTAAATATATGAAGGCTATTGAACTGACAGACACCATATTTAATGTAGGCATAGTGCAAGGCAAATCGAAAAAAATACATTACGTATAGTTCTATAAAAGTGAGTCTGGTAAGGTCATATAATTCATTTTCGGTTAATGACTCACAAATAACCTCTACTTTGCCCTGCTGTAAATGTTGTCCTCAGTCTTAGCAGTCTTAACCCCGTCTGCTTTTTCATACATATATTCTTTATTTCTGACATGACGAAAACCATGTCCTTCTGAATGAAGTATTCCACCTCTTGTCCGCCCCCTTCCATACTGAATGGCAGTTTTGATACCGAGACCAGCTACGACTTCCTGCACATATATGATGGCCCAGGCTCTTCCAGCCCACTGATCGCCAGCCTGCAAGGCTCCAAGCTGCCGGGGCGGATTGAGAGCACTGGCAACAGCATGTTCATGGCGTTTCGCAGCGATGACTCGCTCAGCCTCAGTGGTTTTCACATTGAATACAAGGGTGAGGTCGCCTAACGCAAGCACAACTTTCGACTGAAAGCAAAACTACACACCCACACACTGGCTACATATCCTCACATTTCACCCATGCAATCGTAAGATAGTAACGTATGACAGCATTATTTTTTGGTACAGGACGTGTTTTATTTTGTGTAAACGTGAGGTGTCTTGGCAGATTCGAAGAGTGATGGAACATTATTTTTTTAATGTTTAATGTGCATACAATTAGTTTTGTGGGATAATTTGAAAGTTTTAAATCATACATTTCCCACTTTGTATGTTTTATGTAAATGTCTATATTTAAGAGGTCAGCATTCATACCCTACAATGAAAACAACGGTTTTAGAATTTGTATTTTATTATCTCTGTGAGCCAAGATTTCGTTTTAATTCATGGTGACTGTGACCTTTATACTCGGCATTGAGAACAAAGTCCACCGTTTTAATTTCAGAGTGGGAAAAATGCACATCATAAAAAACTAAGCGTTTTTCTCACCAGGTGATGGGATGTTGCCCAATTGAACATGGTGTGGAATTGTTAGTGGCCCATACACTTTGTCTCAAAACTAAAAGTTCTGGTGAAAATGTGATCTGCACAGAGAAACCCCAAGAGTCCTGCTTTGATCCTGGGAACATACAGAATGGCTCCCGTCTGGGCACAGATGTCAAGCTACGGTCTACCATCACATATTTCTGTGACGCGGGCTACACAATCCAAGGCTACTCAACTCTGCTTTGTGTTATGAGCGAGGATGGGAGACCCATGTGGAACAGACCCCTGCCATCCTGCCATGGTAAGTGAAGGATCCGCAGCCGTTAGCATTAAACGCACACATTTTGTACGAACACTCTTCCTCCCACTATATTGGGAATACGCTCTCAAGTGCTCTCTGTCATATGCTACAGCTCCATGTGGGGGCAAGGCAACTGCCTCTGAAGGGGTGGTCCTTTCTCCTGGATACCCCAGAAATTACAGCAGTCCTCAACATTGTGTGCACACCATCACCGTGCCCAAGGATTTTGGTAAGCGCGTCTCAAACTACGTTCGCTTTGATTAGATTGTTGATGGAAAAAGTAGTGCAATCCAAAAATATCGAATCATGACTTTAAATTATTATATTTGTAACTCATCGTCAGGTCAAATGATAATTATTACATATCTTCAGTCTTAATATCACTCTCAACCTAATGTTAACTCTGATGACTGCTCTTGAATCACCTGAATCTTTGCGTGAGTGAAACACACACCCAGCGCAACCTTTTGCAGTAACGTCAAATACAGCAACACACCGAAATACGCAATATGATCCAGCTCAGTTTGTTGTGATACCTCCAACATGTCACCTTGTGTGCATTGCTGTTCAGTCATCTTTGGTCAGTACGCGACCTTTGAGACGTCGGTGAAAGATGTCGTCCATGTGTACGACGGACCCACGCAGAGCTTCTTTTTGCTCAGCGCATTGTCAGGCTCCCACACAGGTAAATCTTGCGCATCGTTCATACAAAAAAAAAGCACTTAGCCAGCAGAGTAACGTTCATCAAAGTTATCGTCTATTTTCAACATGGCGTAAAGTAATTTGATTTTACATGCCATTCATGCAAAAGTGGCTGTAAGTCTTGAACGTAGTTAAAATGTATACTCTTTATTAAACAGAGGAAACGCATATTTCGATGTATTATCTGCTGTGGCAACCTTAAAAAAAACAGAAGATGATGCTTTTGAGATGGCTTGGGTCAGAACTACTGAGATCCTGTGGCGTTTGAATTCACATGGTCACGTGCTTAAATTGGGCTCTCGAGTGTAGTGTGTTGATCGTCTCAGTCCAATAACCAATGACTCATCATCATCCGCCATAATCAGTCCACTGCTGAATGAAGGCCTTCCCAACGTAGCACCTGCACACAAGTGGCATACAAATAACCACACAAACAAGCTAATTATTTAGCATTTCATTTCGTATGTCATTTTAATTAATTCCAGCACTGACAATTCAGGATAGTGCTATGAAAATCTGTTCCCACAACCGTTCTCTGACGCAAGGGATGCTTTGCTCCATGAGAGTTGCCAATTAATTATTCATCTCGTAACATGATGCCCGGCAGATTCATAAAATTATAAAAATAAACGTAAAATAAATATTATCTGTTTTGAAATGGGAGTCTTTGGAACTGTTATTGATCTTTTCTATTGTATTTTTCTCAATTTATTCAAATATTGTCACTTGACGAAGATTGCATTTAGAAATCTTGCAGACAAATATATTACAATGCAATTTGTATTTATTTACCATCTAAATGTAACCACGTTTCAAGATACTACACGATTAGGAATATCGATTTGACTGTCATGCGACAATCTCATAGGAGAGTGCATGGAATAGTGCAACCCCTATTTGAAGAATTTCTAATAAAAAATATCTTCTACAGACATGTTATTATACACGTAGTAAACTTCACATATTGCATCGTATTTTACTTTGGTTTGAAAATGTTTTTTTATATTTATGGCCTTTGGTATGAAACTGACAGATAATGACCTCCTGCTACCAGTAGAGTTCACTATACAATAGGCTGCCTACCTTTGGTAATTTATGTACAAGCACAATTAAGGAAATAGTTTAGGTGGGTAGTTTTTTTTAAAGAGGAAACGGTATAACATATATTAGTGCTGTATAGGTGAAATAAATTACTGCACTTCCATATGTGGTTGAATGCGATGTTGTGTCGGTGATTGTATTTGTATTGCCGTGTGTCTCCCCTTTTTATCCAGGAAAAGTTATACCGTTAAGTTCGTCACATCAAATTACAATTGTGTTTTCACCAAGCAAAGGATCTAGTGCCAGGGGATATCACTTTGTATACAGAGGTAAATAATGTTTTCATATTCTGTATTCATCATCATCCACCATGGTCTACCCACTGCTGGATGAAGGCCTGTCCACTCCATTGTCATCCCCGCAGGGTCGTGCCACAATCCAACTCATTCCGCATGAGCTGCACTCATTCTCTTGGTGGGTACGAGCTTTACGCTTGATGCCATTCCCTTGACGAGTGCTGTCCATTGTCGTTGGCCCTTCATGAATTTTGTCCTGCCCAAGGCCCTCTGGCTTTGCTTTGCAGTCAATACGACGAGTCTCATTTGCATTTTGCATCTTACATGGTCTTATATATTTTTTTTTCTGCATATAGCATAAATTATGGCTTCCCAAAAGGAATCTAATAAGTGTTTCTTGAGTATGTTGTACAATGCACATGAATCCTGAAGTGTTATTTACATAGATTAGTGGGTAAAACTATTTTGAGGAATAACGAGTTCATACCTAATCTCTTTTAGGATAACGTTAAACCAATGCTAATAATATATGGGTGAAATTACACGGAGGTTGCATGTATCGAAAAGTATGCACTGAATGTCAGACTATGCATACTATCCATAATATAAGTTTTTGTGTTAGATCGCGTAAATATATAAAATGTGTCGTTAAAACCCGCCACCACCCGACACAGCCAACTGGTAAGGGTTATCACGTAAACAGAACGTGGCCAATTCGTCACTAGTTCAGCACACCGGTGTGTTCGAGAGCCGAGCCACAACATTTACAAACTGAGTACGACGTTTCGCCAGTAATTACAACCGGCTTCATCAGGCAACAGCCAGATTTGTGGAGAAGTCTTCCTGTTTCGTTCCTTATATAGAGGCATAGATGTGGTGACCACCTTTCTGTGCTCTTGCACACTGTGAGGGGGGGCGGGGGGGGTGACTGAGGCAACGTACATTATGCATGTGCATTATGCGAGCCCTTTACGCGATCTAACCCAAAAACCTCCATTATGGATGATATTGGTCGCGAAAGCCTACATGTTATGCATACTATAATAACACATTTAGATAATACAAATTATTAAGTACACCACTTTGTCAAGCTACAACTGAATGTAAGCCTTCCCACAGTATTGGCCATTGGGGGGTTGTTTGACCATACTTAACCCACATTGGTCAATAGTGGTTGGAAGGGGGTGGGGCGGGGGGGGGGGCAGGACTACTTGAGACATCTCTTGCTCGTAATATCGGAGTTTTTTTTGTGGTTATATCGCCTGAATATAAAATGTGTTGATAAACCCGCCACCATCCGACACAGCCAATTAGGAAGGCTTGTGACGTAAACAAAACATGCTAATCACTTACTAGTTCAGCACACCGGTGTGTTAGAGAGTAAACAAGTACGACGTTTTGCCGGTAACAACCAGCCTCATCAGGCGACTGCCAAAATTGTGGAGGAATTATTCTGTTTCGGTCTTAAATAGATTTGTAAGTGTGATGTTGTCACCGTGAGCCAATCCAGTGCGAAGACCAGCAGGAGGTTAATGTCGTAATATACATTGCAATGCATGTATAATCGTTGGGTTATTCACAGTTAATCAAAATACATGATGTATGCACATTTTGTATACACATTATGTATGTAGATTATGTTAATCTAAGAGTATGCTACTGTTGTTAGTCGTGACCAAGAGTTAAACTTAGGTTGCTGGGTGCATTGTGCACTGTGCTCACAACTATGCCACCGCTCTACGCATTTAATATCCCATTCTTAAAATATTTTCCCTGTCCCTTTATACGTGTGTACGCCTGAATGATTCAACCCATGGCGTGTCTGACTTTGTCCCTTCTTGCTTTTGTGTTTTTAAGCCGTTCCAAGGACCAGTGCAACCCATTGCACTTCAATATCAGAACCCCTACATGGCCGCAGGATAGGTTTGGATTTTTCCGCGAATTCCATTGTGAGGTTTGAATGTAATCCAGGTTATACCCTTAAGGGAGCCCAGGCTATTCAGTGCACAACAGTAGCCAATGCATTGGCTCAGTGGAATGACTCTCTGCCGACTTGCTACGGTGAGTGTAATAAGTGTTTCCAAGTAAAACCTGGCAGACGCGATCATCATAAACATTTGGATGGCCCAGCTGTTTACAAGCAAGAGCACAGACGTTTCAGTGTTTTTTTTTATTTCTTGTAATTATTATTTTTTCAGATATTTGAAATTCAGATTGCCTCAAACCAACATAATATGTATACGTGTAATGTTTTACTTGCGTACACACGCAGTGCTTTAAACAATCTATTGCTGGATGAGGGCATCCCTTCGCCACGTGGGTTGTGGGAGTTATTTGGGCATAAACTTCTCCATCACTGGTCAGTGTGGGTGGCTGATGAAGATGGGCAACCAATGATGTGGGCACATAGAAGTAACTTACAACAATATATTTTGTGAAAATGTATTTACGTTTTTTTGCTGAAAAGTTTGCATGAATGTTTAAACAAAGGTACATATTTTTTTACGAAGTGTGTATAAACCAATAATACTTTAATATATCTGCATTGTATAACGAATGTAGGTGAACTTTGGTTAATGTGCCAATGCTTCCGTGAACTACATGGGCACGTTTGCTAGGCTATGGCTGATGGCCTTTTACTGGAAGAGTTTAAATATGCAAATGATGCAATGAGTATTAATACCTTCTCTCTACTTTTGGTGGCGCGTTAGTTTGGCATCATTAGTTTAAAGTCGCACTTAATGCCCCTAGGCATGTTCAGATTTGTGTCCTATCCACTTTTTTTTACCTATTCAAATTGATTATCTTTTTTTTTGCTTTTTTTTGTTTTCAGCTCCCTGTGGAGGCAATCTGACGATTTACACGGGGACTATCCTATCCCCTGGCTATCCAGAGATGTATGATAACAACTTGGACTGTGTTTGGAGGATTATTGTACCAGAAGGAGATGGAATTCAGGTGCTAAACACGCTTTTAATTATATATATATCAGCATGAACATATTACACAAAATGCCGCATGTACACACTTACACAGGCAATTACCTTTATTATTTTAACGGCTAGCGTTTCCTACAAGCCCCTATACACTTTGTAATTTGTGTGCTATGTTTATATATACAGGTGATACAAGTATATCGTTTTTCTATTTTTTGTGCTTAGTTACTATTCTCTTTTGAGTAGACCACCATTTTACTACAATTTAAAATTAAAATCAATACTGTAAAAGAAAGGAGACGTGGATCACCGCGGGATAGAGGTTTGGTTGAATGGGGGTTCCCTTGGTTCATTAGCAGTAGCAGCAGCATCTTTCTCATCATCATTTACCATCATAATCTTTATCATATTCAGCTCTGCATCATCTTGATTGATCATCATAATTTATCATAATAATCATCACTATCACAATTTATTTATTGTGTTCAGCATCGTCTTGATCGTCATTGTTTATACTAACTGATAATACAATCTGTCTGCATTCTGCACGTTGGTGGATGGCAGAGGCTCTCTTTTCCATACAAACACACACTGTGTATCTGTTACACTAGTGATCTGGCTACCGTACTAACACACAGGCTAGTGTTCTGTGTATTTGTTACACTAGTGATCTGGCTACCGTACGAACACACACACTTGTGATATGTCTGTCCATTACACGAGTGCTCTGTCTGCCATACGAATACACGCGCTTGTGTTCTGTTTATCTGTTACGCTCGTGCCCTGTCTCCCATACAAACACACACGCTAGTGTTCTGTCGATCTGTTATGCTCGCGTGCGTGTTCGTATGGGAGCCAGATAGAGCACAGTCGGCTCGTTCTGGACAATTGCTCAGCACAATCAGTGCACATGGCTCACATTTCTTTTGGTACTTCCCCGGCTACTGATTGGCTGTGGGGAAAAAGCAATGTCATGACCCAACCTAATTCGGCAGGTCACTTTTACTGAATTTCTGCATAGCACTCATACTAATCATTATTGTGGACACAAACTCTACATCAATCAGTCATTTCTCACCCACAACCCCCCCCCCCCCCCTAACAAAACAAACGTCAAGGCCGAGTGTTTCATGTGAGGGAGTAACTGTGTCTCAGTTTTAAACAAATATATCAGAGGTATAAATTAAGGTGACTGGTGATCAATTGAGTTTGTCTTGCTAGCCAGTTTAAAATAGGATGTAATCAATAATTGTATGGTTATTCAATACTGGGGACATCCTTAATAGCTTCTATTTGTACGTAAATATAGTTTAGCTGCATTCACATATTGTGTCCACTCACTTCACGTGCATGTAACAATTAACCTTTTTCACAGGTTCAATTTGTTAACTTTGCAACGGAACATAATTGGGACACATTGGATATTTACGATGGACCTGATGTGAATTCACCCAAGCTTGGAAGCTTCTCTGGTAAGTAATCATTCGCTATCAAGACACATGTTGAATGTTATGTTACGTACAAATTGCTTCAATATCTGCATCTTGTATCAACTAGAAATGTATGCATGCATGTATGTTGAGCTTCTGTTGCACCATACGCAGCCAACCATGCTAATTGGAGATGCATAACATGCACATGGCATCGTATTGTTTAAGTTTCTCTATACATAAACAATAATGGATAATTATTTTCAGTTATATACTTTAATAGTGATGTAAAATATATCGCGCTTTCATGAACAGTATACTCATTGTCGTTTAACATTTTCCTTTGTTGTGTTTTACAGGGACAACAGTTCCAACTTTCATTAACAGCAGCTCCAACCAACTCTACCTGCATTTCCAAACAGACCTTAGTTTGGGTATTGTAGGCTTCCACGTAAAATACTCAGGTAAGAAGGTGTAACCTTCACTTTGTCTATCGCAACATGAACGCGGTGTAATAGTCTGTTATATGTAAATGAAGAGGACTGTAAGCACATAATATAATTGTTTTCTGACATGTTTTTTAAGAATGCAACGCTGGGCCGTACATAAATAACTAAGTAATGGAGGACTGTGTTGTTACGTGTCGTGAACACTTTCTTCAGTACTCCTAATGCAATGTTTACCAAACGGGTTAAGATAGAACCATTTTAAAGGACTAACGGTACAAACGGGAGTACCTTTTTATCTCACAAGAATACTTTTTTTGAACCATCACTATCCCAGTAGATATTTACCGTGGCTTTCACGGTTGCTCCATGGTACTATTGATGTATAGTGTACACGTGAGTAACATATAGACAATTGCGAGCCATCATGGTGATTAAGTGAACCGACACCATAAACTTAGATAATTATCTCATCATTATAAATTATACCCAATGGAAGGCAATAACATTTTAATCCAAGCATTTTTTTAAAAAGCCAATCCCACACCAACTACTTTAATCTCAATGTACTGTACTATTTTTCTGCTTCGAAGGCGTGATGACCGACGATCCTATGTTGCGTTAATATTTAAATAAAACTGAATGTACTCTGTGGCAAGGAAAAATAATGGTGCATTGCCGTCATACTGTTAATGTTGATGCTATTCATAAACATGTGATATTCGTACTCATGCCGTTTATTCTGATCTCCCCAATAGCCATAGGTCTTTCCTCATGCTCAGAGCCCAACACTCCAAGTAACGGTATAAAAATGGGGAACAGTTTCCTTGTCAATGACATTATGTCGTTCGAATGTGAACCTGGATTTAAACTTCAGGTAAGCCAATCCTCTGTAACAGTGCATCCCTTACGTAACACTCTGGTATAGGTTCTGCCAGGTGGCTGAGCTGCAGAGTGAGCGGCTTGCAATTGGAAAGTCGCAGAGTTCCAATCCTGTAGAGGGGGGCGAGGGGAAAAAATCCTTAAATTGTAATGTGGAAATCCAACCACTGGCTCCAGGGCTGTAAATATAAGATGTTCACCATCTCAGTGCTCATTTGACCAATAAAATCGCTTTGACTTCAAAAAATATATTATTTGCACTATATATTATTATTTTATATATACAGCGTATTTATACGTTATGCATGAGTTTTGGTTGTGCGCACACATGATAAATCAAAGACTATGTAATATTTTTTAATTAAATGCTTTTATTTAATTCAAAGGAATGTTTGCTAGAGAAAGTCTTGTTTCTGAGGTAGTAGACATGCTTCATGTTTAATGAGTAGCAATACAGCATATGACAGGAAAGTGTATTTAGCTAATGCATAAGCAATTAGCATGTTGGGATAGTTTGTAGAATGTATGCAGACATTGACAAGGAGCTACTGAAATATGTACCACAAACTGTCGACACAATCTCCACATTTTCCACATAATTAGCCACCTGTAACTTAAAAATAGCTTGTAGTCATTTATTAATACATGGCAGTTTGGTTAGCTATGGATGACTCTTATTTTGTTGATTAAATTTAAAAGAAGAATATGTAATATGTTTTGGAAAATGGGCAATTCAACCAGCTAAATATGTTATGTAAAAATATATATGTACATATGATTATAATATTGATTAATTCCACCGTATTTTTTCATACACAGGGTCATAAGCATATCATGTGCATGCCTGGTCCAGTGCGACGCTGGAATTTTCCTCCCCCTATCTGTACAGGTAAGTGCTGTAGACTGTTTAGCATCAGCATTCTTTCACCACATGATAAGCATTTTTCTAACATAGTATATACTCCTCATTATCATCAAAGGCCATGGTCAATAGGCTTATAGATGAAAGCCTCTCCAACCTGCCACCATCTCTCCAAATTCCACAATGCAACAATCCATCTCCATCACTTGATCTCCTCAGCACATGTCCTCTCAGACACGTTCCGTTTCTTACCTGGCAGTTCGTAATTATTTTTGACCATCTGCCATCATTCGTTCTAGAAATGTGTCCTACCAAACCCCAATTACTTGTATCACGAATTATTAAATATATCCACCGACAAACCATGAGCATGTACACATGTGTTATAATGGATTTGGACTACTGGATGGCCCAAAATATCCTGTGACTTAAAATATTTATTTCAAAATATTTTTGTAATAGTTTTTTTGTTGCATTAATAATTACAACACACATTATTTATCAAAATGTGCATGACAAGATCTTATTTGAATCGGGTGACCATCAACACCAATGCACCAGTAAAAAATATATTGGTGAGGACCCCATATTTCCAAAAAAATACCCCTTTTTCACATTTTTCTCTAATGATAAATAGGACAGGATATGATCATGTCACAACTGTGCATGGATTATTTTGGAAACCGAGTTTACGATGAACATTTTTTTAAACAGTGACTGGATTTCTTGTACACCCTAAACATATATTGTATATATAGGAATACCCCGATATACTTCTCCCCCTTTTACTTTGTTTAGCAAATATGTCGTCATTTTATAATTAATACCACTAGCTGATTTGCGTCACCTCATCCCACACTTACGTCGCTGACAGCATCATCCATCCTGTCTCGTATCCATCGACCTCAGCCTTCACCTCCAACGACCATATACACAAACTACTTTGCGTCACACGTAAATAAAAACATTGTTCTTGAGAATACAATATATTATCTACATGCAGTATTTTGGTGGTATCGAAAACATTCGCTTTGATTTACATTGTTCCGATATTCGTTGCACATTTAATCAATGCATGCCACACGTAAACCGGGGTATTAATGCACTCATTGTCCAGCATCAATCCCTTGTTTCACATCGGTTACCAACAACTATTCTCAGTGCACTGCTAAATGAAAAATACCTTACAGAAGCACCATGTCTCTAAGCATGCGTGTCTAATCTTGATTTGAAGCTTTCGTGACTGCAGGAGTTACTCTTTGGTCCTTTCGGTAAAGTCATGTAGAAAGATAAAATAAAATAAATTATTTCATTAATTGATTATTTTTTTTATTTCTACGTGACTTTACCGAAAGCCGTGTCTAAGTTGACAACATGTAATGTTGATAAAGATTGAACACACTCCAACAGAACCCCCAATGCAATGCAGTTCTCTCTTATAGCTAACTTCTTAAGCTTTATTCTTAGTTTTTTCGGTAAAGTCACGTTGAAGAGAAACAACAAAATAACAAAATATATATAAAACAATAAAAAATTCTCACGACGTTTCGACCATAACTCAAACGGTCATCATCAGGTGTGTCGGTTTGCATAAATTTATTTTGAAAACGGCATATTTATTTATTTATTTATATATAAAAATAACGTTTGCGTCACGCGCAACGATTGGCAGTTTGCCAGGACTAGTCCATCTATTTTTTGAAAAGAGGAGGGGGGAGACGAAATTTGTTTTTATGTATGCTGTCTGAAAGCCACTGTAAGCGTGAACAATCAATCAAGAACTGAAATGATTTATCAAATCTTTCCAATTATTGCTAAGATAGAATCCATCTTCTCGGTTGAAATTGTCTCTGTGCTTGTATATGTGGATAGCCTCATGAACGAATCTCTCATGGAAGCCAGATGGCTTACAAAGAACCTCCGTCTTGGAAAAGTCAATGGCATGTGAGCCTACTGAATTAGAACAATGATCTGCTACGGCCGAGGTGTTGGTCCTACCGTGTTTAAGGTCTGCTTTATGTTCACGAATGCGGTCCGAGATATGGCGTTTGGTTTCTCCAATGTAACTACTACCACGGTAGGACCAACACCTCGGCCGTAGCAGATCATTGTTCTAATTCAGTAGGCTCACATGCCATTGACTTTTCCAAGACGGAGGTTCTTTGTAAGCCATCTGGCTTCCATGAGAGATTCGTTCATGAGGCTATCCACATATACAAGCACAGAGACAATTTCAACCGAGAAGATGGATTCTATCTTAGCAATCATTGGAAAGATTTGATAAATCATTTCAGTTCTTGATTGATTGTTCACGCTTACAGTGGCTTTCAGACAGCATACATAAAAACAAATTTCGTCTCCCCCCTCCTCTTTTCAAAAAATAGATGGACTAGTCCTGGCAAACTGCCAATCGTTGCGCGTGACGCAAACGTTATTTTTTATATATATAAATAAATAAATATGCCTTTTCAAAATAAATTTATGCAAACCGACACACCTGATGATGACCGTTTGAGTTATGGTCGAAACGTCGTGAGAATTTTTTTATTGTTTTATATATATTTTGTTATTTTGTTGTTTCTCTTCAACGTGACTTTACCGAAAAAACTAAGAATATGAATTACTGCAGTCACGAAAGCTTTAAATCAAAATTCTTAAGCTTTGTTTTAACAAAATGAGGTCCTTACAAATATATTTCTGTTCATATTTTTGGTAAAAATTATTGTTCATTATAACATACTACTGTATGTGACATATCCATGATTAGTGCATATGCACCAATGTTACACGACTGTCATAATCACTTGACTGTGTATTGAATGCAGATTTAAATCATGACGACCTCTAACATGATATTTTTCTCTGTGTCCTTGCCTTGTAGCGGTCTGTGGTGGAACTATGACGGAATTCAATGGCATTATTCTCAGCCCTGATTTTCCTGGAAATTACCCAAGCAACGTAGAGTGCCATTGGAAAATTGAATTGCCTATCGGTTATGGTGAGCTGAAGACAATTTATGAAACTCCGTGGATTATCGTTGGTTTTGTTTTCATTATAAAATAACGATTCTCGAATGTAAAAATATCGACAAGAACTGAACAATTGTGACGTTAAAAATGTAACTGATAGACTCGTGCTCAAGATATTAATTCAAGGCAGTAGTGTAGCTTTTTGTTATTTATCTTAACTGGTGATGGTTCATTAATTTGTAGCAACCAATCTCTTTTTTTTCCTCTTAAAACAAATAATAGAGGGTGGACACTGCTAAATAATCTCTATAAAAATGGATTGTTCCTTAGTTATTGCTTCCACTAGTACGCGCATGCAGTCCTCAGCAATATCACGAGGAGTCTTCCATTTATTTTGTAGGGGTAGGTTAATGTCGTTCCATATCTCTACATCCACGCTTATTTCACAGCAGCGCTGTTGGTTGCTTCTCGCGACAAAAGTTAAATCGCAGTGTAAGTCACACACAGCATATGGTCCTGCTTTGCGTGGTAAAATTTTAGAATAGTTGCAAAATGAATGCGTAAAGAAAAACCGTTGAATCCATTGATTTTGGCTCGCATTTTGTTTCAGGTGTGTATCTTCAATTTGAAAACTTTACTACGGAGCTTGATCACGACTACCTCGAGATCCGTACCGAAATAGCGCAAGTGAGCAGCACGATTGGCCGATTCAGCGGGCCCACTGTGCCCGCCGCACTCCTCAGCACGACTCACCGGACCACAATGCACTTCCACAGTGATTATTCTCAAAGCAAGCCGGGCTTCAAGATCTTTTACGAAGGTAAGGCTCGCTCGCTTAGAAACAAAAAAATGACGAAATGTGTGGTCGACGCCTACGGGCTATCTGCCCATGGATCGTGATGATAATGAAGGCTCACTACAATCAATCAGACTGCAGAGTAATAACAAAAAAACCTGAGCAAAGTAACTGTTTTCATGAAGACTTGTGTTGTTATACTTAATCAGCCAAAGAAACATGTTTTTTTCGATTTATCATTGATACATCTCTAACTTAACTAATTACATATTTGAAAAGTGAAATGAGCATCTGGATAACAGATTTGCTGCATTTGGCACGGACAAATCACTGCTGGTGTCATGGTTATCACACCGGATTTGCAATCTAGAGGTCAATGATTCTATCTCCCAGTTTGGCAGTTAAAACAATTGGCAACTTTATAAATCCGCCTCCTTTGTCCACCTGGTAGTATGAAAGGGTGCATCACAGTTCGTCAATTGGTAGGTCGAGTGTGGTTGGGTGAAGTGTGGGTATTCCCACTGCTTTTAGGCTGGTCAGCATGGAGGAATAGGCCAAATGCACTCGAGAAGGCTTTCTATAACTCACACTAATGGGGCCTCTTCCACTAGCAGTGGCATGGGGAAGTAATTTCAGGGCTGCACATTTAACTTTTTGAATCAGTGCAGCAATTTCAGTGTGTAGGTTGACTTAAATTGTCTCGCTCTTTACAGAAACAAGGGCATTACATGGTTTTAGAATGTTAGCTACCACAGCTTTCCTCTGGTGCATGATTTCTCTACCAAGTGGTGTACTGGAATGCACTGAGCTTTTTTAAAAATTTCCTTTCTGTCAATGCACTGGCATGAACTAAACCACTGTGCAATATTCATCTGGTGGGTAACATTGCTGTAACAAATGATGTGTGTCACAATTAATGTCTGTGCACCTGTGGGGAGGTGTAGGTGTGGGGCATTAATTACGGAATATGTAATTTGTTATATGGGCAGTTCTATTATTGCCATTTACTCCCCTGTCCAGCCTCGACCCCATTTCCCACCAGGGAGGATGAATACATGTAAGACATATATATATAAAATGTTGCATGCAAGCACGCGCTCAGATGCAATGCACTCACGGGGCTTATTTTAGCCTCGTTGATGTAAATAAATGGTATCTCGTCATATCCTAATGTCAGTCGGTACTTAATTAATGCTCTCTTTAAGACATGGGACCTGTCAGCGATGTCAGTAGACAGTTATTGTCTTATCCTACCTTATAGGAGCTTCCGTTATGACCTTGCATTGTAGCTATAAATACATAACCAATAAAGAAGTTTGGATGCAAAAATAGCTTAAATGACTGATTATGTTATCATAAATGTAGCAAATATTTGGTTCTTTTATATATACGAATATAAAGATTGACATGATATTGTGGTCCAATTTTATTTTACTGTTAAGATCTTAGATACATTTGTGTAATAATTTCACAAGATGAATGTGATAACTTTGTATGGTTACTCGAAATGTCAATCAACATCGCATGATCTGAAAATTAAATACTATAATTTATATGATCTATTTTCCATAATGTCATTTTAATTGGTATAGGATATAAGTGGATTGCTATAAATGTATATTTTTTAAATGGATCTCCATGGAATCTGTTTGATAATTTCCGATTTTGGATGTTTTGTTTTACTACTGTTTATCCGTGGTAATGAGGAATTACATTGTTTTTGTACCACTTCATTTAAAACTGTATTGACATTAGCTTCGATGTTTTAGCTCATTAAATTTCTAAACAACAAAAAGTGCTACCGTGAATCTAATTTATTGCTCCATGTGAAAATTACACGATTTCCAAACCAAACTAAATTATCCAAATAGGAATCGGCATTTTAAAGAGTTCAGAATTTTGCCTGAAGTCATTATAACCTGAGAACAGATTTGTTTGAAATCAGCAGATATAATTATCCACCTCAAGCGCTTCTTCTGTGGTTCAGTTCTGACCACTGAACTATTGATTTCATTTTAATAGTTGCTTTCATTTTTTGTCAGCGTCTGTAGCCAGAAGGAAATGTTACGTGCTTGCCTATGCATACATTTGTCACAGTTTTTCCATGAAGCTAAAGTAATTTAATACCTTAAAGTTTTACCAAAACCTTGCTTTGAGATTGTTTTTTTTTTAAATGCTATCCTATGTCCTTGTGAAATTATAATCTAATATTAGTAACATGTTACAGTGACTCCTTTTATGAAATTCCATTACTCCTTAGAAAAAAATAATTAAAATACGTGCATCTACAACCTTTTGTCAAAGCCTCCGCACACATATAATTTTGGGTCCTGTGGCTTATTTGGCCATACTTCACCATGCCAGCCCCTCAGCAGCCTATAACACCTGTTAAACATGGTTGTTATGGTTGTGAGAGCTGTAATACATTTTTAACAGACCACACTGAGACAGGAGAGAGAGAGACAAGTAAATTTAGTTTTACGTTTGATGTTATTGCGATATTTTAGTTTAGGGTGTATGACAGTATGTCCTGACTCTTGCACTCAATTGTAGTGACTGTTCTTTTAACTATTACTGTTTTTTTGTGAACGGTTTAAAATTATTAAAATCAACTGACAACAGATTTTTGCGAACGCACCAGATAAGCCGAACCCAAAGCCTCGTGTTAACCCCCTGTGCACATACACATGCAGCACTTACCTAACTCTCCCCAGTTTCAATAGGATCCTACATTTATTTTACGTAAAAAAATCGACTTTATAAATTACACAATAGTGTTTAATCCCTTATAAATCATCGGTGTTATACAAGAAAATACAGACATTTACAAATAAAATTCCAACCCCTTCACTGCACAAATCTCGCAGAAGTTATATCATATTGGAAATGACACGTGCGGTAAATGACACGTGCGGTATGTGAAATATTTCTGCAAAAGTTGAAAAGTGCATAAGACACATGGAGAAGTGCATGCTTTTAAAGATGCTTATAGACCAGATAGAGGAACACATTAGCCAAGGAACAAAAACTTTTCAGAGATGTAAAATTGACTGCTCAGCGAAGTAAGTGGGCTTGGGCAGGACACATCCCTAGAATGGACGATTACCAATGGATGAGATTGGTGATTGAATTGCAGTAAAAGGACTGAATGTGCCCAAGAGGATGGCCACGATGGAGATGCACAGTTCATGTTTATGTCCACACTGAGATCAGTTCAGGTGCAGGAGTGAGATAGATTGTGGGGTGTTGGCACCGGGAGGCCTACATCTCACAGTGCATAGATAATGTCTGATGATGATAATGATCATGACCATAATGATGTCCACCCAATGAACCTTCAAACGTAATATTAAGTGTACTGCAAATGAATGTTGAACTCACTAGTGTGTGTGTGTGTGTATCTGTGTCCGCGTATATCTCTGTGTGTCAAGCGTATGAGTTGCAGAACTGCCCGGACCCAAAGCCATTCCGAAATGGCTTTGTCGTGGGTTCCAACTTTGGTGTTGGCCATTCCATCTCCTTTGAATGCTTCTCAGGCTACGTACTGATTGGTCAATCTATTCTAACCTGTCAACATGGTGTCAATCGGAACTGGGACCATCCCTTCCCCAGCTGCATTGGTAAGTCCACTGCAAATCAAAATAAATGCTACAAACATTGCAAATGGCCACATGGCATTACCAGCACTGGGCCATTTCTTCAACGACATCAATTCAATACACCCAGCCATTCAATTCACCATGGAGGTGGAAAAGGATGGCAAGTTACCATTCTTGGATGTGTTAATCAAAAAGAGACCAGATGGCTCAATGGGACACTGTCTACAGATGCCTACCTAAATCCTGACTCCCACCACCATCCATCCCAGAAGAATTTCCTCATCAAAACTCTCCACCATAGAGCTCATTGCATTTTCGGCCATCACCACCTAGCCAGTGAACTGGAGCACGTACACCAAGCCCTCAAGATCAATGGATATTCGGACTACACAATATGTAAAGCTATCACCCCAACCGTTGGGAAAGAGCCATCTGAGGACCCAATCAAAACCATCACCCTGTCATACATAGCAGGGGTTACCAAAAAGATTTCCAAAATCATGAGCAAACACAAGATCCAGGTTCGATTCAACACAGTACATAAAATTCGTGATCTGATCCCATCTGTGAAGGATGTGATCCCTGACATGCAATACCCCGGTATCTACAAACTAAGCTGTGTCTGCGGCAGTAGTTACATTGGGGAAACTAAGCGACATGTCTCGGACCGTGTTCATGAACATAAGGCAGATCTGAAACACGGTAGGACCAATACCTCAGCCGTGGCTGATCATTGTTTCAACGCTGTGGCCGCACACGAAATTTATTTTTCCAAGACGAAGGTACTCTGCAAACCCACTGCCTATCAACAAAGATTCGTTCATGAAGCCATACAGATATATAATCACAGACACAATTTCAACCGAGAAGATGGGTACAAACTGAGCAATCATTGGAAGGCCGTTATTAACCAGTTTAAGTCATAAATGGCTGTGATGTTTTCTATCCTACCTGCCGATGTTAGCAGTTATTTCCGACTCTCTGAGTTACATACACGCTAAACGTCTCACTAACACAGCAACTGTTGCTCCTTGTCCTCGAGTTGGCGGTGTCCCTCGTTTTTTAACGAGCTGGATGTCTCACTAGCATGGTGGTTCAATTACATTGACATGCTAATCTCTCACAATACAATGGCCACCTCCACAGCTGCTTCGTCATGGAGGTATATATCTGCTCTCCGATCTTACATTTACATGCAAATTCAATCTCTAGCTCCGCCCAGTTACCCTTGGGCTACACCCATCTCAAACCTATATAACATCCTGCTTCAGCAGCTCTCCGATCTTACATTGACATGCAAATTCCCTCTCTAGCCCCGCCCACTTACCCTTGGGCTACACCCATCTCAAACCTATATAACATCCTGCCTCAGCAGCTCTCCCGCTATATATTTTTTCACCTGATGACTATTGCTTGTGTTGCGATCAAAACGTCGTGATATTTGTATTATTATTTTCTATCTACGTGGCTTTACCGAAAGACCCAAAGAATATTGCAAATGAAATTAAACAAAACATATGTACATAATAATAATAATAGGGCACCTGGAAATTATTATATTGGAAATGTTTTGATTATAGTTAACATATGTTGTGGATATTTTTCAACATTGAATGTTTAACTCGGTGTTATATATTAGTATATATGTACAATTAACACGTAAAAATATATTAGTATATATGTACAATTAACACATACAAATATATGTTAGTATATGTGTACAATTAACACATACAAATATATGTTAGTATATGTGTACAATTAACACATACAAATATATGAGTATGGCAAATTTTAAATGTCTGTGTTAATAGCGATAGAGCAAATATGACATGACTATGACTGTTTTGAGAACATAAAAGTGGATATACGCATAGACACATATGTGTGTTTATTTTATGTTTTTCAACACACATTCTATGAATATGAAAAATACAATGCTATATACACATGAATGCAAATACACTTCTACATTAAATATCAATCACCCGTGGGGAACGCTGTTAGTAAGCTCGGACAAGAAGGCGTAGGGAAAGAAAATTGTTACAGGGCCCCAGAAGTCTTAAGCAAGAGGTGGAGATCGTGTGCCCCCATCTTCACAGCTCCGTGTGGCGGCAATGTGACGGGCATGAGCGGCACAGTATACTCTCCGGGATTTCCCGATGAGTACCCCAACTTCCAGGACTGTGTGTGGATGGTGAAAGTTGCGTATGGACACGGAGTCTACATCAACTTCACGCTCCTTCGCACCGAGCCAGTCTACGACTTCATCACCATCTGGTAACTATACCCGCATGTGTGCACGCCTACAATGGAAGTGTAGCGGCTCGCGCACCGCGCTACGAATTGGGCGACCCGTGTTTTGAGTCCCGCTCACGGCCAACACCGGTGACAGTTATTTGAACCGGTCATGGCCATCCCCTAGGTCGACTCAGCCTCAAATGGGTACCTGGCGCGGTGTAGTGTGTGGTGTGTAAACATCTCTAACAGCACTTGCCCCCAACAGTCTGTGAAGGCTATATCGGTGAGCTTTGTCTTTGTGTACAACGGGCGTGGTGCCGGCCACCCATCCCCCTCGTGTACCGTGCTGGCCTATACAGGTGCTCGCTAACAGCACTTTCCCAAACAGCATGTTAAGGCTATACAGGAGATCTTTGTCTTTGTGTATGACGATACGTATCACGATGGGCGCTATGTAATCACTTGACAGGTCTATCCCAAACACACAGTGTTATTAAAAGTATGTCCGCATAATATTATTGTATAGTAGAAGATGGTTGATGACAGAGCGCATAACTGAATTTTCTTCAGAATGCATTAAATGTCTGTGCCATTTTTTTTTACACCGTAAGAAAACACAATATAAATAATAGTTGACAGTAAAAGGTCAAGGTGCAGCACTGCTAATGGCTTGTGCACGGCACTGCTGGTGGATGGGCCTCCACTCTTGAGGGTATTTCTCGCCTCATTTTCCATACTGACCAGATGTCTTGGAAGATAATCATTAATAAAACCCAAAAATTATAATAATACAAATTAGTAGCAAAGCTGCCAGATTAACAATATATTTTTTGCAAAGCCTCTTAACATGTATTTCCCTTGAAAAGTCATTAATAACATAATTATGGACGATGAAGTTTTTTTGTGTTTCGTTATATTGTAGTCCGGGATGACCTTTCCCCCATAATTAGGGCTCTTTTAATTATGCGTCTTGCATTAATTATTTTCAGTGGTATTTTTCTTCTAATGCCACTAGTTAGCCGTGCCATATTGGTGTTTATTACTGCATAGAGTTATAGCTTGACCTTCAACTCTGTCTAATGCGTAACACCTACGGTTCAAGATTGTCTTACAATTGTTGTGTGGTCCAAAAGGTTAGCTCTTCCATTATTGGAAATTGTATTTGAATGCTTCAAATTGTATATAAAAACGTTATAAATATAAGATATTAGAAATAATGTTGCTTGTTGATCTGTATCGCCAATGATATGTAGTCAAATGTTTCGTGACATTTCCAGACATTTACTTCTATAATCAATTTAACAGCATACTTGTTCAAATAATTGAGTGTCTCCAGATCTGTTCACACAGTAAATGTGTAAACAATGTTTTAATATGTTTAATATGAATGATACAATTGTGACCCATCCATAGTTCAATGAATCATCACAATTCAAGGCCACAATTGAATTAACAAATTTCAGAATATGTTGTCTGACCGTTTTGTGATACTGGACTCACTAATCTAAAACTGGAAGTAATACATTGCAAGTGGAAGTCAAATCGCATTCGTAAAATGGTTTCCTTGAAATTTACTGAAAAGAGCAACTCTTCAATTTGAACAATACATTTGATGCAATGTTTTAAAAGCAAAATGGGAAAAATACGAAAGAAGAAAATATGCACATATTTTATAACATGATACATGCACATAACCGATGGAAACAGGGTGGAGGATGCTGTGTGTTAACAGCGTCGCTGCGAGTCACTAGCCGAGCGACATTCAATCGTGACAGCGTGTAAAGCACACATGTGTTCTGTTGGCAATTCTGCTGAAGAGTTGTCACCACAAATATTGAGCGATTTGGTAGTTTTCCTTTCTGACTCCGCTTTGGATATGTTGCCGCTTAAACAGACACTGCCCAAATAATACAAAAACGTACAATATCCGTTCTCTGCCAGCGCAAATCTTGAATATTATGTTCCACTTCTTTCACCTCAACAATAACCATGACCCTAAAGATAAGGTGATTACGCACACATTTGGTGACTTCAAATGCGCTACAAGAATCTGGGAAAGGGTTGTGGACTATACACCTTATTCAAGTTGTGTTGGTGTTTTGATAAGCGTTTCCAAAGATGAGATTATAAACTTGTATCCCCAACAATAAAAGACAATATTTGCATATCAATCTGGAGTTTTTGTATTATTAGTAATATAAAAAAATGTAAAAAAAAAATGAAAGTAATTTTCTGCTACAATAAACATGGGATTGTGCCATCTCTTGTTTATAGCTCTGAGTGAATGAAACTCCATATTCCGAGGACAGTGGTTATTAAACATATTTGGCAGCCACTGTGAAATTTCCAAAATTAGATACTTATTTTAAAGAATAACAACATTGAGATGTTGAGCTGAATGCTCTAATCACCATGGAAACCCAGCCTGTATTGCATGAATATAGACCATTTGGCAGTTAATAAATAGTTTTTTTTATTAACTGCCAAATGGACTATTTTTTCAGGATGGTCCTGCGTTTGAATGTTTGGCCAACACCAATTACATTAAATTAACTTTCGCTCTGAGAGGAAACTGAAGAACCCAGAGTTCAACCCACACAGAACTGGGGGAGAACATAGAAACTCCATGCAAAATGTTTCCCGATTCAGGAATAAAAGCCGAGGTGCTTCTTGCTACAAAGCACAAGTGTTATCACCGCGCCACTCTATACACTCAGTGACTCAAACTAGTAGGGACATTTAGGTGGGATTGGTCAGCAGACATCACTGAAGGGGATCAATCAAATCAGTCAAAACTTTATTTCTATAGCACTATTCGTGCAAAAAAAAATGAAATAGTGCTTTACAGGCATGAACAATACAAGTGAAATTGTAGGCAACATAAAATCACGTTGTAAAACATTTCTAGCAAAGACGTAAAAATAAGACATTAAGAAAATCCTAATTAAAAACAAATTTTTAAAAAAGTAACTTTTTTTTACTTATTTTAAAAGTGCTTAATGATTCTGAATCCCTCAGATCAACTGGCAGGCTGTTCCACTTGCGAGAACCGTAGACATGATTGACAAGGCTAGTGAAAAAGCAGAGAATGTATCCAAGAGGACAACTGCTGCGCAGATGAAATCAGTTTTTTGTGCAGGCGTTGGGTGGATGGTTACATCGCAGGATCGTGAGGGATGGCAACAGCTAGGGGAGGCCTTTATCTAGCAGTGGATTGTACGTGTGCAAATTAAACTTATTTTGCACTGTACGTAGTGAACCATGCTCATCATAGGTGTGGGGGAAGGACAACAAGCTAAATGCGAAAATCAGTTCTAAAGAAATTAGTGTCCCACCTAGATTATTTCAAAGTGCATAGGCTCCAATGGCTTCCCAATATCGGAAGGAAGAGTGTTCCAGACGGCGGCAGAAGCGCATCTGAAAGCGCGCGATGTGGTGACCGTCTTTGTTCGATGGTGAGTCAAAAGCTGCGAGGTTGACCGGAGTTTTCGTGATGGTTTATGCTCCTTAACTAGATTATGGCTGATAGGAGAATGACCAAGTTTAATCCGTTTAATGGGGTCTATCGTCCCAATAAACGCACTAATTTGCCAATATGCATCATTCTCATCATCGTCTTCTTCACAGGCAACACATTTGGGAGTATATGGAAACATATACAGTGAGGGAAAAAAGTATTTGATCCCCTGATGATTTTGTACGTTTGCCCACTGACAAAGAAATGATCAGTCTATAATTTTAATGGTAGGTTTATTTGAACAGTGAGAGACAGAATAACAACAAAAAAATCCAGAAAAACGCATGTCAAAAATGTTATAAATTGATTTGCATTTTAATGAGGGAAATAAGTATTTGACCCCCTCTCAATCAGAAAGATTTCTGCCTCCCAGGTGTCTTTTATACAGGTAACGAGCTGATATTAGGAGCACACTCTTAAAGGGAGTGCTCCTAATCTCAGCTTTTCACCTGTATAAAAGACACCTGTCCACATAATTAATCAATCAATCAGATTCCAAACTCTCCACCATGGCCAAGACCAAAGAGCTCTCCAAGGATGTCAGAGACAAGATTGTAGACCTACACAAGGCTGGAATGGGCTACAAGACCATTTGCCAAGCAGCTTGGCGAGAAGGTGACAACAGTTGGTGCGATAATTCGCAAATGGAAGAAACACAAAAGAACTGTCAATCTCCCTTGGCCAGGGGTTCCATGCAAGATCTCACCTCGTGGAGTTGCAATGATCATGAGAACGGTGAGGAATCAGCCCAGAACTACACGGGAGGATATTGTGAATGATTTCAAGGCAGCTGGGACCATAGTCACCAAGAAAACAAATGGTAACACACTACGCCGTGAAGGACTGAAATCCTGCAGCACCCGCAAGGTCCCCCTGCTCAAGAAAGCACATATACATGCCCGTCTGAACTTTTCCAATGAGCATCTGAATGATTCAGAGGACAACTGGGTGAAAGTGTTGTGGTCAGATGAGGACAAAATGGAGCTCTTTGGCATCAACTCAACTCGCCGTGTTTGGAGGAGGTGGAGGAATGCTGCCTATGACCCCAAGAACACCATCCCCACCGTCAAACATGGAGGTGGAAACATGCTTTGGGGGTGTTTTTCTGCTAAGGGGACAGGACAACTTCACCGCATCAAAGGGACGATGGACGGGGCCATGTACCGTCAAATCTTGGGTGAGAACCTCCTTCCCTCAGCCAGGGCATTGAAAATGGGTCGTGGATGGGTATTCCAGCATGACAATGACCCAAAACACACGGCCAAGGCAACAAAGGAGTTGCTCAAGAAGAAGCACATTAAGGTCCTGGAGTGGCCTAGCCAGTCTCCAGACCTTAATCCCATAGAAAATCTGTGGAGGGAGCTGAAGGTTCGAGTTGCCAAACGTCAGCCTCGAAACCTTAATGACTTGGAGAAGATCTGCAAAGTGGAGTGGGACAAAATCCCTCCTGAGATGTGTGCAAACCTGGTGGCCAACTACAAGAAACGTCTGACCTCTGTGATTGCCAAAAAGGGTTTTGCCATCAAGTACTAAGTCATGTTTTGCAGAGGGGTCAAATTCTTATTTCCCTCATTAAAATGCAAATCAATTTATTACATTTTTGACATGTGTTTTTCTGGATTTTGTTGTTGTTATTCTGTCTCTCACTGTTCAAATAAACCTACCATTAAAATTATAGACTGATAATTTCTTTGTTAGTGGGCAAACGTACAAAATCAGCAGAGGATCAAATACTTTTTTCCCTCACTGTACCATCCAGGGGAAGCTTCTCAAGCGATTCCCAAAACATTTCCATTGCAGTGCAGTTTCTGAAATGTCAATTGGAGTCTTGTTTGAAATTATTCATAGCCAATATAGATTGTGTTATAATTACGTGATTGAACTATCATCAAATGGAATATTATAGAAATGTGAAAAAAATAATGAGCATGCTGTATTATGCAGTGTGGAGGGAATGTTTCATTGCTATAATCGTATAACTATGCATGCATAATATGACATTAAATCATTCATAAGGTGTAAAGAAACACAGCTTTTTTATATATTACACTCGTATGTCTTTCATATGTTCAGTATAATTGGTAGATTTTCTTACACACTTCCATAAAATATAAGAAATGTAATGTTTTATTTAATAAATAATGAGAAATTATACTTGACAATTTGACACCACATTTAGTGACACTCAAGCATCGCATTTCTTTAGATTTAATTTTTTTATTTGCATAGGACATTGAGGATTAGCAACTGTTTCAAACTTAACACGCATTTGTTATGCGTCATATTCTATTTGTTGTAAATGAAAATGCATCAGCTGCACCCGCATGGTATTAATAAATAAAGTGTAAGCCTCACTCGCAGTGTTTAATCTATTGAAGTATTAAACCAATCCTTGTTTTTATATTATTTCTCGGTGCAGAAATTGGCACAGGGGAATAATGCATCAGTTGTACTTGTGTTTCTACTTTGGGTACGGAATTGGTGTACACTTTGTTGTTTAAGTTAAATTGGAATGTTATTTTCTTAATACGATTTTGTATGCTAGTGAAAAGTTTGGTGTACGGGCAAGGTAACGTGATTATAACACATTAATTATAATGCCTACTCTAACCAAAAACCATATGTAACATGAGAAAATTACGTTTTATTTATTTTATCGCAAATAATGTGACACCACATATTATGGTGTTGCGGAAATGCTTTTATCCATGTGTTAATTACGTTTTTCACTTGGTTGTGTAAATAGCAACACCATTACGTTGTTATTTTTTATCGTAAATTTTATTTAAACTTTCCTAATCGGTATAACAGTAGGACATCACCCCCATGTGGTTTTCAGAAGGAGATATCACAAAAAATAATTTTGAGATCCCTTCAATTGCATGCCATCTTATTTTTCCACACCGTTTAGTTGCAGACTGTCCCAAACACCCTGCTACAGAAAAAAATGCTTGTCACATGGTTATCAAACTAATGTTTTTAATTCTCAAAGCTAAAATGTGGCCAAATTAAGTAGAAACAAACACATTTTACGTGATGTTTTAGTTGTACAATCATTGGTGACCGGGCTGAAACTATCTCCATGACTGAAAATTAGGAACCCGGCTAAATTTCAAGCTGTGTTTGGTTGCTGCATAGTCATCACATTTCATATAATTATTCACAATGAAAGAGTGTTGAAACTAAGATGTTGAAGTATAGTGTTTTATAGCGGCATGCACTGCATTGTAGTTATTTAATCAAAAGCTATCACAACATCCACTTGCATAGCATAGGCCTCTGACAATACCATGATAGGTGCTCTTTTAACACATTCAAAATACCATCTCATTTAATTTGTTTTACATGATTTCAAGAGAGGAAGTGTTTCCAATGATTTCAAAAGCTTATTGTAAAGGTTATGGGTGTGAATAAAACAATATACCTTTAATTATATGAAAAAGGGTAATGTTGAGAATTTGAAGGGATCATTTATTTTCCTGATTTTTGTTAGCATGAGTGAAACAATATAAGATCAGACACTCATTTCCGTATCTCATGTCCAGCCAGCACATTTACTGGTTACCCTTCATGCGGTGAATGCGTGCAGGGATGGACCTGAACAGAATGCACCACAGCTTGGGCAGTTCAGTGGCAACACTGCCCTGGAGTCTGTGTATAGCACTTCCAACCAGATTCTGCTCAAGTTTCACAGCGACTTTTCCACTGGGGGCTTCTTTGTTCTCAGCTACTATGGTAGTGTCCTACTCTCTTGCTTTTCATTTATATCGTTCCAGAGAGGCTGTTGTGTTTTTTTTCGTGACATTAAATATGCATAATGCGTTATCTGTAAGCATAGTAATGAAAACAGTCTGTCTTTTAATACCGTTAAGATAGTTTTTTTGTATTTTACTGGTTACGTGTTATTTTGGATTTAATTTATAAATGTAAGAAATAATCTGTTGGTTTAATAAATGTAAGAAAAATGTATAAATGTAAGAAATAATGTGTTTGTTGCATTTAAATGCGTTTGAACAGATCAAGCTGTAAGTAAAGTGTAGATGAGTTATTGTGTACGTTTAGACTACTTAGCCTGACATTAATGCTTTCCGTTTCTCTGTGGTTACAAAGACATGACGATGTATTTCTGCATATGATATAATTACGATGGAATTTTGCGTGATTTTGGATCAAGATTGTCTTGTACATCTGCTAATGTGTTCCTGAAAAGATATTGTGAGATAACGAGGTTGATGATGGTTGAAATTAAAACATTTTATTTTTGTTTAATGCTCTTTGTATTTCTCCCAACCAGCCTACCAGTTGCGCGTGTGCCAATTACCACCTTCTGTGCCGCATGCTGAAACACTGATGCAGGATAAAGAGCTGGAAATTGGTAATGATGCATGCAGCAAAGTCCGATTGCCAACTGATGCTGATATCGTGCATTCGACACCGATTCCACACACACAAACTAACATTAAATATAAACTGCGGAATCAATGTCACTTACTTATGTAAAGAGTTTACGTACATTAAACAGGTAAAAACGTTCACAGTATGATGTAAACAAATTATGCAAAGAAGAATGCCATTTGTATAGAATTGAGGAGTGGTATGCTATACTTTTTTTTTAACCATGCAATTGCATAATTGTATTCAGATGTAAATCTTTCACTTTCACTGACACCAGAATGAGTGTGATCAGTAGATGTGCCATGCGGGACTAGTAAGTGCACTGCTAAGTTGTTCAGTACGACTGGTAGTCCTCAAACGTATCGTGTTTTTCAAGCGAATGCATTACTACCTTTGTAGAATGATTTACCACGTGAAATTGGGTTTTTTGTTAATAATGCAGCGCTACATTCTCCGGAATGTAACAGATTCCCCCCCACCCCTCTACTTTAGAGCAAAAAAATTTGGGTGTTTCTTTTAACCCAATATGTGTGTTACATATTCGTATAACTTCATTGGCACAGGGCATAAGTTTGGCAGACATCTTAATTTGCAAGTCATAGTATAGTTGTGTGTAGAATGCATAAGTGAAGAGTGCTCATTGAGAGGTCATGTGTTGTGCTCAGGGGACACAGTTCACTATCGCTGCGAGGCCGGCTTCACGATGTTATACAGCGACGTGCTCACCTGCCAGCTGAGAGCCCGTCTACAGATGGACACCACTCCACCAGCGTGCGAGGGTGAGTCATAGAGGCCGTCTTGCACACATGCAATGAGTCATGACTAAGGCCCCCTTTTAAAAAAAAAATACATACGCACTCATAAGGATGATGAATTTCATTTATTATTCGCTTGTATGCCACGGCATCTCAAAGCCACTTGCAAATACGCAGGAAATATACAGTACAAGATACTCCGGGGCAGAAATATGGGAAGAGACAGAGGGGATGGGGTGAAAAAAAAAAGAATAAAAAAAATATACACACAAAAGATGAACTCTGGAGGGACACGACGAGGACGGAGACAATATTGTGACCCGTACAAACACAATAGCCCAGCAACGGTGTCAGAGGAGTCTGGAAAATAACAATGGAGCAGAGCTCAATCAGCCCAGGCCACGGATCCCAATATGCCCACCGCCGCCACCACGCACTGCCGCAAACGACAACCCAGTACAACGCACCAAGCGTGCGTAAGAAAGCCGCAGAGTCTACATTCCATGGTTAAATACTGGCAGGCCCCCTACGTTTACTGTTTTTAGAAATGTTAAGCATATTAAGGAAGTCGTGTTCAGTGCTGTCTTTCAGAATTCGTATTTTAAAATGACTTTAAAGGGTTTGGAATCAGTTGGCTCTCCAGATATTTGTAGTATGGTTATAGGAAAATGTTTTTACACAACGATTAGCATTTATTGTATGCTTAAAATTTGTTTCACTTGTTTTTAGTTATATAACAGTAAATGCCATGTAACCCATTCGATTTTGCTTGAGGATGGTGAGATGACGACTTGACATGTTTAAAATAACTGTTTTAGGCAGGTGTAATGTACCTTAGAAGTAAACGTTGGACTTTAACAAAGCAACTGGCCTTTGAATTCAGGTGGATTTGGAGGATATTATGAACGAGCTTTTTTGCCCGTCCAAGGACTGGTGTATATTGCAGTAAATGTGAAATATTCAGTAGAAAAATTGTTCAGCCCATGATTATTAATGAGGGGGGTGGGGGGAGTGTTGTCCCATGTGGAGTGACGTCACCCGCTAATGGTTATTGTGGAGGGGTGCGGCATGTGGAGTGACGTCACCCGCTAATGGTTATTGTGGAGGGGTGCGGCATGTGGAGTGACGTCACCCGCTCATGATTATTAATGAGGGGAGGGGTGCGGCATGTGGAGTGACGTCACCCGCTCATGATTATTAATGAGGGGAGGGGTGCGGCATGTGGAGTGACGTCACCCTATAATGGTTGTGGAGGGGTGTGGCATGTGGAATGACGTCTCCCGCTCATGGTTGTTAATGACGGGAGGGGTGCGGCATGTGGAGTGACGTCACCCGTTAATGGTTATTGTGGAGGGGTGCGGCATGTGGAGTGACGTCACCCGCTCATGATTATTAATGAGGGGAGGGGTGCGGCATATGGAGCAACGTCACCCGCTCATGATTATTAATGAGGGGAGGGGTGCGGCAGATGAAGGGGGGAGGGGGGGGGCTCTTTTGCAGTGACGTCACGCACGGATGTAGAAATATTGCTTAAGATTTATTTTTTACCGTCACTTTCTGTTCAGAAACGTCGTCATATTCGAAGCGACTTTGCGTAATAAATTATTTAATTTATGAATATTAATGAGGGGGTGGTGGGCCTCATGTGGAGTGACGTCACGCGCGGGACACATTATTGGCTTATTATAGTGGTAATAGTTTTAGATACAATGGTGATGAGGACCTGGTAGAGGTCCAGTTATATCAGGTCCGTTACTTGATGCAGAGCTATTCAGCATTTAAAAAAAGCCACCATCTGCTTCACGGTGGATATTAAAGATCCCGTGAAGTAACTTTAAGAAGGCTATGCCATCGCATCGTCCAAATTTTTGCCAAGTGTAAATGTTACGCATATATTTAAGTATTTTTTTCTTTTTTAAAATTGGGAAACATAGCAATTGCCTCCTGTGAAAATTTTACATAACCTCTATGAAAGAGAGACTGGAGGACTCAGGGAAAGCAATTATAATACTAATACAGCAATAACAAAGAGAGCAACATACAAACAATGTGACAGCAGTTTGGTTTTTTTCTAGCTGCGAGAAAAGGCGCATTTGCGTTTTCATCCGAGCAATTGTTCCGTCATCTTTTTTTATTTGTCGACTTATTTTTAGTTTATACAATACCTTTTAAAAAAAAAATGTTTTGCCTGCCAGGTTTTAATGTTGAGAAAGGTGACGTGTAGAATGTGTGCATTCCCCTAACTTGACAGGGTTCATCTCAGACACGCACTCACAATGCTCGAACACAATTTACAGCAGGGTGCTATTTAAAACGCCACTGCAACAACATGCATTACAACTCAAATTTTTTTTCATTGCAGGAAGGAAGCATTCGGGTGGCATTTTATTTGGCTTTTAAATACTTTTTTGTGAACATCAATTTATCAGTGTCTGTTTTAATACAATGCAGCATGTGACATTTTAAAAAAAAAAAATGTATCTACATCTTTCCTTTGTACCTGTCATACCCCCTACGCATCTGTCATATTGCAGTTGGACAGGATTGTTTCGTGAACGCTAGGTTCTGACTGATCCTCATATTTTCCCTGTTTATCGTAATGCCAAGGTATGAATATGAATTTGTATGCTTTTCTGCAGCTGTAAAGGGAAACAAATGTAGTTGTTGTGTAATTATCCTCCTCATGCTCTGCATCCGCCCAACACTTGAAATACGTTGTCGCATATACAGCTGCATTTAAATTCATTCATCAATAATCAAAATTTGCATCGATGTTACGGTCATTCATAAGTATGAAAATCGTCTCATCTTTGCCCGACTTTGTCGAATATAGCATTTGTTTGTTAAACGTAAAATGTGATGTTAAAATATATATCATTTCAAATCTAGAATATATATAATTTGATCCCATATGTTTTGGATTTTATGTTGAAAGCGATGGTCCATCCTAGTATTATTTTGTTTTCAGGTGTATGCATAGACTTTGGTTTGCAAAGTTGTCGTTTTATGAATTTTGTTGCAATTTCCTTTCATTTGTGATATTTATTTGTCTGTTATATAAGTATAGTTTGCCTTCTTAAACGTTGTTCAAGAAATATTATAAAAATGCAATTGTGATAAGTTGACTAATCAGATATGTAGTATTCTTGCTATGTCATAGGAACATGTGTTTTATACAATAATTAACCTATTCATATATATCAATATATTCATTAATTACTATTTTGTTATTATCTACAGTAAATTCCATTTATTCAATCTCACTTTGCTTGGTAATTGTGGAGATGTCAGCGTTAGTGTTTAAAAGACAGGTGTTTTAGGCACGTGTAATTTGAGTACTACATTATGGATCATTTGGATTTTGACGAGAACAAATCGACTCGAATCCAGGTACTTGTGGAGGATGCTAGGAATTTCATGGAAAGGTAAGGTAAGCGAATTTAAAAAAATTTTGTTCAACAAAATGCAGCAAAAGAGGAGATATCAGAGGTAATCGGGAAACGGAAGTTGAAATAGGTGGGACACACGTGTAGGATGACGCAGGGCGTGTTAAAGAGAGACATTTGGAGTTGCACCCAGAGGTCAACGATAAGGGGCTAGACCCAAATCCAATCTTCCAGATATTGTAAGAGCAGACAATTGAAGGTTGGCCGTCGATTTTGCAACAACTCTAGAATTTGGTAGCAGGAAGGATGTATGTATATACGTATATATGGGTGAATAGAACATCACTGTGTATGCATTGTACAGATTTTTTTTTACGTAAAAAATGTGTCAGTGAACTATTAATTTGAGCATATTGTGCAATCTGTAAAATGTTACGTGTCACGTGAAGAAGTGATATGTTTTTAAATTTAAGTATCTTTCTGTACTCTTCCAAAATAAATCATTCAGTCATCACTCAAAATCAAATATATCCTTCCTTCTCACTCATCACCCATCTGTGAGTCCAGCTCTGATCTTCCCCGGAAACAGACACTTCATGCATCAAAATTAGCATTGCCATTATTTCCTAAAAATAGCTTTGTGCAGGTTAACTAACACCTGAAGTCATTCGTGGATGTGTATATATGCATATGCCAGCACAGCTCAAATTTATACGAGCGGTTATACGGAAGTATTATTTATTCTAATATACAAATAACATTTCAGCATCACTGGAGACGCAATCCCTGCATACAAAATGTCTTACCAATAACACCCATATTTTTGCTCATACCTCTGTATACACTTGCATATTTACATTGATGATAACAATACTAATAACAACAACAATCTTAAAAATATATATATTTTTTCGGTGGTAATTCCCACTGCCTGATCTCTGTTGCAGCACTGTGTCCAACAAATGAAGTCCGCACGGAGTCCGTGGGTGTGATTCTGAGCCCAAGCTATCCAGCCAACTACCCATATTTGCAGACATGCCTGTGGACCATATCTGTGGAAAAGACATACAATGTAACCTTGTTCATTGAATTATTTCAAAGTGAAAAGCAATATGACGAGCTGGAGATATTTGATGGTAAGTGGGATGCCGCTACAGTATAGGCACGTAAGATATACTGTACGTGTATGCATGTTTATACTTTTTGGAATGATGATACAAAGCTTTAGCATAAATAACGGAGTTATTACGTAGTCAGTCAGGCAGTATAATTGTCGTAATACATGGTTTAATTGGGATGGACTCACTCCTGTCATGGATGGACTCACTCCTGCCATAGGAATTTGGAATTTCCCCACTGGCAAAAGATTACCTTTAAAGACAACTTTATTATAATTATTAATGAAAGCAGTTATCCCTGGAATTTTTTCGTCTAAGATTAATGTAATAATTTAGCGACCTTTGCCCGATGAAGGTTGCGTTAGTCATGGGTGTAGTTTCATCATATTTCACACTGATCAGTGTAGTTTAGTGAAGGGATGTCCATGACTGATTCAGATATCACTTACCACTGATAATAGCCATGGCTGCAACTGCACTCAGGTTACCACCTTCTGAGTGCAATGCGAAAACCATTGCCACGTTTCCTCCGACGTCCATATACAGTACTCTATATATATCTGCACAAAAATCAAATACAGTTTGGCTGAGATAGTGTAATTTTAATGGAAGCATTGCCTCAAGCACGTGTCAATGTTTTTGAATATTTTCGCAAACACAGAGCACTTTCCCCTGTGTGATCCCTGTCAGCGCAAAATATTCAGCATTTGCAAATGAGCACTCACACTTAACCTTTAAAGCACTTGTCTATGCATAACTCAGGAGTAGTTGCTTCTAACATGAGCCTGAATCCTCGATGCTTCTTTTACGATGTATTATTTTTTTCATAAATACTCAGGGCAATACCTAAAACAAATATATATATACTGTACAGTATAAGAAACTAAAATAAAACAGTTTTTGAGAACCACAGTTCTAAGCATTACAAGTAAATGTTATAACAATCCCGATATGAATTTGCGCATATAGCACGGTTATTCTATGCCATTTTGTCCCTGCTGCCCAGTCAAGCACTCATCATTCTCACACAAAAAAAAAACCTCTTGACAAACGATCATTCATTCAAGATCACAATCTTAGCCGTTATTTTTTCTTCTTCTTTCCGGCTCTCGCCTCGTCTCTCCCGCTGCGTCTCTTTCACTCTTTCCCCCTGGAGGTCAAAGCAGCCAGAGTCCACGACTGCTGGCCCTGAGTGGGGACTACTCGGCACCGATCAGCGTGACGAGCACAGGCCATCAGGTCCACCTGCGCTGGGCGTCCGACCAGGCCACCAGCAAGAAAGGCTTCCGCATTCGATACACAGGTTACAGAAATTCCCTCCTGCCCTCTTTCACATTACACTGATAAATACAACTTTCATGAGCCCTGTCTGTATCTATTATGTAAGGCTAATATTTGTCAAAAAAAAGCGCAATCCGGAGGTGACCGGGTAGCTTATGCAACTCGTGTTTGCGGCAGAAGCCTTGAATGTTTCGGAAAGTCTATGATCATAGCCCTTCACATTGCTAAAACCTTTCATTGTGTCTGGCATCCCACACTAACTGCAGTTTTAAATATGGCTTTTAAAACGAAATAAGAACTTTAATATGGCATACACAACTATTATCTATTTATATCATGAGGTGCTGGACGCATGGAGATGGTTTGCCTTTTGGGGGAGAAAAATAATGAAACAACAAATGTGGAATGAAGGTATTGTATTGTGACTTGGAGCTAGGGAAGGTTTATTTTATGGAAGCACTTTAAATTATTGTTCCAAGTGTAGTCTTCGAGGGAAGGCCGCACGTTGAGAATTTTATTCTCTCAAGCTCTGGCCATGCACCACTGCGGGCATCTTCAGGAGTTAAATCAGAATCTTTATTTAGACTTGAGGAATCCAATAAGTTATGAAGCTCTTTTTCACATACGCCCAGTAAGATGTCTACAGATGTCTGCCGAAGCAAATGGTGAAAGTTTCTCGCAGAAGCGCATCGCGAATACTCAAGAGAATATCCTCAACATACGGCCCAACACAAAAGACCATGCTTGGATCGCAAGTGCCTAAACTCTGTATTGGTTCAAATAATCTGAGAGTGTTTTCCACGTTTCACCTCCCACAGCCGAATACTGCAGCATTCCAGCAGCACCGGCTCACGGCTCAGTCATGAGTCAAAGCGGTGGGCATTTAAACAGCGTCATTTGGTGGGCATGTGACAGAGGATACACGCTCATAGGGAAGAGCTCAGCCGTCTGCGTTAAAGCCCCCCAAGGATTTCATATGTGGGACTCTGCTGTCCCGACCTGTCAAGGTGGGTGTCTGATATGCCATCTCTGCAATGACATGTAGCATATTACATCAGCTTGCACCAGCTGTTTTAATGAATGCCACGGTTCATGTTCTTGTCAAATTTGACAAGGCTGAGAGGCAATATTCCATCATTGCATAAATGCGTGCCACCGCAAAGTCAGACCTCACATTTTAACAGGATGTATGTTGCGAATAAAACATATAAAGTTTTTTTGTTTTAGCGGTATTAAAGCTGTTCTAATGTCCATTATAGAGTTTTTTGGGTTAGATTGGGTCAACATAAATGTGTCGTTAAACCCGCCACTACTGGACACAGCCAATGAGTAACGTTTGTCATGTAAGCAGAACATTCCAATTAGTTACTAGTACAGCACCCATAACATTTATAATTCGAGTATGACGTTTCGCCAGTAATTACAGCTAGCATCATCAGGAGACAGCCAGATTTGTGGAGAAATCCTCCTGTTTCGTTCTTAAATAGAGGGATAAATGTGATGTCACTTGTAAGCCAATCAAGTGTGAAGGCCAGAGGGGGAGGGGAGGGTTAATGTATTCATATAAATTACAATGGGCATCCGTTACCGGTTGGGTTAATCACATGGTAATCAACAAACATTGTGCATGCACATTATGCGCATGCATCATGTGCATGCGCATAATGTATCCTGCCGTTTTTTTTTGTGGGCACGAAAATCCCAGTAACGAAACAGGAGGATTTCTCCACAAATCTGGATGTCGCCTGATGATGCGGTTATAATTACTGGCGAAACGTCGTACTTGAGGCCTTTTTGGAGACCTTCCGAGCAATGTATAACTTGAAAATGCTTTGCTTGAGGCCATCGGTAAAGAGACTTCACAGGAAACATGACCCCTGTGATAGAGAAGCCCCATAGAATCTAGGTTCTCCTGGCACCAAGTAATCGCTGGAGCTGCGTGCAATACATTTACATAATGTGCACCTCAGTCTCAGGTTTATGAATTCCCACTGGCAGCACACAGTTAAATGCATCACGTTGGTGCATTGTAAAAATGGTAAATACATTAATATATTCGTAGCCTATATGGATACGTGGCATTAAAATAAAGTATAATATCTTTGGATGGTTTGCAATCGGGACTTTTTGTAAGGCACTGACATTGTATTCATGCTGGCAGAACAGAATGAGCTATGAAGCACTATTTCACAGGTTTACTGAAAGAGCTATGTTTATCCTTAATTATTTACAGTAGTTTTTTTAATTGCTAGCATCACTGTCAGCATCACTATCACCATCATTTGCCAAAATGCCAGAATGAGCCTGGGCTGAGGGCCCATGTACGGAATACTAATACTCTACAGGCATAATAAACATGGCAATGGTGTTGTATCAAAAAAGGCAGCGTAATAGATTTTTCTTGCATTAAAATTAAGAATGATTCATTCATAAATAAATTAGACGCTACATGAGTCAATATCGGATGAGGTTTTTGTGCTTGTAAACATCGCAAGCAGTGGATTAACTATTCCTTTGAATGATGCCTCTGATGTTTCACGTTTGATTTGCCAGCCATCTCGTGTGGCATCCCAGTCTCTCCGGCCAACGGGGAGATTCTCACCGTGAACTACTCCGTTGGCGGGCGAGTGACCTACGGCTGTAACCGGGGCTACACCACAGGGCCTGGAGATACCCTTGCGGCTGTGTGCCTGGAAAACGGAACTTGGAGCAACAACAACCAACCACCAATGTGTAATGGTATGCCCCTGCCTTTAATGCTATACGACTGTTTCAAGAATTCTGAATCTTTCTTTAAACTCTCGGAATCTGATGAGCTACGAAGCTCTTTTGTCACAGATGTCCAGTAGAGGCCGGTCGGCGAGTTACATCGACGACAAAATGAGGTTCAACTAACGTTCAGAGCAATGTTTTTTCATTAGCCCTGTCCATCTGTATGCCCTGTACAAGGGTTGCAGGGAGGGTATGTTAACTTTCATGAAGATGATCCAATAGAGGAACATTTTCTGTTTAAATTCATATCACTATTTTTTATTTTGGCAACCCTTTGTCGATCAAAGGGTTTGCCAAAAACGTGGAGACACAACCCAGCACTTAAATGACTCTGAAATTGAAAAAAACCAAACATTTTGCCCTGATTGCTATCCATTAGCTTCTGTACTTATGCAAGTTGGAAAGCGTTACAGAACCCATGCATACGCACGATTTTTCTTCCTTGTTTAAATGACTTTAATTACAAGTCAGTCTTACACATTAGGTTGAATCTTTATATATTTATTAAACAATCCCTAATAAAATCACATCGCATGAGTGACCGGACACCTCATTTAACTTTACCTGCCACTGAATATGAGTGACTTGAACCTGACATCTTTATAATATTTTGTCCACCACTTGTGTTTCCCCTGAGTGCTACTATAATAGCATGATCTTTTTTTGGTTATGTTTTTGTTCATATATATCGGTCAAAGGTCATACATAGCTCTTAATACCATATGTCCCTGGTTACTTGTAGTCAGAAAGAGTCATTACTTGACATGGTGCAACATACATCACTGAAGTAAGAGCTGTGACTGACAGATTGACTCGCATATGGACAAATTCAGTTTTTCACAGTGTGTATTTTTTACAATTGCAATTGCTGGCACAGATAGGCTACTATTTTTCCGATAATATCACAGGATCTTTAAAGTCCAATGGGAAGCAGACGGCACGCAGTATTTCTATGGTTAACACACCTGCAGTATTAACCAGGGCGGCTGCTGCACTCGAACCACAATCCTCTACAGCAAGTCGCAAGCGCGCTATAGCTCAGCCATATAATCTACTTGCTGTGCTGCCTGCAAACAATTAGCGTGAATTGTGCTATATAAAATTACATTATGATTCTGCGTGGAACAACTAATTAGGATGCACTTTTTAATTAATAGTGGTTAATCCTGCAAAGTTGTTTCAGTGCTGAAGCTCTGCATGAAATAAAGCAGCTCAGTAAATACTCTTTGGTTCTATTGGGTAAAGTCACGTAGGTGAAAATAAAATAACAAAAAATCACAACGTTTCGGCCACAACACAAGCGGCCTTGATCAGGTGAAGGGACGAGACTGTCTGGAGGACAGCGCTGGAGTGGGAGAAGCCACGCTTATATCACGACCTTTAAGCTGTGTGAGAAGAAAAACACCAAGCACCTTGACAAAGGAATTCGCATATAATTTAGCATTGAAATGGCTCATTGAAATAGCTAAGTTAAAGTATACACATCCGCAGATGTACCCCTTGACAAAGGAATTAGCATTGAATTTAGCATTGAAATAGCTGAGTGATTAGCTTGTAACTGGTCACAGAAATAGCTATGTTAAAGTCAGAGCATATACATTCACCGAGGCACCTAGTACTCATCAAACAGGAGAATTTAGCGAAACACAACCACGCTCAGACAGCAGACCTTTAAACTGTGTGCGAGCAAACAAGGTGTTCTGACAAAGAAATTAGCATAAAAGAAATTAGCATAACAATTAGCATTTGATTGGCGGATTTTAGGAAAGAGGTGGTGTATGTGCCGTTTGGCGGGGGGGGGGGGGGGGGGGGGGGGGGGGGGGGGGGAGTTTCCCTATTGATGGTGTGAAAAGGGGATTTATAAGAGCTGCGAAAGTTTGGGGTACCACTACTTGAAAAATATACTGTACCATTGAAATTAGTTTAATGTTTAGTTCGATTTAGAACATCTTTCCAATGGTTGCTTAATTTGAAACCATCCTCTCGGTTGAAATTGTGTCTGTGTTTGTAGATCTGAATTGCTCTCGGTGGGTTTGGAAAGAACCTTGGTATCGGAGAAAATTATATCGTGATCCCCCACAGCGTTGTAACAGTGATCAGCCACGGCAGAAGAATTCGTTTTGCCGTGTTTCAACTTTAACTTAGCTTTTTCAATGGGCCATTTTAATGCTAAATTATATGCTAATTCCTTTTTCAAGGCTCTTGGTGTTTTTCTTCTCACACAGCTTAAAGGTCGTGATCTAAGCGTGGCTTCTCCCACTCCAGCGCTGTCCTCCAGACAGTCTCGTCCCTTCACCTGATGAAGGCCGCTTGTGTTGTGGCCGAAACGTCGTGATTTTTTGTTATTTTATTTTTTACCTACGTGACTTTACCCAATAGAACCAAAGAGTATGGATCCTAGCAGTCACGAAAACTTTAAATCTAGAGCTCAGTAAATAGCCCAAAAATTTTTGTTAGGCATTAATCAAAGGCTCTTCTTCTTGCCAGCTGCTGCATACATTGTACAAAAACATAGTTGACAGACAAGTTGTTTGATTTCAAGCGATTTGATAGCAAACTCAAGGAATTGAATTGTACTGTTATGAGTTATTGGCAAGAGCCTTTGAATTCCATTGAGTCCCTTTGTATTAACCCTGTATTGTGACCCTAGGCACATTTGAGGTATTCTTCTTCAGAAATTGAGGACACCAAACTTTAGTGGTGAAACCTTTATACTCTCTCTTTTGACAAAGAGTATACAGTGAGGGAAAAAAGTATTTGATCCCCTGCTGATTTTGTACGTTTGCCCACTGACAAAGAAATGATCAGTCTATAATTTTAATGGTAGGTATATTTGAACAGTGAGAGACAGAATAACAACAAAAAAATCCAGAAAAATGCATGTCAAAAATGTTATAAATTGATTTGCATTTTAATGAGGGAAATAAGTATTTGACCCCTCTGCAAAACATGACTTGGTACTTGGTGGCAAAACCCTTGTTGGCAATCACAGAGGTCAGACGTTTCTTGTAGTTGGCTACCAGGTTTGCACACATCTCAGGAGGGATTTTGTCCCACTCCTCTTTGCAGATCTTCTCCAAGTCATTAAGGTTTCGAGGCTGACGTTTTGCAACTCGAACCTTCAGCTCTCTCCACAGATTTCTATGGGATTAAGGTCTGGAGACTGGCTAGGCCACTCCAGGACCTTAATGTGCTTCTTCTTGAGCCACTCCTTTGTTGCCTTGGCCGTGTGTTTTGAGTCATTTAATGTTGGAATACCCATCCACGACCCATTTTCAATGCCCTGGCTGAGGGAAGGAGGTTCTCACCCAAGATTTGAGGGTACATGGCCCCGTCCATCGTCCCTTTGATGCGGTGAAGTTGTTCTGTCCCCTTAGCATAAAAACACCCCCAAAGCATAATGTTTCCACCTCAATGTTTGACGGTGGGGATGGTGTTCTTGGGGTCATAGGCAGCATTCCTCCTCCTCCAAACACGGCGAGTTGAGTTGATGCCAAAGAGCTCCATTTTGGTCTCATCTGACCACAACACTTTCACCCAGTTGTCCTCTGAATCATTCAAATGTTCATTGGCAAGCTTCAGACGGGCATGTATATGTGCTTTCTTGAGCAAGGGAACCTTGCGGGCGCTGCAGGATTTCAGTCCTTCACGGCGTAGTGTGTTACCAATTGTTTTCTTGGTGACTATGGTCCCAGCTGCCTTGAGATCATTGACAAGATCCTCCCGTGTAGTACTGGGCTGACTCCTCACCGTTCTCATGATCATTGCAACTCCACGAGGTGAGATCTTGCATGGAACCCCTAGCCAAGGGAGATTGACAGTTCTTTTGTGTTTCTTCCATTTGCGAATAATCGCACCAACTTTTGTCACCTTCTCACCAAGCTGTTTGGCAATGGTCTTGTAGCCCATACCAGCCTTGTGTAGGTCTACAATCTTGTCCCTGACATCCTTGGAGAGCTCTTTGGTCTTGGCCATGGTGGAGAGTTTGGAATCTGATTGATTGATTGCTTCTGTAGACAGGTGTCTTTTATGCAGGTAACAAGCTGAGATTAAGAGCACACTCTTAAAGGGAGTGCTCCTAATCTCAACCTGTATAAAAGACACCTGGGAGCCAGAAGTCTTTCTGATTGAGAGGAGGTCAAATACTTATTTCCCTCATTAAAATACAAATCAATTTATAACATTTTTGACATGCGTTCTTCTGGATTTTTGTTGTTATTCTGTCTTTCACTGTTCAAATAAACTTAACATTAAAATTATAGACTGATCATTTTTTTGTCAGTGGGCAAACGTACAAAATCAGCAGGGGATCAAATACTTTTTTTCCTTCACTGTATGCCCTTGTTGAACTAAACAGGAAGGAAACACTGAAACTGCACTTTAAAATATTGTCTGCTCAGGAATAAAAATAATAGACGAAAAAGAATGTGCAGGTATTGTGTGTATTGGGTAATTTTTGAATGTATATTTTTTTTCAACCAGAAACTTTTATACAAGCATACATTTATTTCCTATGAGTATATTTTAAAGCCACAATTTATTGCAAGAGACAAGTGTAAAAAAGAAAACTCTTGCTGTGCATATTGTGCGACTCTTGTTACACGTATGTCCTTTTTTTATGATCATTTATTTTATTATCGGGGTTAGAACATAAATATATACATCTGCACTTTCCAAATATCAAGGTTTGCTCCTTACGGTGCGAAAGAAGTTCAGCATACATACATAAGCATTTCTGCATGTGGAAATAATCAGTGTTCATAATCATTAGCACTACAATGCCTTCATCATGCTTTTTCTCATATTTTCCATTCTACTCAGGAGCAATTTATTTAAATTCACATGTCATCTTCCATCAGGGGTTCTGTCGTGGCTGCCATCTGCACCTCCGATTAGCACGGTTGACTATGTATTGTGCGAAAGAAGTTCAATACACATACTAACATTCTATCACCAGGTCTGTAAATAAACCATCTTCTATTCAAAATCGCGTCCTGTTCAAATCCGATTGTTTTCCTTTAAGTGGATGCCGTGTCTTCGGGGCATGTTAATAACATTTTCGTGCATGGTTGTGCGTGTACATTTTAGTTTTTGTATGTATTGTACAGACAAGGTGTGCTGAAACAGCAGCAAATCCACTTGTTGGGTACCGTGCAGTTCAATTAAATGACAACTGTTCGCACGCTGTTAAAGCGTGTTGTAAGCAAAGTGCCCTGTTGTTTTCCTGTTGCGTGCGAAACAGCTATTGCCTGCATGGACTTCAACGCCTTCTCTTTGGACCACGGTAGCTGGCTGCTCCTCAATGGCAGTGATTATAAATATGGCTCGCGTATCATCTTTCACTGCCAGCCGGGGTACACCTTGCTGGGCCCTCGCATAATCCAGTGTCAAGAGAATGGGGCATGGAGCTGGGAAAACGACCGGCCCAGATGCAGCTGTAATGTGCCTTGTTTTACTTCACGTCACATTTTCATACCTTTGCTCAAATGTTTTTGCCGTGAATTTCATTGAGTCTAATATTCATGGAGATGCAACACTTCAGTGTGAATGTCCAGGCAAAGTTCAACCCCCATTACTTTAGCTTAGTCATTGTGCTGGGGGAAGGCTGACTTTGATTAATGTGAAGCATGCTTTATCGGAGAAGACAGCTAAAAGGGAAAATTACCATTTGTGCTTGCTTCAAAGGAATGTGTTCACGCATCTCCTAAATGTTGTACCTTGAATTTCATTTAACATTTATGAACCATAAAATATCAAATGCGTCAGTATAAATGTTAATTTGAAATGCGGAAATTGCATTTCAAAGTATTTCACAATGTATAACCGAAAATGTAAAAAAATACATTTGCATTTGATTCTCAAAACATGCAGAAAGTTTAACCATCACTGCCTAAAGTTTTGATCATGCATGCAAATATAATTGGTCCATTTAGCATACTAAAAATATGCCTCATTACTCAATGTGTCATTATTCTGTCATTTGTTGCTTCATTTCTAGTGATCTCTTGTGGGAGCCTTTCCGCTCTTCCCAATGGCAGGAAGATTGGCACTCAAACGGGGTTTGGCTCCACAGCCATTTATCGTTGTGATCCTGGATTCACACTTTTGGGCTCACAAGTTCGAGAGTGCCTGGCAAGTGGCCTGTGGAGTGGCACCAGCAACAGGTGTATCGGTATGAGCTACAAACTGCACGGAGTGGTCTGCATGTCTTTTCAAAAGGGTGCCGCGGTGGCGAGATGCTAACTGCCTCACCTGACATACAAGTGGTCATGAGTTCGATAAGCCATTTCGTTGAGCTATAATTTGCGGCCAGATCGCTTCTGAAAAAGAGCTACATAGCTCAATGGGCCTTACCTGGTATAATAAAAAAAATAGTTTCGAATAGTTAAATTTAGATCACACGTTCTGGCTTTGACGGTAGTCTTGCACGTTTAGTTATGCTATGGTTGGAACACAAAGCGAGTGCTATAAATTATGAACTCAAGAACAACGATTATTATATTGCAGTGACTCTTGCAGCTTCTTTTGAATGAATGCAATGAGCACCCCTTATATATAAACATGGTTCGTGTGAATGTCTCAACAACAAATGGGGGATTTTTTTTGTACATGCGGGAAAGGTAATGATAGTTCCAGTTTCACATTCATTTCGTTTAACTCGGTAAGAATGCAAGGGGCCAGGATAGTATCGTTTTCAAGAGTGACCTGGGGTATTCGTTTGCCATTAGGGGGCAATGACAAATCCCAATTGAGTAATTTGCAGGTGGAAAATGTTGACTGCACACAATGGCCTACCCTTGCGAAGGACGTCATAGGATCTTGAATGTCCACTGTGAAGCAAATGGTCATTATTACTATGATGATGAGCAGGTTGGAGTGCTTTTGGAAAATTATCTTGATAATGAAATGAAAAAGACCAAAGTGCCAAAAGTATTAACATTGTATTCCATTCATATATACAGTATATAAACTACTGCGACATACGGATCAGAAACATGAACAATGACAAAGAAAATGGAGCATAAGCTGAAAAGTTGACAAAATAGCATGAATAAGCACATGCCTGGATTTGCACAGAGATACTAAGAAGAAAACATAAGTTTGAGACATCATATTGACAGTTTAAAAAATGCACATGGTGTTTAGCAACACACTTTGGACACCCATTTAAATCAGATGTTTCATCTTGTGGAAAAATGACGTAACAATAATAATACGTAAATAAAAAACTTGCTATAACGTTTATATTCGCATAAATATTTACACATATCTAGAAGGATTGATGGATGCTGGTTCAGACTTACAACGAAGTGACAGGAGGGAATATGTCCATGAGAATAGACCACCATAAAGATGGAGCGATGAGATCAACTCGTGTGTATGAGTTGGACGGATTTTTTTCATCGTGAGACTATGAGTATTGGTAATGGTTGAGGGGGAGGCCTTCATCCAGCAGTGAAAAGATCACAGTTAATGATGTTGACTATACAGTAAACTAATGATTTTGAATATACTCCATTTGCTGATGTTTACTAGAGAGCCATCCTATGGTGGGCAACTGACAGATGCTTTAGATGCGTTGCTTTTGCTGGTGAAATTAAAGTTTCAGACAGGGTCCACAGTTTAATTGGGTGGCATATTCATTGTTCTCGACAGGAGATGACAGCTGACTGCTGTCATAGCCTTCAAGTGGGTTGTCTGCAAAAATTATCATTAATTTGTTGAACGCTTGTTCATTAAAGTGCACTCTTTATGGGTACGTGCTTACAGATATTTTGGGGTTTTAGGAAAACGTGTGTACATAACGAATAACAAGCTAATAAGTGTTCGCAAAAACAATGTTCAACAACAGTATTCTTATAATAATCAACCTTAAAATTGGCCAATACTGGGAGTATATGTGTTCGTTTTCATTGTTAAAGCAATGCACTTTTTGATATGTATTGACACTTTTTTGATGGGCAACGGTGGAACCTGTCATTTGCTTGTTTGTTTATTTTTCGATTTAAAGCTTTCGTGACTGCAGGGATTCATCTTCTTGGTTATTTCGGTAAAGTCACGTGACTTTACCGAAAGAACCAAGAAGATGTTTGTTTATTGGTTATTCTTTTGTAACATCACATTCACCAACACATTCAGCTTTAGCTAACTGGCACCGTTGACACATGTTACATGGTCGCTGTCTGACTATTGGCAGAAACTGTGATTTGTGATGAAGAAAATAGAATTGCATGCTAAAGGTTCGGTAAGAAGTGTTGCATTATAATGGGTTTCTGACGGATGGTTGTGAGAAGAAAACATTGCTGTTTAGTATTATTCCCATAAGATAAAAAGTGAGGCTTCCACAGAGTCTTATAAATATACTCAAGTAGAGTATTTAAAATCACTGATCTAGAACACTATTTAATTTTTCTTTAGTCTTTCCTAATTTATTACAATTGTGCTATCGGCATCATATCATGAGGTGACAAATCCGTTTAGATATTTCTCATAGCAGTGGGGCCTGTGTGTTAAGGAATGACCCATGGATAAGTTCTTTCATGGATCATCTCCCGAAAGATCCAAGTAGCCGTTTTACACTATACACGGTAGTGATTTATCTTCAACAGCACTTAACAAAAACTTGAAAATAATCAAACGCGAGATAATGACAAACACCCGGAACCCTCAACTGTGCATCGCTCTATGCAGTGGCAGACATTTGATGGTTTAAAAACGGACGCAATAGTCATATTACCAAGTGTGTTTGTTTTATAGGAGCGATGGCGCAGCCAGCAGTTAACGCGCTGCGCTACCAAACCGGCAACCCGAGTTCGATTCCTGCTCACAGCCAAAACCCAGTGACCATTGTTTGAATCGGTCCAGAGCCTCCTCGAGATTGACTCAGCCTCAAATGATTACCTGGTGCAATATGTAAACATCGCCACTAGGTGAGACAAAGGCAGCCAGGCGTGGTGCTGGCCACCCACCTACCTGTGTGCCGTGTTTGGCCTTCATAGGTGCTCGCTAACAGCACTTGCCCCTACAGTCTGTTAAGGTTATACGGGGGATCTTTGTCGTTGTTTGGTGGTTGTTGATAGTTTTAGTAACCTAGCTCAAACTGTCGTCTAATTTTATGATTTGACAATGGATGATACCTTCATGGACACCATGTACAGTGAGGGAAAAAAAGTATTTAATCCCCTGCTGATTTTGTACGTTTGCCCACTGACAAATAAATGATCAGTCTATAATTTAATGGTAGGTTTATTTGAACAGTAAGAGACAAAATAACAACAAAAAAATCCAGAAAAACGCATGTCAAAAATGTTATAAATTGATTTGCATTTTAATGAGGGAAATAAGTATTTGACCCCTCTGCAAAACATGACTTAGTACTTGGTGGCAAAACCCTTGTTGGCAATCACAGAGGTCAGACGTTTCTTGTAGTTGGCCACCAGGTTTGCACACATCTCAGGAGGAATTTTGTCCCACTCCTCTTTGCAGATCTTCTCCAAGTCATTAAGGTTTCGAGGCTGACGTTTGGCAACTCGAACCTTCAGCTCTCTCCACAGATTTTCTATGGGATTAAGGTCTGGAGACTGGCTAGGCCACTCCAGGACCTTAATGTGCTTCTTCTAGAGCCACTCCTTTGTTGCCTTGGCCGTGTGTTTTGGGTCATTGTCATGCTGGAATACCCATCCACAACCCATTTTCAATGCCCTGGCTGAGGGAAGGAGGTTCTCACCCAAGATTTGACGGTACATGGCCCCGTCCGTCGTCCCTTTGATGCGGTGAAGTTGCCCTGTCCCCTTAGCAGAAAAACACCCCCAAAGCATAATGTTTCCACCTCCATGTTTGACGGTGGGGATGGTGTTCTTGGGGTCATAGGCAGCATTCCTCCTCCTCCTCCAAACACGGCGAGTTGAGTTGATGCCAAAGAGCTCCATTTTGGTCTCATCTGACCACAACACTTTCACTCAGTTGTCCTCTGAATCATTCAGATGTTCATTGGCAAACTTCAGACGGGCATGTATATGTGCTTTCTTGAGCAGAGGGACCTTGCGGGCGCTGCAGGATTTCAGTCCTTCACGGCGTAGTGTGTTACCAATTGTTTTCTTGGTGACTATGGTCCCAGCTGCCTTGAGATCATTGACAAGATCCTCCCGTGTAGTTCTGGGCTGATTCCTCACCGTTGTCATGATCATTGCAACTCTACGGGGTGAGATCTTCAATGGAGCCCCAGGCCGAGGGAGATTGACAGTTCTTTTGTGTTTCTTCCATTTGCGAATAATCGCACCAATTATTGTCACCTTCTCACCAAGCTGCTTCGCAATGGTCTTGTAGCCCATTCCAGCCTTGTGTATGTCTAAAATCTTGTCCCTGACATCCTTGGAAAGCTCTTTGGTCTTGGCCATGGTGGAGAGTTTGGAATATGATTGATTGATTGCTTCTGTGGACAGGTGTCTTTTATACTGGTAACAAGCTGAAATTAGGAGCACTCCCTTTAAGAGTGTGCTCCTAATCTCAGCTCGTTACTTGTATAAAAGACACCTGGGAGCCAGAATTTTTCTGATTGAGAGGGGGTCAAATACTTATTTCCCTCATTAAAATACAAATCAATTTATAACATTTTGACATGCGTTTTTCTGGATTTTTTTGTTGTTATTCTGTCTCTCACTGTTCATATAAACCTACCATTAAAATTATAGACTGAACATTTCTTTGTCAGTGGGCAAACGTACAAAATCAGCAGGGGATCAAATACTTTTTTCCCTCAATGTAGATTGTTACAATACTCAGGCACACCTACACCTTAACTATGTTCGCTTGAGTCAGGAAAATACAGAGAAGAAGCAAGACAAAGAAGAAAGATATACAACAACATTATTACATACAGTATCATAACAGGTAATGTACATGAGTGTACAAACTTGGAAAAATCATAGCATTACCAATGAACTGGTAGTGAATGACGAGGTAACAGCATACGATTTGACTTTGCAATTGCTTACATATTTGTACCGGTGGAGCTTACCGACAGTCTTGAGTATTTTATTGCTTGAGATATTGTTGGCTATTGTCACTTAAATCAACGCCCTTGGTTGTTTGATCGAGAAGGAGTGAAGTGGTGGTATTTTGTTCGCTGATTAAACAGTGAACGGAGGCGCAGTTAATTTTGTAGCTACTCAATTTTTTTGTTGTTGCTAAAATATGACGGTGTCATTCGCGTGTTTAGAGGGAAATAAATATTAGTTCAGATTAAGTTAGAGTTCATTGCCAACAGCCTAAGGTTAATTGTGTTATTCTTCTTTGCTTTATTATGCTTGTTTTTACGGGGTTAGACTACGATGTTATATAAGGTGTTGGGTGCATTATACTAATTCATGTTTGCTTGTTGTGATATGCCAGCATGCATCAGTTGCTGTCATTATAGTCATATATCGAGATGCACTCATGGTCATTTAGGTACAAACGATTAGGAGGTTAACAATGCTCATGAAAATCAACCGCTTAAGTTTCACTCTACAATTGTATTTACTGTATCACCTTTTAAATTACATTTACATTCAATATGAGGTGAGTGGCATTCAAATGCATGGTAACACATTGTTAAGGGGCTGGTGCACTAACTGCATCCTCTTCCCATTCCCTCTGGTCTACACCATCACGCACAGTGCGTTAACAATACTATACAATGTGCATGAATATGTCACGTGACTTGCACAGGGTACGGTTATGCCCTTATTATTTCTCCGATGCCAGTTCACAGAAAACACCTTTAGTCGCCTAGCAAAACTCCACAGGTGACCAACATTTTCCGCGTGATGGCGACGGCGACGCTTTTTAACCGCGCGCGCGCACGCACACACACACACACAGCTGGACACTGCGGCGTTCCCGATCCCGTGACCAACGGAGCGGTGGTGGGGCAGAGCTTTGGCTACCACGACACGGTGGTGTACCGCTGCCAGCCCGGATTCCGCCTCGTGGGCTCCTCCGTACGCATGTGTCAGCAGGACCACCAGTGGTCCGGGCAGCCGCCCGCCTGCGTCCGTGAGTAACCGCGCGCGTTTCGCCCGCGGCTTGAACTCTCTGCCACCCCCCCCCCCCCTCTCTCTCTCTTGTCCGTCGTGAGCACACCGATGCCTCCGCGTGCCCATTGGGGAGAGGGCTGTGGGGGCTAAGGAGCCTATTTGAATGCCTCGAAAATTGAAAGTTCACCTCGCCTTGAATTGCCTACGCCTATTTGTGGAGATGTGGTATTTTTGTGCAAGTGTAGTCTTTGCAAATTGAAATTAAATGGGATCGTGCATTAATATTCAAGGTTGGACAATTGCGTAATTATGCGTGCTCCATTACTTATTTAGTTTTTAACTATATTTTTTGCCATTTAATTTATCACCGGGTCAGTGCTGTTTTAAACGAATGCTTGTGTCCTTTGCACGGTGCTTCTTGACGTGTGAATGGACCGGCTACAGCAATCAGCTGTGGGCACCCCGGTACACCGGTGCATGGCCTGACAGAAGGCAGCAGCTTTCACCTCTACGACACCGTCAACTTCACCTGCAACTCCGGCTACATCAGCGAGGGCGCCAGCCAGGCCCAGTGTATGCCAGATGCCCTCTGGAGCCAGCCCCTACCAACGTGCAAAGGTAAAGCCAGGCCCTTTGCATGGCAGCCTGGAAATTGAATTGCTGGTGCAAAGAGAAATACGGAAACGTGATCTCATTTTAAGTTATTGTCGGAGGCGTAGAAGCACACGAGCGGAATCTGTGGCCACAGGGGAATTGTGCTGTGATGAACAGGGATATGTTAAAACACATCCATTGGCAACTAACGTATACGTGTGCAATTCATGATGTTACGAAAGCGGACGCTCTATATTGTATACATCCAGTGGCTTGGGGAAATCAAGAATATTACACAGGGACGCAAATATAACAAGATCACAGTTGTGTATTGCATAATTACCCATACATTGCATGACACATCGCAAACACGCGCCCATTGTTTACTTTGAAGATGTGACCCATACTCAGTTCACTGGGCACGGGGCTGCCGTCTGCTATACACGTGAAGGTGATGCGAGTTCGTTGGCATCTGCTGCCTGGTGTCTCTAGTGGTAAGCTGCCCTGACCCTGGAGAACCGCTCAATGGGGTCCGCAAGGTGAACAAAGGCTACGGCAAGTTCGTGTTTGGCTCCGTGGTCTTCTACGACTGCAAGCAAGGTTTCTACCTGATCGGCTCGTCAGTACTAACGTGCCTGCCCAATGGATTGTGGGACAGGCCCATCCCACAGTGCTTTTGTGAGTACTTTCATGGAAACCTCATGTAAAGTGGAACAATAATAATAATGATGAATGTTTAATAAATAAATACAAATTGCAGCTATTTTCAATCCAACACACTTTGTCAGTAATGGAGGTGTTTTTGTATTCCCTTCAGTATGATCAGCGCAGGTTGGTGAACGTGTAGGGGAGGGCCGGATCGGTATTGATATAACTTGCCACTGATGTTAGCTGTGGCTGGGAATCGTACTCGGGTCACCGAGCTCACAACGCAGCACACTAAAACCACTGTACACTATAAAGTATATTACAGTATAAGTATGAGAATAAAAGCGTATGTATTTGTTTATAATTCACTATTAAAAGAACGCTAAGTGGAAAACAATTTCGGTGGAAATTGTTTTCAATTCATATTAGTTATCTTTATTGTCGTACATTCATTTGATAAACAAACTGTTCCTCATTATTTAAATATACAGTTTACCAAGCTGAATATTAAATGTAATATGTCTCAAAAAGTTATTGCTTGTATTGCAATAACATAGGGGAATATACTTGTGAAATTACTTAGAAGACTACGTTATTTTACTGGTGGCTGACTTCTCCAGATTCCTCCATGTTAAAAGTTAAACCATCCTAGAGCATATTTTTTAGTTGTCATAAATCAGTGTGGGAAAATCCGTGGTTTGAGAAAAAAATCCGTTTCTTAAAACACATCTATTTGTTTTGTGGCTCAGGCTGACAAGGGTACTATGGGAATTTCACACGAACTTTTGCTGTTCGTAATGCACTTTGTGAACCCTGTATGACAACGCCAATATGGCATGAATCAAAACAGCACAGAAACATATCGGTGGCTCACTGCAGCATGTTACCAATGCACGTTTCACAGTGTGTACGTGTCTCGTACTTCAAGGTCCATACACAAAGTCTGAAATGAAGTCATACAAAACACACTGGTCCCGGTTTCCAAGCCATTTCTGAGAAAAGCTATTTTCTGACCTTGCAAAGATGAATGATCTACATTCACTTTCGAACACAATGAGGCCAGATTATCCGGCTGCGGGGATGCTGTCCTGCGGTGGTGTAATGGTTAGCACCGCTGCACTTGCAGTCCAGAATTCACAAGTTTGATTTGATCTTCTGGTGTGGCAGTTGAATCAATGGATACAATTTCTTAAATCCTACTCCCGCACCGCGCCTCCACCACCCCAGTGTGGTGTGTGGTGGGTTAAAACGTGGATAATTTTATCTCTTCCAAGATCTTTTGACCGACGTAGAGGAATAGACCAAAATGCCCACTAGAAGGGCCCTCTTGAGCTCCCTCTAGTGAAGGCCCTTCCGCCAGCAGTGGCGTGAGCAAACAACTGCGAGGCTGCAACTTTATTTTTGAAGCCAAGTCCAATATTAATAAGATGCATTGTCCTGCAGTGGTGAGCTGCGGACACCCAGGAGTGGCCCCCAATTCCCTCCTGTCTGGGGAGAAGTTCACGTTCGGGGCGACCGTCATCTACAGCTGCACGGGGAGCCGCCTTCTCATCGGCAATGCCACTCGCTCCTGCCAGGCCGATGGGCGCTGGACCGGCGCCCAGCCGCACTGCTCTGGTGAGGCACACACATGTACTCCTATATTTACCCAAGAATGTCAGTGTGTAACGCGTGTGACGTCACTCCACGTCGACCAGCCCCCCTCAATAATAATCATGAACAGGTTACGTCCTCCACATGGACCCGCCCCTCATTAATAATCATGAGCGAGTGACGTCACTCCGCATGGATACCCCCCCTCATTAATAATCATGAGCAGGTGACGTCACTCCACATCGAACAGCCTCCCTCATTAATAATCATGAACAGGTGACGTCCTCCAAATAGACACCCCCTCCATTAATAATAATTAGTGAGTGATGTCACTTCACATGGGGGGCGAGGTGCCTCCTCCCCCCTCCTCAGCGTCAACTTACAACTCTCACCACAATTGCAGAACCCTCACGTCACGCGATCTCCGTGACGCTGTTGAGACATAGAAGTAAAAAGGACGTCGTGATGAACAAGGGATTATAATCTTCATATTAAATAATTATGTGTCACCGCGGCCTTACAAATTGCACACGAATTGATGCAAGGAATATCACTTCGCGGTCTGATTTTCGCTTGCAAGTTTCAGATTTACTGCAATACACCCGTCCTTGGACGGGCAAAAGGCTAGTTCCAAATGTTTTCGTTTATAATTGCTATTATTGCTCTTTACTTTTAAGAAAACAATTTAGCAATATCTACCATTTGTATCTTGAGGAGACCCATGTCCTTTGTAAGGTTATGACATCGCAATTTACATATTGCTTAACATCAGCATCAGCACCAATAGCCATTCTATTCACCGCTGGATGAAATTGTTCACATGCAGTCACCGTCACTCGTGGTCCTGCAAATCTACAATCTATCTCACAACTTAGACCAGTGGTGCCGAAGCTTTCTGGAATACGTGGAACACAGCGAACTCTGTAAAAAAAATCCGGGACAACTACATAGTAAAAAAAAGGTGTTTGCAAAATAAATTGGATCTGCAGCACAACATTCCGCAGACCACCGTTGTCCAATAACCTAAATCATTCTAATGAGCTCACTCTGTGATATCTTTATGTTATTTTCATTAAGAATCGGTAAGATTAAGATGGATGAGCCTTAACGATGAAGCTCCATCCCATGTAATGCGTGAGCTTTAACATGCAGTCTTCCTGCGAGTCGAGCACTTCTGCTTTCAAGCACTCACCGACACTCACTGCTGCGTACATCCTGTATGTATGCATGTTGAACTTCTTTCGCACCGTACGTAGCCAACGGTGCTAATCAGAGGCGCGGGAGAAGGACAAGAAACTAAACACAAAAATAAATTATTATTTTTTTTTATATTTAAAAGTGCATGGCTCCAGCGGCTTCTTAATAATATCATAAGGAAGAGCGTTCCAGACGGCTACAGAAGTGCATCTAAAAGCGCGCGATGCGGTGGCCATTCTTAGTTTGATGGCCAGCCAAAAGCTGCCACTGCACATACGGTTCCGTGCGTCTTCTAACCCGTGGTTCAGGAGACTCGGCGGGCTCGTGCGGCGACCCCGGCATACCGTCGCACGGCCACAGGATCGGCGAGGAGTTTCGCGTCAAGAGCGTCGTCCGCTTTGGCTGCGCCGTCGGCTACGCGCTGCACGGCCCGAGCGAGCGCGTCTGCCTCCCCAGCGGCTCGTGGTCGAGAAGCCAGGCCGAGTGCAAAGGTAATCCAAGCCGGGTCCGCATGCGTGTCCCGGGCATGTTGCGTCAAGTGTCGCTCGCCGCGCAAGGTGCTGTCACTTCGAGGGCAGGCGCGGATAGCTGCCCGCACAGATGAATCGGCACTTAGAAGTGTATCCCCCCCCCCACCCACCCACCGCCCGCCCGTCCCGTTCTTTATGGTCTGAAAGCCTGTCCTGTTGTAACGTTTGTAAAGCATTTCAGTGAAAGAATAGTACACGTCCGGGAGGACATTTACCGAGGAGATGGAGAGATTAAATCATCTCCTGTGCATTTGCCAGGTGGATAGTCACGTTGTGGGATTGCAGGAGATTTTAGTGGATTAATGGTGATAAAGCATTTGTAATAGTTGCCCTGTGATATCAATATGCATATTCACTGATATTCACTACTTCACATGAACTGCTTTTTTTGTGTTTTGTTGGCATTCCCTCACACCCCCGATTATCATGGTTGGCTACATACGGTGCGAAAGACGTTCAACATACAAACAAATGTACATACACATGCATCGTTTTGGTAATTTGCACCATTGTTGGGGATAGACATCAGCATGCTCTTACAACAAATTGGATGAAAATAAATATTTGCCAATCAGACCCATACAAGATACCAGGGGTTTTTTTGCGGAGTTTAGTATTGTTCCCAGCTTGAAAGCAAGTGCAAACACAACAACAAAGTGGAGCGGAAATGCAATTAGATGCCAGCGTGGGGACTTTTCGTCAAATTGCTGCTTTGCTGCGTCCAGAATAGCGAGGACATGTGGAGTGCCCTTAGCACCAATGGGAGCTTTTCTGATTAAATAGCAGAGCTGCCCACCAAGGATTGAATGACACAAACAGTCATGTTAAACAGTGGCACAAATGATACATGCTCCATTGCATGGAGACGTAAGAAGTAAGGCTCGATGGGCACATTTTGTCCAAGGTTGAATTATTTTGGTCAGTCGTGAGTTGATGCCAGGTAACGCTGAACTTGGGCCTGCTCAGAGTAAATGTCCACAAGTCTTATCATAAATTCCACACTTGTGATTAGCACGGTTGGTGTACGTACTGTGCGAAAAAAGTTCAGCTTACGTACATACATAAATGCGAAACATACGACATTTATAAATTAACATCTAATAAAATGTGAAAAAGCCTACATTTGCACGTGGAAAAAAAATCTGTGAATGGAAACCAATATATTTTAGGTTAATATATTTGTACTCTTTAAGGAAAACTAAAATTAAAATGTCACCTCGGCTTGTTAAGCTGTTCACAAATACATTGATTCATATTCAGATAGACTGGGCATATTCTGAACATTTGTATGCTAGCAAAGTGTATAGTCTTGCCAGTCTAGTGTGAAATTGGAGGCACATTTAAAGCTGTGCTGTTAATACCAGAAGTAGTGCATAATGACTGGAACAGAGTGAAATGCCCTTGGGGTTGGTGGGGGGGGGGCAAATGAGCATTCATATAATGCTCACAACTCCCTGTGTGTCATAATCAATGTGCTCAAATGTACATCTGTTTTGGTTAGCATCTGTTTAAAAGTATTCAAGTGCTGCATTTTTGTAATATATCACATTATCATTATCCTGGGAATAATTTCGAATAAAGGCGGTCACTGCATCGCACGCTTTCAGGTGCGCTTCTGCGGCTGTCTGGAACGCTCTTCCTTCTGATATTAGGAAGCCACTGCAGCTATGAACTTTTAAATGTAGATTAAACAATAATTTAGTTTTGTGTTTAGTTTGTTAGTTTATTTTCCTTCTCCCCCACCTCTGATTAGCATGGTTAGCTACTTATGGTTTTAAAGAAGTTCAACATACATGTATTATGATATAACAACGATTTTCTTTATATTCTTGTAAACGAGATTTAGAGGATGGAAGCATTGTTGGGATATGTTACAAATAACGTATTTTATTATCATGTGTTTGAAATCAAATATTTGAATGTCTGCTGATAATTTAATGCACTACATAAAGTAAATCTTGATAAAAAAAATAATTATTCTGTGTGTGACAGCATACCTATGAATACATCTTTAAATTGTGTGTCCCATTTTAATGCAGCATTAACTAAGGTAGCCAATTTAACTTCATCATTTAAAACAACGACGTTGGACATTCAAATCTTCATGCTGTACGGACTGTGCTGGCTCTAGAATAGATATTGCCTATTCCATATTAACTTATCCTTTCAAGTCTCAAGATAATGTACTGATGTTCTTAAAATGTAATTGAATCTTCCTCTGAGGAGCAAACTCTTTAATTCCCGCTCAAGGCTTGGCATATTTATTATTTATTTATGTCCTCTTATGTTGCACGCCATTCGGATAGCACTGGCGATTTGATGACAAAAGCCATTTAACTGCCGAAGACGAATTAAAAACCGGATAATTTACTAATGTCAACGTAGAGCTGTCGTGGCAGATGGAAGCTGATGGTGCACATTAAGTGGATATTTGAATTAACCTGCCCAATAGTGCTGACCAAAGTCACTTGCATATACTTTGAGTGCTGAATACTGCTATATAAATACTGGATGTGTTACGAGCGCCCAGACCCCCTGCTTCTATTCCTTATGCTTTTGGTCATAAAGTAATCAAAGCGGTTTTCATCTAATCAGCTCATTTGATTGTTTTTACACACATTAACATGTTTACTTGTTATCACTCCTGTTCTGTTTCCAAATATTTTGCCCGATTGTCCTGTATGTCTGGAGATGAATAATCCATTCGGAAACTCTCACAAAGCAGTATTAAACCTTCATTTTACAGAGAAGCCCTCATGAGTAGATATCACGGAACTACTTACGAGAGCCCTGAAAGTGACCTCTGGTCTGCACAGTGAGGAGGCATCGCTTTTCAACCTGGCCTGCTATGACATTTTTCATTATCAAAGCTGGATTTACCCACACTTTTACAATGTCTTTGTTGTTGTAAAGTCATTGGTGCTAGGCTGGAACCATCAAACCACCCCACGTGTGAACTTGGTTTAATCATACGGAGATTCCTGAAATGAAACGTAGGTTCTTCTAACCTCTGAGCTAGCTGGCTACCTTATCTTAAATCTGATATAACACGTGGCTATTTTTGTTTTATTATTGGACCATGAAAAGTTGTTAGCATTAGTAAAAGAGGAAAGTAATTGACCATGTATGTCAAGAAATCGCTTTCGATTTTCATGGCAAATAGGTCATCATATATACGACACACTTTTTATTTTATCTTAAATCTGATATAACACGTGGCTATTTTTTGTTTTATTATTGGACCATGAAAAGTTACAATCCACAAAAATACTTCATCATAAGATGTGACCTGCAAAAGGTAGATTCTCATGATCTCAAACCACCCAGCTGTGAACTCGTATATACCAGTAGAATTCGGTGTGAATAGATACATTCATGCTTGGTAGTGGCTCAGATTGTGGCCAGAAGACCAAATTGCACGGTCACATAATCCTGGCAACATTCTGAGCTTAAAAGGGGGCCCGGGGTCGTGAAGGAGCAATCCATCATCTGCACACTCTCTTAATCAAACCCACAGTGTCCGTGAATCATGCCCGATCCCAATTCTGCGCTGACTGCACTATCGCATGGCTTCCAGTCACGGGAAATCGCAATGAATATATATTTTATGTTCTCTATATTTGAGAACCGCATTATCGAAGACGATTTAGTTTAATTGAGTGAAATGCTTTATGTGATGTCATTAAACTGTGCAATTGTATTAATAAATGCTGATATTAAATAAAGTACACGTGTGGAAGATTTAAATGTTTTTTTTAACCCGATGTAATGTTTTTTTTTTGCTTTTTCCATAACCGTTACATTTAATTATCTTTTATGTGCCAATATACACGCAATCATTCATGTAACATATTTGAAAACCAGTAAGTTTGCTGTGAATACACCGAGAGAAACAAAAAGAAAGCCGTGGGTGAGATTACACACGCAAATTAGAGGCATACTACAGACTTATTAAAAGTAAGTGTGCTTGGGCAGAACATGTCACTAGAAGAGGACGATGGCCGGTGATCGAGACTCATGACGGAGCGACAGTCAAGTGAGGAAACAAAACCCAGAGGATGTCCCCAACAGAGATGGAATAATGAAAGCAGATCATTTGCATTGCGTGATTAATTGAATGATAATTGCATAGGGCGGAAGGCCTTCATCCAAAAATGGATAGATTCATATCTGTTGCTGATGATGAAACTAAATTATCAAACAGTTATATAAACTCAAGATCAATTGAATAATACAACTATGGTCCGGTTATCATTTAAAATAATTAAAATTGTATTAAATGTAAATTTTGTTCGTTGTAACATGCGTATAACTGCATACAATTGTCAGCATGGGTACTAACTCAACTTATTTTTCTGTATGAATGTGGTTCTGGAAGAAACAGTGGATTTCATGTTATCACAGGCAAAAAGACACTGCTTACTTATGCATTAAATAAACACGACAATGAAGTAATGCAGCACATGTACCAGAGTTGCATTGCAGCTGCATTTTAAACAGCATGCTTAGTTGCTTGCATCTCCCTTATTATGAAAGTTTGGGAAGTAATATGTTCTTAACAGCAGCTTAGTGCAAAGCGTGGAAACCTTGTTATGCACAAATAGCGATACGGAGTTCACATTAACATGAATGTTCATTTATGTGCATGATGTTATATGTGTGTGTGTTTATTGATATACTCGTTTGCAAATGATCTGTAAGTTTACAGATAATAATTATTATGCATGGGCGATGCTTGAGTGTATTTGTGTCTGTACGTGTGTGTGTCTGTATGTATAGTGGAGAGCGGTAGTGTAGTGGGTAGCAACACTGCTCTACGAACCCAGCTACCCGAGTTCGATTCCCGCTCATGGCCATCACCAGTGATTATTATCTGAACCGGTCCTGGGCCTCCCCTAAGTCGACTCAACCTCAAATGAGTATCTGGTGCAGCGTGTAAACATTGCCATTATTGAGACAAAGGCGGCCGGGTGTGGTCCTGGCCACCCATCCCCTTGTGTGCCATGCTGGCCTTCATAAGTGTTCACTAACAGCACTTGCCCCAACACTCTGTTAAAAGGCGATGTTGGGGATTTTTGTTGTATGTGTGTGTGACTCTATGTGTCCATGTGGAGCAGTTTAGCCAATCGTGCTAATCGGGCGATTGACAACAAACGGAACACGTAAAGCAGTTCTAAAAAAAACGAGTTTTCAGTCTACATTTAAAAGTGCATTGCTCTCGTGGCTTCCTAATATCGGAAGGAAGAGTATTCCAGATGGCCGCAGAAGCACACCTTAAAGCGTGCAATGAAAGAGACCATTCGGCCAGCAGTGGCGTGACTAAGGAACTTGAGGGCTTCACCTCACTCATTGTGAACTGAAGGGTAGGAACCGTATTGCAATAGGGCATGCACCACGCCGGCTTGTGAAAATAGCCGCAGTGCATGGGGGAACCCACTCGGGCAGGCAGTTGACAGAATGCTTGGTGAGGCCCCTCCGCCAGCAGTGGAGTGAGCAAAGCTATCGCCGCACCTTCACCTAGCAGCGCTCACAGCAGCAGCAGCAGCCTATACCGTATATGTATGTATGTTGAACATCTTTCGTACCGTACGTAGCCAACCGTGCTATGAGATGTGTGGTGGGGGAGATCCAACAAACTCAACACAAAACAATATTTCTAAAGAAATTAGTTTTCAATCTGTGTTGTAAAAGAAGCACAGCTCCAGCCATGGACACCCGCGCGTGGGATGTGCGTGTGTGCCCAGCGGTGTGGTGCGGGAACCCGGGCGTGCCGGCCGGAGGCTCCATCCTGCACAGCGACGGCGTGGTGTTCTCCAGCTCCGTGACGTACGCCTGCTGGGACGGCTACCAGATGTCGGGCCTCTCCACCCGCCTCTGCAGCGCCAATGCCACCTGGACCGGCGTTCTGCCTGTGTGCACCGGTGTGTATGAATGAACACGTGTGCACACACGCACGCACATATACATCGAGTGTCCAAAATTTTTTTTATGAGCCACGGAAGTTACATTTCTCCACTGCTATTATGTCTGTAATAATCATTATGATTACTTGGTCCAGCTAATCATTATTATAGATGCTATTATCTTATAAAGAAATCCCTTAGATTTTTCACGTACATTAACGTTAGGGGTAACTATTAACATTCAATTTCCTTTTAAAAAAAGGTAAGTTTAGAAAATTTTCCTCATTTGCATGTGGTGGCATAGACTGGTAACATATCAACTTAGGAGCTGGTTAGTTGAATAATGTAGATATGGAGTGATGATATGTGTCACGTACTGACCTGCATAGCAATGGGATTCTTGTAACATCCAGCGTAGCATGCAGGCTACATGCTGTACCAGTTGTTAAATTGCCTCTCCAGCTATAGTGCTTCAATTTTGCTTTCTGTTGCCCCTAGGCTGTGCTGCATTTGTCCCCACAGTGAAGGGAGAGAGAGAATGCTGTCCAATGTTAGTTCTTCAAATGGAAGCAGTGGGAAATGAGAGCTATGTTCTACGAATAAGTCCGAATGGGGATTAAACAGTGTACCTTGTCCTTCTGTCCCGTTGGAGCCGGTGGTCATCACAAGAGTGTGTGCAGAATATCCGCACGAATGGTGATCCCTTGAACTGCAAATCAAGCTTATATGCCTGTCGTCTTTTGTTGTTTAAGACACATTTACGCTGATATGTTATCAAGTAGTGTTTAACCTCCCTGTGCAGAGTTTGAGTGTTTTCCCCTTGTACGTGTGAATTTAAATCTGGTCACCACTTACTACAGGCCTTCTTATGCAATTGTTCCTCACAGCTTGACTACAAAAGTTAAAATTACGGACCACTTACGGTGGGGTCAAGTGTGGGAATGGTCTTTATTTTCCAGTTTGTGTGATAATTAGCAAAATAGCAAAGCTAAATGCTCTCCGAGAGTCATGATTATCAACCCGCCATGGCATATGGAGCCCCCCCCCCCCCCACACACATTACAGTTCTGACTTTTTAAATTCATGATTGTTAACAAAAAGTTTGACCTGCAGGTTTAAGGCAGCCCATCCAACAGTCGGTCACGAGTCCTATCCCACAGGATCGTAGCTCTGAAGGTTCTGAAGATGAATTTTCAAACTCAATCGCTTCAATTTTTAATGTAAGACCATCCTCCGGATTGACACAGGTTTGTAATTAAATCAAGTTACAAAGCTCAGTAGTTATAGCTGCGCACTCCCACACCTTCCTGTGTGATGGATAAGCAACCCAAGCGCCAGCCAGCAGCACTTGCCTGCACAATCTTTCAGGATTGCGAGTGTGCAATCATTTGTCTTTAAATGAACATTAGTGTGTCCCTACAAGGCATTTGGCAAGGAGCGGTCTAGACCGAAATTGATCCCTGTGTATCTAATTGAACAATATGGGGAAAATATTAAGAAAACGGTTCTAGTATTATTACATTTTTCATAAAGGATTTTTGGTAATTGTGATATAAAATATCCCAACCCTCAGGTGCTTTATATATATAAACCTGTATATATTCCAATTGATATCATTTAAACTACAGTATATCGAATTCAAATAATAGCTCTCAGTGAACAATTTCAGTCCTAACCCTTCATGTGCATGGATTCTCACCAGGTATTCTAGTTTATTCCTATAAGTACACATTCTCAATACATTGCCAAGAATCCCAAGAAGATCCATCATGACGCTCTGCTTGATACATAAAGAGCTGATATTATGGTTATATAAGTAAATCGCTGTGAATTTTTTTAAAAATGCGTAAACCGTCCAATGTGTTTTTGTGTTCTTCTGCGCACCATGTGGTAGAAGCCAAAAGTACATCGACGTGCTTTGTAGCAGGCTCGCAAAAACCTACACAGTTGTACAAACCCGCAAGCATCTCATACGTGCATCTGTGTGATTTCGATTCACAGTGATCAGCTGCGGAAATCCAGGAGTCGCTGCGAATGGATTTTACCTGGGAAAGGAGTTCACATTCAGCCAAAATGTTTCCTACCACTGCTACCCAGGATATAGCATGAACTCTGGAGCCACTGCTGTGCGCTCGTGCCAGAAGGATGGCACGTGGAGTGGTGCTTTACCGTCGTGCCACGGTGAGTCACCCACAACAGGCCAAGGCATGCAGATCACTACCTCAGGCATTAATGTTCACTGCTGTGTCGACGGGCCAGAGAGGTGCAATCTTTTAATGTATTGATAATTGATGCCCTTTGTAAATATATTATGTGCACACTTTGCACGTAAAGTTACATTTAGAGGCGTGGGAGAAAACGACGGAAGGAGGGAAATCTTTAGGTGCCAATGTGCACAGCGAACGAGGGTTTGGATTTCCAGACGACTGTGACAGAGGAGCAGCATTCGTCTTGCCGGTTTTGAGAATCAGGCTTGATGAGGAGGCTACTTGAGGTCTCTTCTGGTTTTAAATCACGTTGGTTAATCTCGTCTATCCAAGTTGTCCTGTACATTTGAGAATATGGTATCCCTCTTTAATCGCTGTTTACTCAACAGGAATTGACATGTTAATGCAGTACAAGTACATTTAGTGTCATTCAATGGGGGTTAGGCATATTTTCTCCAAGTGTAGTCTGAATGAACATAAGCAAATGACAAATGAGGAAATATAAGATGATGGAAATTCGATTTACGTAGCATCTAAGTAAAGTAATTATGTTTGATGTCAATTTATCTCTCTCAATTAAGTGACTGCAACTATGCAGCTCACACTACTGGGGATCTGCGAGAAAGAGCCTCGTAGATAAATACATAAAGATTCGGGTTCATGAGAAATGGCTGCAGGAAGCATGCTGTTTTGGGTCGACTTGTTAATCGTTTACTTCCTCGAGTTCTGACACCTCGGTACATGGCCAGGGGGAAGTGTTTGGATATGTGACAATACACGGGGTTCTTTGCAGCTCTAGCTTAAGGAAATTCAAAATCATCCGCAGGTGAGCTGATTTATACACACAGGTGGATAGGTGAGCAAGTAGTTCGCAAGACATCATTTTACGTGCATTTTAATACTAAATTTCCAACTTCGATGGGAGCACGATGAAATTGTGTAATACATTGCGTGCTCGAGTTGTTGGTACAGAGCAATCTAATTTGCAAATCACTGAAGAGGAAAATGTGTTTAATTGCATGTTGAAAATTAGATGTGAAAGCATTTTCACCAAGTTCTTAAATTGGTTTTACACATCCAGGCTCCCCATTATAGCATGTTTATATATATATCTTCTCGAAATGTTCTCCCTACATTTTACCATGCACAAAGTTGTTCTCCAGGACTATACTGCACTCCCTCTTAATTAATGGTGCAAGCCACCTACCCCCTTCTAGAACTGAATGGCGTATACTAATTGCCAACTAATTCCCCACTAATGAAGTGGCGCCTACTTCATTAATTCGTTATCCCTGGGTACACCATGTTTGAAAAAAAAAAAGAACACGACAATAACCGCACCGTGTTCCCTTTTTGCAGTGATCACGTGCAGGCAGCCGCCGAGGGTGCTGAACGGGCGGCTGTTGGGCTCAGACTTCTCGTGGGGAGCCAGCGTGAGCTACAGCTGCTCCTCGGGCTACGAGCCCTCCTTCCCTGCCACGCTCACCTGCGAGGGCAACGGCACATGGAGGGGCGACGTCCCGCAGTGCCTGCGTAAAAACACGCGCGCGCGTTGCATCACGTGGCAGTCACTCGTTAGGCACAAAGTGCTTGCCACACACGTGAACTCTGATCATCCTTGTAGCGACTTTTAGAAAGCCATCAAGCAAAGACGGTCACTGCATCGCGTGCTTTCAGATGCGCTTCCGTGACCTTCTGCTCCACTCTTCCTCCTCATATTAATAAGCCACTGGAGCTATGCACTTTTAAATCTAGAATGAAAATTCATTTCTTTGGAGCTGATTTTTTGTGTTTAGTTTGTTGTCCTTCCCCTGCACCTCCGATTAACATGGTTAGCAACGTACATTGCAAAATAAGTTCAAAGTACATACATACATACAGCATACTCCCCAAGTACGACCGGTGTTCAGTACTAAATCTGCTCAACATTGCACAAGCACTTACTGGTGTTGTTTTTCGAGGCAATGGCCTTTTTTTTTCATTGTCGATATGCCATTCCTATGAAAATGTTCTTTCGCGTTAAATGTTTACCCGCAATCTACTATTAATTTCGCTTTTTCCAGCATTATTAATGGTAATGGTGGTGACGACCCTTTGGCAGTGGGTTTACGAATCCGATAGTGATCTATTATTTCTTAATAGATTACCACTCAACAGTTGTATACATATTTGAATATATATGTGGTGGCTGGACAAAATAGTTTTGAGAATCAATGTACTTCCAGTGTTGTTTACTACTAATAATAATAATTTACAGCTCTTTGTCAATCTACTGCTGGATCACATGCAGGTTCTTAGTGTGGTGTGGTAATCGTTACACTGCCACTCCACCCAAAGTGTTATTTTATAGCCATGTATTTCAGTGATAATTTTACATTAAAACAGGTGTACTCATATAAGGATGACCTATTTTATGAAATAGTGGGGGGTTTTTTTGGCTACTGCTCGTGAATGTGAGGCATGTGATCATTGCACAGAAAAAGTATTATTACCTCACACCAGTGGGAAACTATTTTGCTAGATAAGAAATGGGACAGAGTGAGGTTTATTCAGTTAAGTTTTATGCAATTTCAGTATTTCCTCACCAGTGAAAGGCAAGTTCAAACATTTTGATAATTATGAATTAATGCAACAAACTCATTTAGGTGTGCTAATGTTATGTAATTTTATATATATACATTCAGACAGCCACATTTAGTCTAAAAACTTTACACGCATTAATCACAAATTGTGTTGAATGAAAACACGTTTCCACAATAAGTCTAAAAACTTTACACGCATTAATCACAAGTTGTGTTGAATGAAAACATGTTTCCAGCTGTTCTGTCTCTCACATATATATATGTACTTATGCCACTATAGTTATACATATGTGTGCATATACTACTTCACGTGCTGGTCATGAATCTGGATTTTAATATTATTTTCTTTTTTTATCGTTGTGCCTACAGCTATATATTGTGGGGATCCAGGTGTCCCTGCGGAGGGCAGGAGGGAAGGCACAAGCTTCATGTACAAATCTAAAGTGGCATTTAGCTGCAAAAATACCCTCTTGCTCGTCGGCTCCTCATTACGGATGTGCACTGCTGATGGGACCTGGAGTGGAACCCAACCACGTTGCATCGGTGATACTCTACATTTCTGATATATACTTGCACTGTGTATATGTCGGACTGTAACCAAATGAATTGGAATGTGCCTGAGACCGTCAGACCTCAGAAACCAAGCAGGTTGAGCCTGGATAGTGCTTGGATTGGTGAGCCACCATGCGTTGTGGGCAGTAGAGGACAGTGCAGCATTAGCAATTGTTGCTTTGGACTCCCCCACCCTCATGGCCCAAAATGTGTCAGGAGGCCCTCATTGACAAAAACAGGCCGTAAATGTACACGTACAAATCTCCACACTTTGTATTGTTCTGTGGATGGTTTATTTACATGATCACTCCAATGTAATCACCTATGTCGTGCTCTATACAAATTGTACTTGTGGCACGGTGGTATTTATACACACGTGTGATTTCACATTGTCAGGGATGGTATTGATCCTGGTTAAGTTGGATCACTTGCAGGAGGAGGTGCCTAAGTGCTATTACCCTTTATGATGTGTTGTTTGATGTTGCATGCACCAGCTGAAACCATAATAACTAATTTCCCCTAATGAATGCTCATGGTTATAAATGCAGTTGTTTGTACCACTGAAAAATACTGGACTGGTTTTTAAATGCCCACTTGCATTGAATGAAATTTGGAGTGCAGTAACATTAAATTGCAGAATTTACATGATGATTTATTTTAGATTTTACAAACAGCCATCCAAAGACCACAAAGATATTTGTACTACGACATTTAGAAATATGAAAAAATATTTCATGGTGCCTATTAAATATACAGGCTCATGTTTTAGCATCTGTGATATGCAATGTAAATTAATTAAGATAAAAAAAACAACTTGTGCCATTACTCATTCCGAATTCTACCTTCAAGTCTAGACTGCATGTATAAATAAGTATGTTTAATTTCACATTTTAAATCACGTTTTAAAATGTTTTCACCTTTTAATAATCAATTAAACAAAACACAAGGTGAAGTTTCATTTTAATTATGGAAAGCACAGTTACAGTGGATGAGTAACAGTTTGTTTGGAGTGCTATAATATTAGCTATCGTGCATTGTTCAAGAGGCCCTTTGTCAAATGCACCAAACAGAGTGAGTTAAATCGTTTTCTGCGCAGCTCACATTAAATAGTGGGCACGCACTGTGGTGTCATCCAGATATTAGAAAGTATTGCATTGGGCAAGGTTTCCTGTATTTATTCATTCATGCCTCATGTATTCAAACCAGCATAGATAAATGCTGGATTTAAAAACAATATTTTACAGCAAAAGCAATACACAGAGCACCAACCTGGTTAACCTAAATAAAATGTAAAACAAAATGTAATGCATATGCATATAAATAGTATTACTTTCATGATGAATCTAGATTGAAAACTCATTTCTTTAGAACTTATTTTTGTGCTAAGAGGCTTGACCTTCCCCCGAACCTCTGATTATCATGGTTGGCTACATACACACATAGTTCTTAAAATATCCTCTAGAACGGCTCTCTAGAGCTCCCTGTGGTGGACGTCTTCATTCCAACAGTGGAATTAGCAGGCAATGCAGGGAGGCTCATCATCATGAAGATCCATGGGCAGATAGCCCCGTAGGTGTCCACTGCACATTTCGTCACTTGTTTCCACTTTCCTCTCCGTCTTGTGCCGATATGCTCAAGTAGTGCCACATCTTTCTGGCAACAATCTCTTTTGTCGTCAAGCCGTTCTCTATTAGGTCTTCTCTTTTCAGTTCCTTCCATTTTTCCAAACAACGCGCTTTTAATTCCCCTGCTGTTGTCCATCCTACATATGTGTCAAAATAGTGACAGTTTATTTATCATCACCGCCTGCATCGTCATGTCCTCTTCTATGTGCAACCTTTTTCTTACGTTTACATTCGTCACTCTTTGGGTCCAGCTTAGATGCAGTATCCTTCTATAGCAATACACTTTGAGTGCCAATATCTGATCTCTGTCAGTCTTTTTAACGTCCAGATCTCGTGGGCATACAAAGCTCTACTGAACATGCATGTTCTTAAGTTGTTCAGTTTGGTACTGTAGCTGATTTGCTTGCTAATTCCAGATGTTATTGAATCCTGCATTACTCCTTTTGCCTTTGCGATCATCACCGTTATGTCTTTCGTGCAGCTGTTGTCCCATGTCAGTAGACTTCCCAAGTATACAAATGCCTTTACATTCACAATCTTGCTGCTTTCTATTCTAACTTCCTTCTCAAGGGTCCAAGAACTCCACACCTGTCTTAGACAGGTCGTCAGACTATATTTTGTTTGGACACTGTTAGGTATCACGTTACCACAAGGCACAACAATGGTTTTTACAATGTAGAGTACATAATTAAGCAAATACATTTTTGCAATTATGTTGATTTGAAAAATAATGCATGTCATGAACCAAAATCCACTTTATTAGTAAAATGAGCTTGCTTGAATATCTGCATAATGCCCCCTCTCCCGCTCAGTTCCATTTCTGTATTAAGGAACAGCCAATTGATATAATTTGAATTGCATGGAAATCATCTATCACTCATTTAACTGTATTGGCCTTGCTTGTCGTGTGCACACTGGAAAACACTGGCCCGTTTCATTTGGCTAATTGAGGTGATGTGTAATGCATTCACATTCATTTGCGAAGCACTAAATGCACGTTTACGAACTTCATAACGGCCTGTGACAATGTCACTTCAAGCCAAAGGGCATTCGCTGGCTTTGAAGTCGACTTATGAGTAAAAACAGACTACTGTGCCACATTTGTGACACACTTCAAACTTCTAATCAGCTAAAAATGAATACGTAATTATTACTTGTACGAATCTAGTAATGTACGCACACAGTTTGCCTTGCACAAGTGTGGATTTATACTGCAATACATCAGTTGAAACGGTGTAATACAGATCGTATTTTCTTTTATTGTCTCGTTTTCTCCAAACTATCAAAAGACCTGTGTGTTTTAAAAAAATATGAGGCACTTCTATATAATTTGTCCTGAGCATTACAACAAGTAAAATGGTAATAAAGTATTAAAGCTTTCGTGACTGCATAAAATTACTCATTGGTTTTTTTAGGTAAAGTCACGTATGTAGAAATACAATAAAATTATATATATAATATATTTTTAGAAATACAATAAAATTATATATAAAATAAATATTATTTTATTGTATTTCTACATACGTGACTTTACCGAAAAAAACAATGAGTAAGTAAAATGGTGTGCTAATTTACTCTAAATAATGGGACACTGCCTCCATCTGTGGATAATGTCTGTTTACGAGTGCTAACTAATATCAGCATTCACTTTGAGGATGATGATATGATGGTCCCAAACAAAAATCTCACAGCGCTCCATTCTTGTTAAAGAACACTGTCTACTGAGTATAAATGCTGCAGCAAGAAGTCCTACAGTGATTCCACATGTCTTTGTTATACCTCTATGGATTGCACAAACCGAGTACAAATATCATATGCCGCAGACATCCTGGCACATCCAATTTTAGGAAAATCAGACACCATATTGGGCATATTTAGCATCAATGGTAGACATGCTTGCCTTATATTGGCTAAATAATATGGGTAAACAAATTTCTGACTTTGCTGACGAGAAGATTTGAGTCTGGTCATTGTTGCATTCGTGGTCATTTTTTTTTCCTTTAAAACTGCAGGAGGCGACATGGGCCATCGGTAGCACGCTCGCCACTTGTTGGAGAGGTTCACGGTTCGAAACGTCTACTGTCTACTTCCCAGGAGTGGGATGTTAAAGAACCCGTGCGTGATGTCATTCACAAGAGTAGGCCATTTTTAATCAGAATCAGAAGCTGTATTTACACTTGAGGAATCCGATGAGCTATTAAGCTCTCTTTTCACAGATGTGTTGGTATCATAGTCCAAATTGACCAAATTAGAAAGAAAATATTACCCACAAATTATCCAATTGGGATTTTGAAAAGCGAGCATTGCCCCCCACGGAATAAACTTGGCAGGACCCTGCTGAAAAATAATGAGACCTTTCAGCAGGGAAAACAAGCATAATCATGAAAATAAAAGCGCCCATGTTTATAGAAACATGTGGTTTTCAACTGTTTATAATTGTATTTATATATGTCTTGATGTTTGTCTATTTCAATTGTGTGTGCATATTGAGAGCCCACTGTGTGATGATTATTGTTTTATTGCAAATTCTGTGTTACACGTTTACGCATCTTAAGTGCACTCGTAAAGAGAAGGTTACGTCAAATGCATATATTGTGACCACCAGTAATTCCTCACCAGAAACTTTTGAGAGATAACACGACTGAAGGTCTTCTTGTACGTGACCACTGTCATACATTCGGGTCCTCTTCTTTAAAAGTATGATCCTATCTCATGTTTATTTAAAATTGTAATCCTCTGACCTTTCCCACACATTTAGACCCTTTGCAGAACACGTGCCCTAACCCTGGAGCACTTCAGTTCGGGGAATTAAACAGCACTTTCGGATTCCAGGTATGAAACGATATAAGTATACATTACGGATCTTTCACCCATTTTTAATTGTATGCAGCTGAATGAGGAAAAATATTTAAACATATACGATTAATGAGTTATTTGCATTAATAAGTGGATATCTGAATTGCATTTCGTGGCATTTCCTGGCACCTTATTATTTTTTGTTCCCTTCATCAGGTGTGGCCAGTAACTCTAATTGAATGATGCATAGCTTCTTTTGAATTTCGTTATGTTCTGCATGGAATGATAATATCAGTCATTAAGTTAAGTACCCAACTCTGCTTCTCGGGCAAGATGTACCAACGGTATATCATCAATCAGATATTGAGTGCTGCTTATGACCTGTAAAAAACTTTTAAATCAAAATAGCTGTGTTTGAATGTACGTATAATAAATAATTACAGTATGGGCCTTGGGGGCTGAGCGGTGGCACACTGTGCTGTGAACCCAATGACCTCGGTTCTATTCCAGGCCATGGCTAAATTCAGACATAGCGAGTGATATCTGAACTGCTCGATGCTCACCCCCACCCCCATTAACTTGCACCGAGCAGCATAGTGAAGTATGGTCAAACAGTCTCCGTGACTAACACGGCATAGGGGGGCCTGCATCCAGCCATGGATTGAAAGAGATGTGAATTAATTTATTGGGAACTCAAAGCGGGTTGGTGTATCACACCTGCAGAACACGGTACACTTTAAATAAATTAATTTACGAATTTAAAATTGTGTACAGAGTGCATAGTCCTATTAATATGTAGTATAATGAGGTTATTTTTGTTATTTGAGGATTATGGGTCATGCAACCACGATCATGTGTGAGGCTCTCAACTTGCAGGATTAAGAAGTGGCCAGCAGATATACATATATTACAAATATAATAAAAGGTTGCTTACTTAACTGAACATATGTTTTAATGTGATCCTCATATGTATGTACATGGATTTTTTTTACACAAACTGCCAAACATTGATAAATGTGCATTGGTAACATACTGCAAAGGAAAATAATACAAATATAGAGTTCAGATACTCAGCGAGGCTTTCATATGTAAACAACAAATACATTATTAATTGTGTATCTCAAATATGCATGACTAGAAAAAAAACGCATGATGCTGGTGTGAACTAGCATGGTCATGTTCCTGCCCGGCAGTATTTTCTTTGACAATGTTAGTGTCACTTTCATTTTTGCCATGGGCACGTGTCATGCCTATGGGGGCGGTGTGCAGTCACGCTCGTGGAAACACCTGACAATCTGTCTATTTCCTTTAACAAGGTTGGCAGCAAAGTGAAATTCAGATGCGGAAAGGGATACCACATCCTGGGGTCCACAACGAGGTCTTGCCAGTCCGACTACGTATGGAGCGGCACCCGGCCGCAATGCATACGTAAGTTTAACGTGAGCACGTTCATAATCTGGAGAGAGAAAAAATACAATGCTTTATTAAGTGTTCTGTGATATACGTATTAGACTTGAATTAATAAAGGGGGGGGGGGGGTGGTGTTATTTAAACAGATTAAACAGATAGCGGGAAAATGTATCATGCTAATTTAAAGTGTACGTGTCTTTTGGTGCATTTGTATGAACAGTAAAAGTGCACTTCAATACGTTTTATAATTATCTATGCTCTATATTTTTTTTTTACCAAGTATGCAATCCATCATGCAGTAGCACACAGCTATAGGCATTTTAGCAGGGGTTTTTTTTCTTATCGTACATTTCAAAAGCGTTGGTAAAGTATGCAATGTAACGGTTCCCTTAAAGTTGTTGCTCACACCACTGCTGATGGAAGGACCCCAACCAGAAGGAGCTCTAGAGACTCTGTCTGGAGGGGGAACTCAACGTTACTGTCCTATTTGCATGCATGTGTTTCATTATACATTTGTGCTGTTCAGTTAAACATTTTGTCACACAGCACAAGTAATGCAGTTGCTGAAAAACACTGCGTGCCATGCAGTAGCAGGCTGGCTATTACTTACGGTGCCAGTTTGTGAGCCACAGTCCCAAATGTATAAGTACGCTTGAGATTTTATTTTTTGTATAACCAAATGACTGCATTGAGCCTGTGGCCACGAACACGCCGTGTGTTCGTGGAAACCGCAATGGGTCTATATTGTTGAGCCAGACGAGAGAGAACCCGCGAGACCAGGATAGCCTCATTTGCAAAAGTGACCTGGAGAATATTCCTGCCAGTTGGGGGTGATGCTTGCTATGTTTGATCCCAATTGAGTAACTTTAGTTGCAACTATGGGTGCCTGGGTACAGCAACCCCTCAGGCTGCTTCATGAGCAGCCTCGTTAGAGTCCATCCATATTCATCATATAACTAAAGCTCCTCTACACACATTATGCCCATATATGGTGTTTATGCATTAATTGCTTAAACTATCTACACGCATTCCCCATCCATTCCAGCCTCATTCCTGAAGGTGAAAGGCAGATTTTTTGCGTAATAAAAGTTAGTCTGATAGTAGGTTTCAACTCGGTGTATTTTCTTTACATGTGTACGAAGCTGAAAATTGGCAGAGCATCAATGTACTATGAATTATACTACCTCAACGTGTAGGTTTTCACAATTGTGTTTTCAAGTTGTACTACAGTGTTGTTTGGCATGATGTCTGCCGTTCCTTAAGAAGCTCCCAGCACGTGGAGTGAAATGTAAAGCATCATGCTGGACAGCACGCAGAAAAGCCAGAAAGCACATCGGGGAGCCATATGCTATCTTGATCTCACATTGGCTTTTGATTTCCTCTTTATGAGTGGCAATACATTTACCAATAACTAGCATGTATGTTGAACTTCTTTCCCACGATAGGTAGCGAAACCATGCTAATTAGAGGTGTGGTGGGAAGGACAACAAGCTAAACATTTTCCACACTTGTTCTTCATAAGATGTGTTTTCTATACATGTACGAGTACTGATGGATACTGTCGTGTGTGTGCCTGTACCCAGCGCACAGCTGCAGGCAGCTGGAGACCCCAGAAAATGCAGATGTAGGGGCCGTGGAGCTGCCCGGCCTGGGATACACGCTCATGTACAGCTGCCAGCCCGGATTCTACCTGGCGGGGGGCTCGGAGCACCGCAGCTGCCGTCCCGACGGGACCTGGTCGGGAAAAACTCCCATCTGCCATCGTGAGTCGCCAGCACGTCCGCGCAAACGCCTCCCTTCCTCGCAAGCCATCCTGCACTGGAAATGCTTGTTTGAGCATTATTTCATCGCAGCAGCAGCAGTAGTTTGGTCATCATTATCGTCAGCAACAGCAGTATCAGCAAAGGCAAGAGCAAGGTCATTACATCTGTTTGTGTGCTTGGTGGCCATCCATTCAAGCACTATCCAGGCTTAACCTGCTTAGCATCCAAGGTATGTAAGTATGTATGTGTTAAACTTATTTCGCACCGGACGTACATAGCCAACCATGCTAATCGGAGTTGCCGGAAGGGTCTGACGGAGTCCGGAGCATTTTGGGTGGTCACGGGAAGATTTTACCTTAACTTTCTTCTTCCAACTTCCATTCCGATGAGGTCCGAATGGATGTGGTATGCGATTAGCTAATTTAGGAACTTAATGCATTAACTTCATAACAATGAAGCAAAGGTTTTCGTGGTTGCTCTCCAATGTGTTTCAGGTTGCAGCGTGTGTTGTTCGGCACAGTGTCTGACAATTTGCTGTACGTGCTGGGAGTTTCTTGAGGAAGCGAGTAGTTAATTTGGGAACTGAATAGTTTTGTTGGGAACGCAATAGTTTATGAAGCTTCCAGTATGTTGCGCGAAACCGAGGACATCATGCCGAATGACACGCGGGTATTGTTATCATAATTTCATCGCGAGGTTGTTTGTTATTTATCTTACTTAATTACCCCTTTAACAATGCCTATGAAAGGTGGAAAATGTAATCATTGGTGCCATGAAATGAGTATAAGGAAAATTTAAAAAACTGCAATCCTGTCAACTTTTAAAGTACACCATATAGGTGCAATTAGTATGCATTTAACGCTTATATGCAAGCCTTTAGAAATCAAAGCCTCGGGCTGTATGTACTCGGTATAAAGTACACCTGTGGCAATGGGTATTTGCACCTGACCGGGGACTTGTCTTGGTTGAGTCAGCCTTAAAGGAGTACTTTGTGATTATGTAATATAGGTAATATGATACTATTAATAGTTGCCCACTCATAACACGTCTTTCCAATTATCTTTCCAGGCTGACTTGAACAATATTGTTTGCATTTTTTTACAACTCATCAATATATATTTTTAGCTGTTTTCGTACTTTGGTTTTATATCTGTTGTTTTTTTTAAATAAGCAACTACTATTTCGAGTGACCATCGTAGCAACCACGATGACTAAATCACCTGGAATGCGCACGATCTCGTCATATCTCGGAAGCGAAGCGAGGTTTTGAGCCTGGATAGCGATAGGATGGGCAACCACCAGGCATGAAGCAGCAGGTGCTGTAGGCCACTGTGGAGCTGCGTTGTGAGCAGAGAGCAGTACAACAAAGCCTGTTGTACTGTAATTATGCTCCAACATCTATACTCCCCACGTTCACCGACCCAACTTGACCAGTGTGGTGAAGTATGCTCAAATAATGGCTATCACCCACATGGCCATGGGGATGCCTTCATGTAGCAGCGGATGGACAGACAAAATGTGCTGCACGTGTACATGCGTGCTATAGGCTCATGAGCTAAACTCTAAAACCTGCTCTATCGGTAGTGGCCTAGTTTGTATTTCTTTGGCTCTGTTGTTCCATTTCATTTTCTGCCACCAGCTGCAGCCTCTTTGAGTTGTATTCCCATACGGGCCTCTAATAAGCTAACTCCTGGCAGTGGGTAGCATGCAGGCTGACATAAAAAAAAATGTTTCTTTGCTGCCCACTTGGGAGCTTTTGATGGATGCTGCATTTCTTTACTGCCTCCAAACTGAATCTGACAACATACCCTTTTCACATTTTTGTGTTTTCTCTATCACATGATCACGTAATAAAGAGGAATTACATCTCCATGGGACACGTTTTTCCAGTAACAAGCTGACAAACGAAATGCAGACTTGATGCTCTGTAAGAGGTGTCTATTTGGTGTTTGAATATCTTACTAGTTGGATTTAGGCCTGAAAGGATAAAGTTATTTTTTAATTAGGATTTATATAACAAAGAGGAATTGTTTAGCGGCTGTAGATGCACCAGACATGGCATTGGGTGGAAAATGTGAACAAGCAGGGAGTGCTTGGAATCACTGGGTACAAGCGGGATGCTATTCTGGATTTGACCATTGCTATGCACAAAATACGGACTCTATCTGGCCAACCAAACCTTTTTTAAATCAATACAGAACTGGGATAAATAAATTAGGACATTTACATTCAGTTGGGTGAAAACAAATATAGGGCAGGAATTGCTTGTGCTATATGTAAATCGTGGCAGCTTTCTATATCACATAGGGAAGGTTTACAGACACTATGGAGGAGTGGAATTCTTAGCCTCTCAAGGAATTAAGCATGGAGTTTTATAATTCAAGAATATTTCAGGTGTATAGTATTACAGCTCTCAGCCTCTATAAGTCAAGGGGTACTTCAAATATGTGCTGCAACAGCGCGCTGTGAAGATGTAGAAGTGTTACAAATGTATGAAGATAGTAGCCAATGACTAAATGCGGGCAAACACACAACACAATTATAATGGGACACTTCAACGGTAGGTGAAATGAGCAAAGGTATGATTGGTAAATTTGGATCGAGACAAAAGACCGTCAATTAGAATTCGAACCCAGGAGGGACGTGAAGATAATACATCCTTTTTAAATAAGGAATATAGAAATAGCCATGGAGGAGTCCAAATCAAGAAAATGTAAATGACTTGATTCTCACGGACACACCACAGAATGTCAGAGATGTCCCTGCTTCATTAATGAGAGCTAACCAACGTTGTTTTACTTTTAGCATATCGTACCACTTTTTTCCTGAAGTTGATCAAGCTGTCTAGGATTTCCTCCCTGTTATTCCTTCCGATATTAGGAATCCACTGGAGCTGTGCACTTTTAAATCTACATTGAAACCTCCTTTGTTTAGAACTGCTTTTTGTGTTTAGTGTATTGTCTTTCCCCCGCACCTCCGATTAGCATTTTGGCGATGTACGGTGTGAACGAAGTACAACATACACACATACACATACATGTACAGTACATTTGATAATAATTCTAGTGCATTTTTCTCTCTCTCCAGCTGGACTCAAACCATCTGAGAAAAATAATAGCGCACTTTTAACAACTCATAGCCCTCAAGGTGCAGGTGAGTAGGGCCATGTGATGCGACACAGCTGAAATATTGCAAAACATTACACGTGCAGTGTTCAGTTGTGAGTACTTTTCTTGACTACATTTTTCATCAAGCTATGACTACATTCAGATGGGGTTTTTTTTTACCATGGTCTTGATTCAGTGATGTATATTGTAATTTGAATGTTTCAGGCAATGGCCCAAACCTTAGCTTATTACATATACGTTTTGCTCTTTAAAGCAGTGTTCTTGATGGATGTATTGAGATATGATTATTTGTTCTTATGCACCACTACCAACGCAGTAGCAACATTTTTAAAATAACTTTTCCCATTTAATGTATTCAATACAACGAGTTTGTGCTAGGAGATGCAAACAATGCTGTAATTTACAGTGAGTGTAGGAGGCAGAGGGTGAATGTATTGGGGGGAATCGGTGAAGTTGGTGGCGAGAAGTCTTGGGCGTTGGGCAATGAGTGGAAATATAAATGAGAGGGCCGTTTGACCCGTGCTATTCTTACTCTGGTGTAATAGTAGGGGACACCTTGTGATGGACGTCCTGTAACGGTTTGTGTTCTCAAATCTAAAGGCAGTTTGTGTTGCCAACTAGAATATAGTGACTGCTAATCGTGCCCTAGCATGAACTCTCTGTGACCATGGAAAAGACCTTTAGTAGCTGCAAGATTAAGTTAGGGGGTATATTCATTTATGAGGTACTGCAGTTCCTTTTCTGTGAACTTTCCACCTTTTAACAGTCTCTGGATACAATCATCGACTTAAGTATTGATCCTATTAAGCTCAGAGGCTACACTTTTGTTCTCCACAGCCCTTGACGTGACTCTGTTTGAGGAATCCGTTTGGAAGGGCTCGTTCGACTTCAGAGACACAAAGCGTCCGGCTTCGTTGCTGACGAACAGCATCGACGTCAATTCAGGCCGACTGAACCTCACCTTTTTGGCCACTAACATGGAACTCAATTTAGCAGGTGATTGCCGCAACTCTTCACACATCGCTTGTGACACAAAGCAATTGCAACACACTGGGTGATAGCGGTGCCGCGGTGGCGAGATGTTAACTCGCTCCCCTGGTATACAGGAGGCCATGGGTTCGACCTTGACGCCTGTATATTTGGAGTTTGCATGTTCTCCCCGTGGTCGTGTGGATCTTATCTTTGCACTCCGGTTTCTTCCTTCTCATTTAGAAATGTATGTTGAGAGTTTTTGTCTGCTATAAATTTCCACATGATGATATGCCACTTCGCTGAACTATCATTTGTGGCCAGGTCGCTTCTGACAAAGAGCTATGTATATCAGTGGGCCTTATTTAGTAAAATAAAAAAATAGTTTATTTAAAAAATCTTTTTTAAGAATTTGCTTTAAGTTGTATATGTTTGCAGCTGTCCTCAACGAGGAGTGCAGTCACACTTTGGAAGGTGGGAGTGTCCTCCTAATGAATGGTTCCTCGTGGTTATTGGTCATATTAGATATCCACAGTGATCCGTTTCCATCTTCTATATGTTACTGGCAAAACCAAATGTAAAGTATTGAACTTTGATCAGTGACTTATTTAAGATTTTAGATTCCTATATGTTGAATGTATGCACCATCCTGCCAAAGTAAATTCCGTGTCGGTGTGAACTTTCATGGCGAATAAAACCCTTTCGGATTCGGATTCTATGTGTTGGTATATCCTTCCCATATCTAAAACTGTGGGAATGTCGGGACACCCACAATACCAACATTGGCTTATCCCCTGCTTCTTAAACACAGTCCTGTAATCTTACACTTAATCCAGTGTTGCACATGTATTCATCGACAGTGACACACCACGCATTAGTATGTCCTTCTGAATGGGGAATATTGCTGAACATGGGAAGATTGGCCATGCTGAGACACTGGATTTAAATGACAACTGCCAGTTGGTGAATGATCACTATGGACCTGCAGTCGTCACGTTGTATTAATGCATATTCTCTATGGTCGCAGGGGTCTTCAAGAATAAAGAGGGAAATGTATTCCTTCGAGTCACTCACGTGAAACGTTTTGATCAATCTTTGTTTGAAAAGATGCCCGGTGATTGGAGCATGAATGGGTCTGTAAGTACTTTATAAGTTATGTCAAGCAGCTAAATTGTGTTGATTTATGCGTGCGCATACATGCAAATATAAAGACAGACAAACACATCTTCGTAATTATTCAGCTGTGCATAATGGTACTGTAGACTCTCGTTAGCAATGTGGATTGACCGTGTAAAGGTGCATCTCCTCACTAAACTCGTGATGCTGAATAGGGTAGGATGGCTATGGATGACATTCACAGTATTTATTACCAGTAAGGAATTATATATGTATGTTGAACTTATTTTGCACCGTGCGTGGCCAACCGTGCTAATCGGAGGTGCGGGGGAAGGACAACAAGCAAAAAATCAAGCGGTGAATCGAGTTAACGGAGGAAATGCCAGGAACTGCATCCCAAATCGTTGAGCACCTGCCCTTACCACCACAGCATTCGACCATTCTAAAAGAAAACTCACTTGCTGGCGAGTGAGTTTCATGCATCAGTAAAGCTCTCCCTTTAACCCACTCAATCCTCCTTTTATAACCCCCAAATGGTATGGTGCTTGATTTATGGCTTTAATTTGTATTGTGCGCACAAGGGGAACTTGTGGAACTGAACTTATTCGGGTTTGTTTCTTAATATAACAATGGACAAAATAAGAATTACAAAAAGGTGTTCTTGAAGTATCAGTTTGGTGGGTTGGCACATTTTTGGACCGTACTTCTATAAAGTAAAAGCATAGTTTCTTCCTTAGTTTGAAGAAAAATATTTAAAAAATAACCCAACAATTGTTTTTAGTTCGTTTTAAAACTCCATATACTACTTTTGTTCATTCCACATATCCAAGTTCCTGAAAAAAACAGATTTTTTTTCAGTTCAAAATAGTTTGTAAATCAGAACGAAAAAAGTATCATAGTGTGAGATATTTTTGGTAAATGCTGATTATCAAAATTAACTTTGGGATGATGCAAAGTTTCCTCACACAATTTCTGTACATATAAATCAATCTCTGGTTAAAACAATTATTGCAAGGGGAGTTAGATTTTATAGTTGGTATATACGAGCATTATAAAAGTGTTTGTGCACGATCAAGCAGATGAACGAAGCTGCCGTTAAACACAAGTGCTGTAGGGTTGTTAAGTTTAAGAATGGGTAGATGGATGGTTCATCTTGTAGTTCTACAAAACCATTTTGATGAGATATATGAATTGTAATATTTTCAGAGCATTTCAGTGAAACATAAATATGTTAGGAACATTTATCTGGGTAAATGTGTCGAACGTATTACTTTAGCTTCACTTCATCAATAGTTCTTAACATATTAATCAAGCATCTGGTGGGTTACACATTTCATGGATCAAATGCTACAATTGCTCAATTTAATACAAACATGTCATCATGTCCAGTGCTGTACAACAATATAATATTACCCGATAATCATTTTCTGCTGATTTATTGACAGTGGCTCATTTTAATTGGTCTTTTTAACTACCAAAGCATGTGCATTTTCAAGGCATAATTTTGAATGCAGTACTGCTTGCTCATGTTTAAAAAAGCAGTGTACAGTCATATTGATGGCTTCATAGTGCAACGTGCATGCCCTAATGGGTTGTTTTATATTTATAATAATTTTATGAGTGTTATAAAGTATATTCATAAGGGGGTACAATGAGAGAATGCCACAAATGTAGTCATTGTGCACAGCACACTTTAATGCAGGGCGATAATACATCCCTCCAAATGAAATTATGTTCCACAGTGCATTTTTTTTTAATGTCACATGCCAGATGTACAAAATACAGCAGAGTTATTATTGATAGTTCGTTATACGGCCCATAATGGCAATGTTCAGCACAGGGTATTGGACTGCCCTGCAAGTTAATCTGAAGTAACGCGTTGATCATAGATGATGGAGTGTATCTGTGATGTGATGTGTCAGCTCAAATTGCCTCTGCTTTTATGGCACAGGTGACAACCGATATTGATGGTGTGACGCACGTTTATCAAGGATTCATACAAGCCAAAGAGTATGGTTCATTTGGATTTAAGAAAATAGGTAAGTATTGTTGAGAACATGAAACAATTTTTATTTTACCAGGTACGGCCCAATTGACTCTATAGCTCGTTTTTCAGACGCGACCTGGCCACAAATGATAGCCCAATGAAGTGGCTTATCATATGGAAATGTATAGCAGCCAAATACTCTAAACTATTTGCTGGTTAGTTGGTGATTAGGAACAAATTTTCTGAGCCCACAGACTCAAAGTATTTTTTTTTCTCCGTTGTGGCTTCGAGGTCAAAATGTTTCATTTTACATCTGCATGTGTGCATTTAATTTTGTACTCATTGTAACAAATGTAGAACCTCTTAATTGCAGGTGCAGTATTGCAATTTATACTCCTCTGTGCAGATTAAAAAAAATGCATGACAACTCTAGACATAGAGTATTTTAATATGAATGTAGCTGTGCTATTTTGAAAGAAAAATTAGTTACATGAAACAAGCAAAGGAATGGATGTTTTGTGTTGTTGTTATGCCTCAAAATTAAATGAATGTCAGAATTCAGCATTGAAGTAAAAAAAACCCACTGAATTTGTCAGTTCCGGACTTGGAATCCTATAGCTTTCTGAGAATTTGAAATTGTGTTAAAACACAATGCTCAAAAAGCCCTTCCAATTACAAATGGACCAACAACAGCAGATCGCCTGCTGAGTGCATTGCGAAGAAATGATTAAATAAGGCTTTCAAATTACATGGGCCTTTTTTTAAGTGCTAGCCTGCAGCGTCAAGTTTTTCACACGAAAAACAAGGTTCACTTGAGCAAAAATCCAGGCCAATTACTAACTGCAAAAAAAAACCAGTCATAATGTGCACTTACAGAAATTGCGTTGGTCTCACTGGGGGAACCACTCAATTGCCCCTAATGTAGACATACCGGAGAATTTTGTGAAATAGGCCAGAATCTCTTTGTAAGAATGTGACACAGCCTCCGCAGAAACATTGGGGCGGTGGGTGGGGGGGGCAATGCTCCATCCAATGGGAGATTTGTGCTTGGCTGCCCAACGTTGGAAAGCGTTGATTCCCCTGCGTGGGTGGGCGTTCAGCCTGGCAGAGCATGGCGCACGAGCTTCATGCCTTGAGCCTTGAGCCTGGCTCGTGATGGATCGCTTTTTCCTCCCCCCAACCCCCCTTTGCTTCAGGAGCGGAGACACGGGGCCCCGAGGGTGGCACGGACCCGACCGGCCAGCAGCATGGCACCAGCAGCAGCTCTGTGGCGGTAGCCATTCTTGTGCCCTTTTTCGCCCTCATCCTGGCCGGTTTTGCTTTCTACCTGTACAAGCAGCGGTGAGACATGATGGAGAGAGAGAAAAAAAACCTCAGGTTTCTTGAATTGCATTAGGGTCACCCTTAACGATCCCTTTCACGAGTGTAGACATAGGGCTTGAGATTTTAATGAAATATTTTTCTGTTTCCGTGTGAGCATTTTTGCCATTTGCCTTTTCTATTTTGTCTGCGATACAGAATAGAAAAAAAAAGATTCGTCTCCTTGTATTATAGCTAAGCTCTGCTTTCTGGTAATAACTGTCTCAATTGATTTCCTTCAGGTTCAACACAAGGTTCATTGATGAATTTGCTCACGAATGTAATGTTTTGAATATTTGAATGACGTTACTGCTTAGTAATGTGTATATATTTCCCCATACATCAGTGTTTATTTGATTTTGTCTTTGTATTGCAGGTCAGCTCCAAAGCCACACTTCAGTGGTTTTGCTGACCATGAGAACAGTAATGGGCAGACAGCTTTTGAGAACATGATTTACGACAGCAGTCTGAAGCATGGAGAGAGCAAGGCAGTGCGGTTCGACCCCAGACTCAACACAGTCTGCACAGTGGTAAACACCTGCTTTTAATATGAGGCTGCTATACGTGTTTCAGTTCACCGTGGCTAACATATGCCAAAAGGATCTGGAAGCATCTTAACTGTTAATTAAACATATTAACGTATGTCTAATGTATTATTACAAATAACATAATAGAAATACAGTTTATATAAATATTTGTCATAATTCTAAAGTGTGTTCAAGTTAAAGGTGCAGCTCTGCAATTGTTTGCTCATGACGTGACTGCTGGCAGAAGGGCCTCGAATAGGTTCGAGAGAGCCCCCTTTAGAGGATATTTTTGGCCTTTTTGTCCACACTGGTCAGACACCTTGGAAGAGGTGGGAGCACATGGGGGGGGGACAGGGATTTAATAAACTTGCCCCATTGTTTCAACTTCAGTGCCAGGATATAGCACGATTGGCTACGTATGGTGCGAAACAGTACAACATACATTACATATGTATGTTGAAGTGTATGTATGTTGAACTTCTTTCACACCGTACGTAGCCAGATATGCTAATTGTAGGCGTGGGGAAGGACAACAAACTAAACACAAAAAGCAGTTCTAAGGAAATGAGCCTTCAATTTCGATTTCAAAGTGCGTAGCTCAAGTGGGAGGGGCCGTAGAAGCGCATCTGAAAGTGTGCGATGCGGTGGCCGTTTTTGTTCGATGCATACATAGGATTGAACCAGTGACATCTGGATTGCAAGTCCAGTGTGCTCACCAATACACCAATAAACAGCAGTAGCAATCCTTAAAGTGTGTATTAAATAGAACTACTTTCATATTCTTGGTTCTTTCGGTACTTTTATCTAGACATTTTTTTTCTGCCAAAGTTAATCATGGAATACAAATGCCTATGTAGCTATAATTGAATTTTGTGGCTTGAAATGCTTTTTAATATAGCTTTAGTAAACGTTTTTAAAATGAATACTTTGAAGTTTACACATTCATGTCTAACCTTAACATTTCCTTTCATTCTTTGGAATGTGTTTTTATATATTTTTTTTCTTTCACAAATTGATCGCTCGCCGGTTCTCGTGAACGGTCTTTCTGTCACTCAAATCGCACAGGACCAAAGCCATGTTTTATGAATGCAATGTATGTATTATGTACGTTGAACTTCTTTTGCATCGTGCTAATCGGAGGTGCAACGATGCTTTCCACATAGCACCACACTCCGTCTGACATTAATATTCCCACACCTGCAACATATACATTCCTGTTTCAGGTGACCCTGCATTGTCACTTATCATAACCAGCCTCAGTGCATTTTCCTTTCGTTGTATTAGCACAATGAGTTGATCATGATTGTTTGGGGTGTAACATGCTTTGAGCCATCTATTCCAATTACCAAATTGCTTGTGTGTGAGAATCTATTACAGTATTTTGTATTCGTGTCTTATGCATTTAGCTCATGTGACACCCCAAAGCCACGAGTGGCACTACAGTGCACTCTAATGGTATTGATGTGTTGGTCTTTGTTTCGTTGTTTTTGTGCTCACGCACCACGGATCTTCCTCGTAAAATATCCTGGGACAACTGGCTAAACGGGACCATCATCCGTGTAACTAATACAATTAACTTAAATCTTGATTTGAAGCTTTCGTGACTGCAGAAATCCATACTCTTTGGTTCTTTTGGTAAGGTCACGTAGGTAGAAAAATCAAATAATAATATACCACGATATTTCGATCGCAACACAAGCGGTGGTCCTCAGGCAGAAAAAATAATCCAGCAGTGGAACTGCTGAACCAGGAAGAAACACGTGGCTGATCATTGTTATAACGCAGTGGGCTCGCACGATATTGTTTTTTTTCCGAGACCAAGGTACTCTTCAAACCTTCGGGATACCATCAAAGATTTGTCCATGAAGCCATCCATATACTTAAACACAGAGACAATTTCAACCGAGAAGATAAGCTGAACAATCATTGGAAGGACGTTATTAACCAAGCAAAGTCGAAACTTGCTGTAGTGCTTCCATTCTTCCCTGCCGATTGGCTGTTGTCTCCGACTCTCTGAGTTGTATTACCCTGTTAGGTGCCTCTGCATTAACGAGCTAGGGTCTCACTAACATGGCCACCTCTGCTCCCTTAGCCTCGATGTATCGATGGTTCTGGCTGTGTGATGGGCTGTGTGTCTTACTGGCACGACCACCGTTGCGGTGGTTCTCTTGCGTGGACGCGCTTGCTTCTCACAGCGCAGTTGGCAGCGCCACAGCTTGTGTTACACATAGACATGACATTAACCTGCTAATCCCCCTAATCTCTCTGCCTAATCTCTCCCATCAACATAGTGCTAATCTTCTTGGTTCTTTCGGTAAAGTCACGTAGAATGAGAATAAAACAATAAAACAAATTAAGACAATAAGGGCATTTCCCTGTCCCCAGACGACCTGCTTGTCAGTTTTGATGTGGTGTCCTTATTCACCAAAGTTCCGGTACTTGACACCATCGCAATCATTGAAGACCTGGTTCATCAAGGATTACAAACGGAGGTACCCCCCCTTGTGAGACATTGCTTAACCAACACATACTTCACCTGGAATGGAACTTTCTACAAACAGACTGATGGCACCCCAATGGGCTCCCCCCTATCTCCAGTTGTAGCCAACGTGTTCATGGAAAAATTTGAAACTGACACCATCCAGACTGCCACTCTATGCCCGACCTTATGGAAGAGGTACGTAGATGACACCTTTGTTATCTGGCCACATGGTTTACCTGCTCTAGACCAATTCCTCGACCACATCAACTCCATACACCCAGCCATCAGATTTACCATGGAGGTCGAAAAAGAAGGCAAGCTACCCTTTTTGGATGTCTTAATTAAAAGGAGACCTGATGGTTCAACGAGCCACTCGGTCTGCAGGAAAGCGACCCATACGGATTCTTACTTAAAACCGGATTCCCACCACCATCCATCCCAGAAGAACTCCCTCATCAAGACTCTATACCATAGAGCCCAATGCATTTCCGACCAGGATCACATTGCCAGTGAACTCAAACACGTACACCAAGCTCTCAAGGCTAATGGTTACTCCGACTACACAATCCGCAAAGCCATCACTCCAGTCATGAAGAAGTATCCCCTTGAGGAACCATTCAAAACCATCACCTTACCCTACATTGCAGGGGTCACAAAAAAGATCTCCAAAATCCTGAACAAACACAAGATCCAGGTCCGATTCAACACAGTACATAAAATCCTTGATCTGGTTCCATCTGTAAAAGATGCTGTTCCAGACATACAGTACCCGGGCGTTTACAAACTAAAGTGCCTCTGTGGTAGCAGCTACATTGGAGAAACCAAACGACATATCTCGGACCGCATCCGCGAACATAAAGCAGACTTGAAACACGGTAGGACGAACTTCTCTGCTGTGGCAGATCACTGTTATACAGTAATTCAGTGGGCTCACATGACATTGACTTCTCCTAGAAGGAGGTTCTTTGCAAGCCAACTGGCTACCATGAGAGATTCGTTCATGAGGCCATCCACATATACAAGCAAAGAGACAATTTCAACCGAGAAGATGGATTCTGGCTTAGTAACCATTGGAAAGATGTTTTAAACCATTTCGGTCCTTAATTAATTGTATTTTATGGTGACCTTCAGACCGCAGCCCTTTCGTTGGCATTGTCTCTTAATACCTCTCACACCATGGTTAATGGTATGGTTTATAACATGAGTATAACAATAGTATAACATTGTAATGTTTAACATGACTCATAAGACAATATATAGCATCGTAATTGCATAGTGAATATACAGTAGTGTGGTATATAGTTGGATTCATAGAATAAGACAGTATAATGTTACAAGTCTAATATTTTATAGTCTAAAGTATAGGGTAGTGTAAAGTAACGCATTGTATAATTCAAAGGTGGAATTTGTCTATGTTATGCCATGTAGTTTAGATTGGAGGGTATAATATTGTATTACATAGTAGTCCTGTTTATAGCATAGTCATGATGCAACTCAGTACACAGCAGCGCACCTTGGCTGCGGCACTTGTTTACCTTTTGAAATTGTTGTTTGTTTCCCCCTCCGCCCCGGAAGTTGTGGGCTGGAACATGCTAATCCAACTCTGCTAATCCAACTCCGCCCATACAGCTTTAAAAAGACTCGGTCCTTGCGTGACAGCGTCCATTTAAGCTCTGTCTCCTGGATAGACCTGTTACTTCACCTGAAGAAGGCCACTTGTGTTGTGACCGAAACGTCGTGAGAATTTTATTGTCTTATTTTGTTTTATTATTTTATACTCATTCTACATGACTTTTCCGAAAGAACCAAGGAGATGAATCCTTGCAGTCACGAAAGCTTAAAATCGAAATGGTGCTAATCTCCCATTAACACTGCCGTTGTGCGCATAGGCGATACCCTTATGCGGTGACGGAAGCTCATTTCATGCTAATCTCTCTCCCTAATCTCTCTCTCCCTAATCTCCCCCATTAACACAACTGACGTGCTTGCGTGCGGGGATGGAATTCCTTTCCAGCTCAGACCCCGCCTGCTTGCCCTTGGCCAACATACATAACCTCTTGTTGTAACAGCTCTCTCGCTGTGTTCTTCCTGGTTCAGCAGTTCCACTGCTGGATTATTTTTTCCGCCTGATCGAAACGTCGTCATATATTATTTTTATTTTTATTTTTCTACCTATGTGACTTTACCGACAGAACCAAAGAGTATCAATTAACTTAACTTAATGTAAAGAATAATCAATTATTGAATCAAATTGCAGTCCAGAATTGTGACATTTAATCAAATGTCAAGGAGGGTGAAATGATCATTGCAGACGGAATAATTAGGTATAGACCATCCTTATATAAGTGTGGAAGCTATTCCCAATTACGTAACAATGATGTCAACATATATTTCGTAAATGACAACGAGAACCAATGTCGCTTTGTTTCGCCGGCTTGCCTGTTGTTGTGAATTACGTCACAGAGTGCTGAATGAGTAGGATGCTGCTTAAAAATTAGGAATGCTTTTTTAGACAACTGAGACTAAATCAGTGGCGAAATATGCTCATTACAAAGACAATCATAGTTCAAAAAATGTTGGTGTCCCGCATGTGTTAATGACAACAATCTTACGTCTTTTTCTTTCACAGCATATGGCCACTACAACTGTATGACTGCTACTCGGTGTTATACTATGGACGCTAATCACCTATCATCAACACACACATGAACCTTCTGCAGTCCGACAGCTTTTGGAAACTTTCCAAAGAGGAAAATGCGTCTGTATATTTACTGTATACATATACATATAGGCTTTTACAGCACTTGTAAAATAATTTATTTATAGCACTTTGTCCAAAGCACCCATCCAGCCCTGACACGTTCTACAAACATATGTAAAATATGCGTTTGCTACATTATGACTTTGCCGGAATCAGTGATATGTTTGCTTATGACTATACATTTTGAGAGTGTACAAATCTGCTGCAATAATGCCATCAACTTATTACATTTGGCTAAATTGTGGAAATGTTGTAAATCATTTCCCACCGTGTAATTTTTGATGCAAAAATGTAAATAGGTATATTTTTTGTAAAGTTGTTTGTACATTTAAAAAAATGGCCTCTGTATTTTTAACAAGTTATTAAAAGTAAGTAATTTTTAAGATGACTTTCTGATGCAACTTGTTTTTTTATGTGTGCATAAAACATTACTGTCTTGAAACTGAACACGTTACATAATGCCATACATTGTTGTCGATTATCACAATGTGATGGAAAAAGTAAATTTCTTAAACTTTTACAGTTTTGCCTCCAAATATCTAACCTTTATCATATGTAGTTTTTATTGCAAAAAAATGTACTCTATCCGTATAACACATCACATTTGAAATTAATTACATATCAAAATATGTGTTATCAATAATGGTAAGGAAATAAGGGCATACAAATGAGTAGAGTATTTGTTTCCAGATAGGAACAACTTGTTTAGTTAGGTACTTGTATCGGTTATAGCTCGGCAAACAAAATCTAAAGTGAAAAACGTAAATTTTGTTGTGATAAACATTATTGTGCCAGAAAACGTCCTTCTCAAGCAATTGTGCGCCCTAAGTGATGGAAAGTTACATGTGTATTAATGCCATTAAAGAAAAAGGGGGCGATATGGACAGACCTTGTAGAAAAGGCAGCATCGGGGCCTACCCGTATTCAGTTTGTTAAACAAGTTTAATGCTGGACAAGTGAATGCAGGGTTTATTTCGCTCTCTGCGAGCAGTCTGAATGTGCAATGGAGATGAAGCCACTTCAGCAAAGATGCCCTTGTTACCTGCACAAACTAAATCTGCTAAGCAAGAATCAAGTGCCACAGCTAACAAAGGTCACTAATCTTGTTTTCACCAACTAAAAGGAATAAGCTGTCTAAATAATTATTTTACGGTTGCACCCGTGTGCATTCAAGTTGTTTAAATTTGGTGTTCAGAAATAAGGAATCTGCTGATGGTGCACAGAATTGTACAAAGCTCGACAACTGCAGCGACGTGCAGAAGTTATTTCCCCAATTCATGTTAGTTTGCCCCAGCTTATAAGGGTATGTTTTTGTATAGGCTACAATAGCTCATTATACATAGGTTATATGGTCTGCTACTACAGCGGAAATGGAGTCATTGTGTATAGTTATTATGTGTAATGCAACATTAATCAGCATTTGTAAAGCAACATCGATAGTAGTCACCCCAAAGTGCTAATTTGTACACTGGCTGTAAAAAATACTGTATGGCTCTGAAGGCTTTTATGTGCATTAAATGCTATGTATTGCTGCACAATAGATCAAAAGACACTAAATACAGTAATGTTGATGCTGATTTAGTGATCATTTTAATTTTATTTAATAAAATTAATTAAAACATGTGCACTGAGAACAAAATACATTTTTGTATTTCTTTTTCTCAAAAAGCGAAATGTGTTGTGTAAACGACATACATTATGGATACAAGCTACACTCTAATGAAAAACTGAACATTAACATAACAGCAAGATGGATATGCAATGCTGTGTCATATGTTTGCTTGATTCAAGGTCACTCCAGACTAAAATGTCAAATTAAGTCAGTAGTTTTCTGCTCAAATGAGCATTGAGGTGGTACTGAGCCCTGAGCCAGTGATGGAATTTCCCCACATCTATAGCAGGGGCAATTCTATCCATAGAACAACAACTGTTGACTTTCCACAAAATCGTATAAATGGTATCGTCCCTGGAGGGATGATGAGCTGAGTCAAACCCCAGCCAGGATTATTTACGTTGCAACCTTCCTGCTTGCAAGCGTCTCTCTCACTCTACCGCTGAACCACCCGGCTGGATGACATCATGTGGAACAGTTGAATGCATAAATTGACCAGTGCATGATTAGCTGCCCCTGTCCTGTCTGCTTACACACAGCATTCCAATGCCCTATTAACAAGCATAATACTCCAACTAAAGAGGAATCACACTCATCAGCGTCCCAGGTAAAGCTAATGTCAGAGAGTTCTGGAGAGGAAGCTCAGATTCGACAGCACGCACGAACCCGAGCTTCAGATTCATCAGAAACAATGTGGATTCCGTCATGGTCGTGGAACAATGGACCAGCTATTTTCTCTCTCACAGATATGAGAGGTCATGGGAATATGCTTATGCAGTCTACCTCTGCTTTGTAGACTTGGAGAAGGCATATGACCATGTTTCCCGCAATGTCTTGTGGGAGGTGCTACGGGAGTATGATGTACCGGTGCATCTTGTGTGTGCTATCCGGTCCCTCTATTCCCAGAGTGAGAGCTGTGTCTGTATTCTTGGTGTTAAATCAAAGTCGTTCACTATGGGTGTTGGACTCTGCCAAGAGTGCGTTTTGTCTCCACTCATTTGTGATTTTCATGGACAGGATATAAAGGCGCAGCCGAGGTATGGAGAGTATCCAATACGGAGGCATGGAGGTGGCGTCGCTGCTTTTTGCAGATGACGTCCTCTTTACCTCGTTAGTCTGTGATCTCCAGCATTCAGTTGAACGGTTTGAAGCTGAGTGTGAAGTGGCTGGGATAAGGATGAGCACCTCCAGGGAGACGGTGGAGTGTGCTCTCCAGGTGAGGGGGGAAAAGCTGCCCTTAGTGGAGGAGTTTAAGTACCTCGGGGTCTCTTTTGCGAGTGATGGTAAGTGGGAGCGGGAGATCGGTCAACGGAACGGTGGGGCGTCCGCAGTGTTGCGGGCACCGTAACGTTTCGTGGTAGTGAAGCGGGAGCTAAGCTCTCGAACAAAAGCTCTCGGTTTACACGTCGATCTACATTCCCACCCTAACCTGTGGCCATGAGCTTTGGGTAATGACTGACAGGATGAGATTGCGAGTACAAGGGGCCGAAATGAGGTTTCTCCGCAGGGTTGCGAGGCTCACTCCTCCGTGACCGGGTGAGGAGCTCGGTAATCCGGGAGAGGCTCAGAGTCGAGCCGCTGCTCCTCCGGATCGAGAGGAGCCAGTTGAGGTGGTTTGGGCACCTGGTAAGGATGCCCCCCGGTAGACTCCCCCTGTAACTCTACCGGGCGTGTCCCGCTGGGCGAAGACCCCGGGGCGGGCCCAGGACACGCTGACGGGACGATGTCGCTCGGCTGGCCTGGGAATTCCCCAAGAAGAGCTAGAGGCAGCCTCCAGGGGAAGGGAGGTCTGGACTGCCCTACTCAACATGCTGCCGCCACGACCCTCACCAGGACGAACAAACTCATTTTAAGGCACATTTTACATCGTCTCATGCATACACAACTACTGTAATTTGTTTTAATTAAATCTGATACACGCAAAAAAGACTGCTCGGGTACCATTTTAGTATTGAAGGCATTGCAGGACATGTATTGGCCCACCAGAGCAAACTGCAGGAACATGGTTAATGAACCCCCACTGCCATGAAACTGTGTGCTGTCCGTGACTCACAAAAGGACAAGTTAGAGACTTGTGTTTACTCAACATTATCTTTTATAAATGCTGAACATAACTGCCTTGTGCCCTTGTCCTGGTAACCAGTAACGCCCAGTATGTACTAGTGGCTGCCTTGATCAGATGTTGATATTACACTTTGGATAACTTAGCACAAAAATAGCCATGGCAGTCATAACTCAAGTGTGTACAGTATTTGCGGACGCAAGCATCGTGTCCACCAGTGAAGTCATTTGCTGCTCAACATTTTCCATTGCATATTTACTGCACAGGTGAAAACATATTTTGGAAAGTTCCACCGTCCTGCATTTGTAAACATTACATGGCAAGTGGATTTTACAAATATCGTAAAGCAAAATATCACTGGATGACATTTTTGAGAACCTTACACATACCCACTGTCAGCTTTGTGCTCATTGTACACATCTTATTGTCCATAAACAGATAACGTTGCTGAATTGAGTATCACACACAGGATAAGCACAGTATGGATATACAAAATCTGCAGTATAACTGCAATTGTGTTTGTGTGTGCCCCTATATCCTGACTACTTTGTCGCAGTAAAATGTCCACGTATCATTAACAACCGGGACGGTTTACAAAGATGCACTGCTTGGATTTGAAATAGCATGATTTGTAAGCCCCTGTTTTCAACATCGATTTGCTGGGTGAAACAGTGGAGAAGCATTGTGGTGATTTAGAGCATTGTGTGAAGGAGCTCACGCCTCCCCCACATTGCATCCTTTCACCAAGACCCTGTGTAATGAACAGCACACCGTGCACATAACACAACGCTCGCCGATATGGCTCCTCGCGGCACGGTGCACAAACCGGGGAATCAAGCGGAGCAGCATTGCTTTTGCTTTTATAAGGCGGAGATGAGAGCCGCATGACCTCTGGGATGAGTCCAGAAATATGCGTTGCTCTGACTTGAGATGAGTGGCAAAACAAAATACCCCAGTGAGAAGCACCAGTCAACTGAAGGGACGTGGAACGAGCCCCAGGCAACCTCTGTGGACACTGGGCTGCAGCCTGGACGCTAAACATCATGCACCAAGGAATGTAAAGTACTTTGCGTGTCTCATGGTTTGGTTTACAAACACCGTACACACGGTCGGTCGGTCATCATGCTCCGTTGGCCGGACCACTGGCAAAGAAGACGGCTGCACCCCGAAGGGAGCTGCACCCCGAGGGGCAAGGGAGAAAGAGCGAGACGGGGGGTGGAGAGGTTTGCCGTGGAGGAGGTGGCACGGCAAGTTGCGGGGAGTCCACGCGATGCGGGCATTGCGAGCCCCCCCCCCCCCCCCATTGCCAGGTTTCCATACACGCGGTCTTCCCCACCACCAACACCCCCTCCCCTCCCCCAAAGTGCCCACTCAGCCTCCCACACGCCGTACCCCTGCCCTGCACCCACGTCTCGGGTTGTCGCCAGCCTGAAATAGCCACGCGAGGCTGACAAAGCAGCCGCCACCCACCCACCCACCCCTCCTGTAGGCTCGTGAAAAATCATTGCCAGTGCCGCCTCTTCTAATGGGGGTCAACTGAGTGGGGATTTTGTTGTTGTTGTAGCGCCTCTCTATTTCGCATATGCAGAGCAACGCGTGCATTAGCTCACCGGGGATGTGCAATAGAATTGATTGCGTTGTTCTGTGACACGCGAGGATGTGTTACTGCGACCGTGGCCCATTGTGCTGTGTGTGAGAGGCAGGGTAAAACATTATTCACGCTATAGGCACACCTGTCAACCCTTTATCAGTGCATACCTTAGTACAGATCAATTCAGACCTTATTGGCCACCCCGTGCCCCTTATAAATCTCAATGTTCACCCTACAAAGTCCCATCACAAGCGAGAAACACAAACAAATAGATATTCTTTGCTCGTATTGAAACGGCTGTACGCCGTATCAACCTGAAAAGTCAATTTCCCTGTGTAGAGGAGAGAAATACGCGGTGCGCACAGTTAAGCGGGTGTAACGGAGGGCAAACAGGTGTGCGCGTTGCAACATTTACTTGAGTTGTATTATCAGCGTCATTGCACGAGATGTATCCAATCAGATCTGCAATTTAACACGTAGGCTTTCGCGACCAATATCATCCATAAGAGAGGTTTTTTTTGGGGTTAGATCGCATGCATAATGTACGTTGACTCAGTAATCTCCCCCACTTTGCGCAAGAGCGCAGAAGTGTGGTCACCACATATACACCTCTATATCAGGGCCGGATCTTGGTCCTGTGAGGCCCCTGGTCACGTGTCTTTTGGAGACCCCCCCCCCCCCTGATTTCTTATATTGGTGTCTTTCTTGCCTTCCTCCTCGCAAAATCATCCACTTGATCGTCAAAATCTAACTGTCTGACAAGGTCTGACTATATTGACATGAGTGACAATGAGTTGAGATGTGTTTGGCACATGCTACTCCGCAGGTAAATTTTTATTCTGCCTAAAAGGGAAAATGGCCGCTCACCCTGGCAGTTTATCACTGGCAAAGTTAGAAAAATCCGAAGTGCCCCGAAAACATTGGGGAACACTGACTGCAGATGAAGTGCCTGCAACGTCTCAAACAATTTAGTTGGGCACTTCTCACCCTCAGAGTCAGACATAAAAGACTTGAATTGGATGAGTTTGGTGCATTTACCTTTTCCACTATGACATCACTGTTAGACACCTGATCTTACATAAACAGAACTCCAAAGAGACTGGTGAAACACTTGTAAGCGTCCAAGCAATGTTCAAGGCATGCCACTAGCTAATCAATGACCACATAAATTGTTTCTATTTTGAACTTGTGCATTAAATCGGACCTGGATCTTGTGTTTGCTCAAGATCCAGGTCCGATTTAACACAGTGCACAAAATTCGTGATCTGATCCTATCTGTGAAGGACAAGATTCCTGACATGCAATATCCCGGCATCTACAAACTAAGCTGTATCTGCGGCAGCAGTTACATTGGGGAAACTAAACGACATGTCT